TATAATAACTTCATTACAAGACTAGCACATGAGGAACTTTGTGTGATTAGATACACAAGTCACCACAAACCACCACAGCACTTGAATGCTTTTCATTAAAAGCCCATTCAGGTACAGTTCAGGTACTTATGTATCCCACTGATTGCAGTTTGAATTTGGAAAAGCTTTGAGTCCACTTATACGTTGTACTGAGAATGAATCTCAAAGTGATCTATTATTTATTATGTCGAGTTTTAAAAAGCAATTCAATATTTAAGACATTTAGATGCCTAAAAGAAATGTTTTCAAAGATTCATGTGAAAGATATCACTCTTGCCAACAAACTGTAGGGTCCTGTGGCTTTCAAGTATTCGTGGTAATGCACTGGCTATAATTGGAATATAACAATCTTGGCATTTATTACAGTGCTTCATTAAAACATGCAAAGAACTTCATAGCAATTCTCTCTTGTGTAGTGACTGTGTCATTGTTGTAAGCGAGCCCTGAAATTGCATACAGGTATACGTCTATGATATGTAATATCTCTAATATAACTTTTGAGGCTTAAATAAACATAGACTTGGAATTCATATAGAGTGAGATCTTATAGCATCTCTTGTGTAAGTCTGTTCTTGTTATTTACAACAAAACTAAATCTCACTCAGTTCTTTGCACTTTGCTATGTTCAGTGCTGATCCTTTGGATCCTCCAACACATTGCTAAGTAAATAATCACTTCATTGATCTCCAGCTCTAAGATCCCTTCCTGAAGGAATGCAGAATATTTATTGGAGTCCGATGCAAAGAAATAATAAAAAGACGGCATTCCTGACAAATAAGACTAGCACGTAATCTTATTATGAACAACTGTTACCTTAATTTCCTGACATCCATTTCCGTTAGCCCGAGGCCTGTTTTTATTGCTCTGTGTTTTCCCATGATTCAGCATTAATGAGATCCCTACACGGACAAAGTGGACATGAAAGAAATGTAGTTTGCAATATGTTCAATCAGTAAATCACAGATGACACCTTGTCCTTTTGTTGTATCTCTTGATATATCCATTGCATCTTTGTTTGTGCTGTAAAGAGGCCATATCACTTGATCCTTTTCTTCGGAAGGCCAAACAGAACATTACTGAGCGTCATTCATAAAATTGTCTAAACACAACTCTAATCTGAGCTATGAGGTAAACTTGGATTCCCCTCACCTCTATTGATGGCTCTTTGGCTGCTAATGTCTTTAACGTTATCTACAGGGAAAGGAAGAGCCTATTCAATCCTCTGTAGTAATAGTGTTCCATTAGCTGTTGTAGAACTGTTATAGTTAATCCTCATAACACACAAAGAGCCTTCCTTTTACTTCACTGCAGCTGAAGCACATTTCCATAGCCCTTGTGATGGGAAATCCAATTACAAATGAGCAATAAAAAACTCACCCCAACCAGCAAGCAGCACACCATGACCCTCGAATGGTGCATTTTGAGGTGATCTGTGTCTTTCCTAAACTGAGGTGAACTCTGTGAGCCACTGCCCCTTTGATTTAGCTGCTCAGCAAGTGAGCAACTGTTTGCTTCCCCGACCCCAGCTGTGCCGGGCGCAGAGCGAAGACGGTGAAGAGACAGAGAATGGAATATGCTGCTTCGACTTGCGTTCTGCGAAGTATAAATGGAGTAAGAATCAGAATGGTGGCTGCGGATCAGAGGAAACTGTTGGAGAGAGTGGGAGCACTCAGGCACAATGTGACAGTAACAATTCCTGAAGGACCCCAAGGAAATTCAACTGAGATAGATCAGAAGAGTGACACTCGAGTGTGCTTCAAATGTGAGCGTCAGCAACTTTAAAAGTCAGAAATCAGACTTAATTAGTGTGAGCAGGCGACTTGGTCAGGGCATAAGTGTGGAAGGTAAGGGAAAGGAGGTGATTATAGAAACACCAAAGAAACATAGACTGACCCAACTGAAGGCTGGTGACAAGCCTTTCCTGGTGCCTTAAACACTAAACAGTGGAAGCCATCAGCAGTATGACTACCTCATGTCCTGACCTTCCCTCCTGAATAAGTCTCAGGCTGGTACAACAACAGCAAGATTTCATTTATAGAACGCCTTTCACGTCAGGAGGACGTCCCAAGGCGCTGGACAATTGGGTCACGACCCGAGCAGGGGGGAAATGGTCAGGGTGAAGGGAGGGAAGGGAGGGAGCGAGGAGGGGGTAGAGAGTCGAGAGGGGAGCTGAAGGCAGGGTCAAAGAGAAAGGTCTTGAGACCGGCCTTGAAGGAGGAAAGGGAGGAAGCTAAGACGAAGGCACTGGGGGATGGAGTTCCAGAGCCTCGGGGCTGAGAGGCTGAAGGCCCGGCCACCGATGGTTGGGGCGGGGGACGTGGAGTAGACCGGAGCCAGAGGAACAGAGGGTACGGGCAGGTAAGTAGGGGGATAGTGAGTCGGAGAGGTAGGAGGGAGCGAGGCCTTGAATGGCCTTGTAGGTGAGGATGAGGATCTTGAATTCGATCCTCTGGGGGATGGGGAGCCAGTGGAGGCGAGCGAGGGCGAGGGTGGGAGTGATGTGTTCCCGAAGCCTAGTGCGGGACAGTACACGAGCTGCAGAGTTCTGAATGACCTGCAGTGTGGAGGGAGGGCCGGGAAGGCCGACGAGGAGAGAGTCCCATAGTCCAGCCTTGAAGTGATAAAGGCGTGGACCGGAGTTTCAGCCGCGTGAGGGGTGAGGTAGTGCCGTAGTCTGGCGATGTTTCGGAGGTGATGGAAGGTGGTGCCAGTTGTGGCGCGGATACACTACCTCTCAGTTCTGCCTCAAAGGCAAACAGACCTCAACAGGAACATACTACAACAACTTCCATTTCTATAGAGCTCTTCACGCAGGATAGTGTCTTGGAGCAATTGGACACATACAAAATAAATAATATGAGAATAAGGTAGTAATATAGATCATTCATTATCAGTTAAAATAATTAGTTGTGTATTTATTTGTTTCAGGAAAGCAATGACATTTATTATTATCGACACGTGGCAATTCAGATCAAAGGCAGAGAATCAGTTTTATATAAAACCTGTAATTTGGTTGATTGATTTCCGCCTGGTTCCTGTGCTGGGCTCTCTGTGGCAAATAGAGATAAGCATTCTGAATGCACGAGTTCATCACTGTTTGAAGGGATTCTCTATCACAATGTCCAATTCTTCCTCTGAGAAAACCTGGCTGCAGGCGATCAGAGGGAAGGTTCTGCAATTATTTGCTGGCCTCATTTCTGCTCAGGTACATGTCCTGTGTGAAGGGGTTTGATTTACGTCAGCAGTTAGTATAATGCCCGTCATTGGTTTCCTGGACCATTTTGAATTTTTTCCACACTGAGGTTGTGTTTAGCAGCCTTAATAATAATAATCCTTGCATTTAATATACCGCCTTATCAGGTCATTGAGCCTTGGGACAACATCAGCATCTGGGAGGGTAACTTATGAAGGGTGCTGTACAAATACAAGTTGTTGTTGTGGAATGAGATGGAGCCTGAGTCATCACTGCCGTGAGTGTGGGAATTGAGTGGGAAGCACCCAGTTCTCACATTTCAGTCTATTTTCTGAGCTGTAACAAGTTGATATATTGTGCTGCCTCTGAATACAAATATCTTGAAGATTTCAGAGTCGGTTTGGAGCTGCGAATGCCAAATACTTGGGTTTAGTGCTCACTCAATCACCTTCACACATGTTTTTCTCTGCATTAAAATCAGCTCCACATGGAAAATAGTTTGTTTCAAACTATATTCTAATCTTGTTCCTATTCCAGCAAACATGAGAGAACTTACAAACTCTGAAGCTGTGCTTGTCATTGCCATATACATTTTACAGTTTGCTTCCATTGCTGGTCGCTTCTGGTTGACTGTGAACTGAAAGAACCATTTGGTTTCACACCCATTGCACTTGTCATAGGAAGATGCCAGATGTCACTCTTGTAGCTATGGAGATTGGATGTAGGCTGCAGCAAGTGATGCATGTACAGTGAGTGAGTTGAACCCATCATACTATGTGCGTGTGCGTACCAGTGCACGTGTATATAAAACCAACACTAATGCAACAGATCAAATGGCCTCCTACTGACTCACAGATAATTATGGTTCTGTAGGGCACTTGGGGAAAGAGCAGGGAATTGGAATTAGGCTTCATTAGAGGAGCAAACAGTGACAATGATGAACAGGATAGATAGCTTCCTACTGTGTTCTGGGTTTCCATTGTTCTGTTTGTTCATTTAGTCATAGTGACATTTACCTCCAATACACACCAATCACTATAGTTTACGGTATATCCTGTGACGTCTTGCTGGTGTGAAAGACGCTGAATCAAATGTCAGTATTATTATTATAATTATAACAATTACTGATACTCTCACAGCCCCAGATTACTCTGAAACTTTTGAATACATTATATTAAAAATATCGCTGGACAGATATTGCCTGGAGCTGTTTGCTTTATGTTGGTGACAGAAAAAAGACAGTCACGTGCTTAGGGCAGAAACACACCAGTTGTGGCACAAAGAACTGTGCGTGGCAGGGAAAACTGCAATAAAATTTATTTTATCTTCTCTTTGGGGGAGCAAGCATGTTGTTATTGTTCCTAATAATGACATAGCAAATCTTTCACAAACCTGATGTTGATCTTTCAGGACTATTGAGACACACACACACTCTCATTAACTCAATGGCGAGGAAAAGGCAGTTGATTCTGCACAGACTTGTGTCCCTAATGGAATAGAGGCCTGGACATTATGTGTTATTTGATAGGATTTAAACAACACAAATTACACTTCACACCATCCTGAAAATGCTATTCTTGGAGCTTTCTAAAACAAGTGCAAATTTCTAAAAGCCTGTGTGTGTAGTAAAGTTCTGAATGCAGCATTATTGTTGTATTATTGTTATACCCGAGATTGACTTATCAGCAGTTTGGCAGATGTAGAATGTTTACTGTAGAGAAAGAGTAACTTTTAGAATGAATTTACAATATTTCTTTTCTTTTTTCAGTTAAGAAAGCAAAACTCGACGGCCCACAAGGTAAGCGATTTCTTTTCATCACCATCTAATGTGTTAATGGGGGTCACCATGCCTTGCGGCTGTTAACTAACAGAGAACGATACAAACAAAACTTTGTCTCTGCTCGAAAACGCAGCTGAACAGTCAGTCTTTAAGCTATATTTTGTGTCTCCTAAGTAATCATTTTTTTTATTTAATTAAGGTAAGCTGGTGAAAAACGTCTTAATAACGCATTGAGAACACAGCCGCCCCAGCTCTAACAGGCCATGTGACTAGTTGGTTCCAGTGAACGGAAACCACTGGCTAGGCTTGCGAGAGTGGTTGTTCAAGCGCTCTGAGACGCAGTCCGGCGTGGAGGGCACTATATAAACCCAAATTGTTGTTGTTGGCTTTCTGCGCCCATGTGCGGCGTACAGGACGTGACATCAACAATGACCCAACAACTCAGAAGCCTCTGATGTCGAGCGTGTTTTTAGCATGACGGTCAGCCAATGAAACTTCCTTTTCTTTCTGAACAGAATCTTTAATGTCCACCTGAACAGGGCACAGATGAGATTTAGTGTCAAGCATCCACATGAAATGGAGACGAAAGAGCCCTCGGTTTAACATCTCGATCCAATCACATCAGCATTCTTGTGCCACAGCATCTCTGAGATTAGACAACTTGTCCAGGAGTAGTCCCCAGTGGATATTTAATAGCTTGGCACTAAACTCTGCCTTTGCTTAACTTCCCTCTCATTGAGATCCTAATGTATGTTATATGTGATAACCAGTCTGGCTGCTTGTTGCTATTTAGCTACTTTGAGTTGAACTGGTTAGATTTGATGTGCAGCGACATTTAAAGCTTGTTTCATGTTTGTCACAGCCACTCCGAGCTATTTGAAATGCCACAGCTGTTTATAAACAGAGATGTATCAACTGAGATGGTTTCCAATGTGGACCATGGTCCCAGCTACCCCACAACCCAGCCAAGAGCACCCAGCATCCCTTTGCCACCGATGCGGGTAGAAAACCTGTTACAGAACAATTCAGTCAATTAATTTTGTAGTCAATTAATTTTATTCATTGGCTTTGTTTTTTTTCCTCTGCGTCTATTGGCAGCCTCTCTGTCGCTGGGTTGCAGTGCACTCCAGGGAGTTCTCCCTGGCTGGAAACTCAGTTCACGCTGTTTATACCAGGCTTCGCACTTTGATGGGCAGAGATCAAAGAGCTGGTGTGTAATGTGCCGATTCCTAAAAGTTGTGATCTTTCCATTTTTATATTAATAGAAACAATAGTCAGCATCGTCTCTTTAGTGACATTAAAAACCAGATGTGTGTGTAACAGAAGGAGAGTAAGCTCATTTTATTGAGGAAGAATGTTAAGCATCATCAAATTAACCTTTCATTCAGAACTATTAATCGCTAATTCACTGAGCAATGAAATTCTTGCACCTCAGCAATAAATATCAGCAGACAAACAGGTAAGTGTCTCACTGGGGGAAGTGGGGGGGTTGAAAGGGAAAAGACATATCCCGCGCTGTTACAAAGGGAGCTGTTAGCTGCTGTCTCTGTGTCATTACTTGTTGCTGTGTTTCATGGCTTCTTGTTAAAGGCTGCCCAAGAGCAGACATTTTGTATGCAAATGCCCCCGAGGGTCAACCCAGCATGATATTCTGATTGGGGTGAAACGCTGCAGAGTTCTAACTGGTTGCTGAATGAGTGAACGAGTGCCAATTGAATATCTCTCTCTCTCACACACAAACATATACACACACACACACACCCACACATACATACACTCTCCCCCGCACACACACATACACTCCCCCGCCACCCACACACACCACACATACCCCCCCACACACACACACCACACATACCCCCCCCCCCACACACACACACCGCACATACAACCCCCACCCCACCCACACCACACGTACAGTAACACTCACACACACATACACATGCAAAAACATTGACACACGCACACACACACACCCACACACAACTGCACTGTTTGTATTCATAAATGCATTGGACAAATTTACTAAACCGGGTGACTGGAGCAGAACAGCACTCAGCTCACAGGAGCAAATTGGTTACATTAGCTGATGGAGCAGAATAGCCCTCTCCGCCCTCTTGCATTAGCTCATCCTGTATCCTTTTATCTTTGCCTCCTCACTGTACTTAAGCTGAAGTGACAGTTCCCGGCTAAAAGCGTGGGTCGCTTCCAGCTTCCAGGAAGCTGCCAGTGATGTACGGGAAGAGAGCAGGTAGCAGTGTGCTGGAGGGACCCAGCCTGTCTCACTCGCTGACAGGTTGGCTCAGTGTCTCCCCGGGTGTCTGGGGTCAGGAGCATGCTGCGTTTGTGAATGAGTCTGAAATCCTGTTCTCTGGTAGTGTACGTTTGTTCTCTGAAGGACTGTGCCTCTAATGCATACTGACCGTTCCTCGCCAGCCTTCAGGAAAGGAAGTGTCTCTTCACACCCCACCCCCCTCTCCCCGCACCCGGTGAAGAATAAGCTTTTGCATTAATTAAAACTGAGCTCTTTATTCCTGTCTTTAATTAAAGAGGCACGTGTTGAAAGTATTTTGCCTGCTGTTAATCCACCTTCATCCCTTCCAGAAAAGTTCAATGCCTACGTGACTCTGAAGGTGCAGAATGTGAAGAGCACGACCATCGCAGTGCGGGGGAGCCAGCCGTGCTGGGAGCAAGACTTCATGTTGTGAGTTTTCAATGTGGAAACAGAACAATGACAGGCAGTGCCTGCCCCTTATCCCCGTCAGGAAGAGAAGGCCTGGGGAGCGCTGAGGTTGACCAGCCCTTATTGTGCGCTGCCGTGTTAACACGAGCACAAGGTCCGATTGTGTAAAAGCAGAGGTGCCGAGTGCTTTTTTAGAAAATAATTTAGACTCACACAGGACAGAGTGACGCTGTGCATTAGGCCAGAAAGCTCGCTCTCGCGAGCCCAACGCCAGTGGTCAGTCTCATCACCAGCTCCGCATAATGACTGAAGCGTGTCCCAAGTCAACGGGCAACACATATGGCAAGTGGTGCACTTTCCTGAGAATCTTTAGTGGTTCACATTTAACACAAAGCACGAGTGGTTGATCTCAAATCAGTTGGCGAACAGGGGCAGATTCTCTTCATATTCTATGTTGATGGGGAATCATTTCCGAGTGAGCTGAAGATCAGCACTGCAGATAGACCTGTGTGGAAAGTAAGGTACCAGCACCTGGGAATTGAGATCAGTGATGGGAGTTTGTATTTGGGGTTGAGATGGTGACAGACAGCAGTGTTAGGAATGGCCAAGCCCTTGGCTTTCATGAGCACTTGATGGATGAGACTGTTCTCTTGCCCAAATCGATAGCTTCAGCCTTTTGTATGGCTAAAGGAATGAGTTGTAAGCGGTGCCAATTAGCCAGCAGTGCTCTTCATACTGTACTGATATTAAGAATAACAAATCTGTTTAAAATTATTGATCAGGAGTCTGAGGCAGAGTTGTGAAAGTCATTGATAAAAGTTAAGTGTGTAGACTGTTGACTGTCTTTGTCTCTGTGGAGGAAATAGAGTTTAAAAATAGTCAAACACATCCTGAATTATTGAACACTGAACTACTTAATTTTCAATCTAAATAAAGATTACTAGAAGTTCCTGTACATGTCTCAAACTGATATTTAATGGGAAAGCTTGAAGATAGACTTGGAATCAAGTACCCACCGAGTGGGTAAGATTAGAGTATTAATCTCCACAGGGATGTCTGTGAAAGGTTGGTGAGACAGGCTGTGGATAGAACCTAAGAGGAAGGGATGGAGAGAAATGTACACCAGCATGATGTCATTCACAGCAGGAAGGTTTCACTTCCACTTCACTCTCACCATCCTGGGGTCAGGACCCAACAAGTCTCTTCCCACCACCGTCAGCCAGCCTTGTGTTTCCAGTTATTACAAATGTCGTAACGGGGAGAGTGTGGAATCTTTTGCCTGAAGGAAACGTGAAATAAAAGAGTGCACTACCCCAGGTGCCCACAGTTGATTGGGATGTTTAATAGGGAGTTACATAGTGATAGACATAGAGAAAAGGCAGGGAAACTGGATTAAGAGATTTCCCTCCTATAATAACATGGGGACCCAGACCCAAATAACACTCCTATTGGAGAAGCAGTGTTGCCTTTGAGAGGATTGTAAAATAGCTTGTGGCAAAATGTGAATCGAATGGTCTCTAATGGTCGAGGTAGAAGTGTTATCTTTTAACAACAACAACATTACATTTCTATAGCGCCTTTCATGCCAGGAGGACATCCCAAGGCGCTGGACAGAGTACAGCATTTCAGACCCGAGCTGGGGTTGGGGGGTAAGGGAGGGGTGGGTTTTAGTTGCAGAAGGGCACGATATGTTCAGGAATAGTTTCTCGTCAAAGTTCAATTGATGTGAATTCCGTACAGCAATATCTTGGACAGCAGCTGACTGACTGGGCTGATGGCCAATGCTGTGGCAAGTTGTATAGAAATCTAGGGCTGACTCTTCAGTGGAATTTGGGCCATTTAAATACACTTGTTGCTGTTTTCACTGAATCTTGTGAATTTACTGGTTAGTTATTCTCAACCATTTATTTTTGACTGTTACATATAATATTAATGCCCAAACTAACAACAGAGGGAGGGAGGAGGATCCTGTTCTGATTCTATATTAAAATGAAGGTTACGTGTGGTATGAAGTGTGCTAAGACATCGTTCAAGGAGATTTTGTCAATGTTTGCAAATACCCGATAAGTGACCCCACGGTGAGCTCTGATCATAGACCACCTTTTCTTGAATTCTCGTAAGTTCGGATTTCATAAATGATACACTTTTTGGGAACTGAATGTAGGGCAATGCGCAATTTCGTTGTTGCCCTTCATTCTCCGAGCCGTTAGCGCTGCTGACAGTCAGTGGCTGGAGGCTGCAGCTCTAAATAGTGACGGTGGAAAAAAGTCCCAGAGCAACACTCTTTATTGTCAGAACTCTTTGTAGCTACACATTGCAGTCAGTCTGACTTACAGTATTTCTTAACAGATTTCCCAAATAAAAAACTGTAAATATCAAACTGCTAATTCATTGAATGTGCCAAGGAATATATTCTTAACCGCAATAGGACATTTTCACAGGTGCAAAGATGAATGAATTTAAAAAAAGAGGACATTCAAGAGAAATTTCTTTAATACTTCAAAGACCAGCAGAGTATTAAATAAATTCCTTCCTCGCGGGCATTGTACGATGATTTGACAAAATGGTTTGTAACTGCTGAAGCTCCCAGGAACTCAGCGGTTACTTTGATAGTTTGTGAAATACACTGCCTCGTTTCCAGGTGTGCCGCGAATGTGATTGATTGATAGAGAACTGGCAGATTTTAAACCTGCCAACTAACATGAAATTTGATTGTGAGTGAATGATTTTTATTACTTTGTGTTCTTCCTCAGTGAAATCAACCGTTTAGACCTCGGCTTAACAGTGGAAGTGTGGAACAAAGGGCTGATCTGGGACACGATGGTCGGTACAGTATGGATTCCTTTAAGGAGTATACGGCAATCAAACGAGGTAAGAAACCAGTTTGTCATTAATACCTTTTCTCATCAAACCGAAGACATCTCCTTTACACTTTGCTGTCAAACGGCAATTTAGAGATTATCCAGTGCTATAGTTTACGTTATCGCTGCATTGGTATTGCTTTTCACATACTTTCAGAAGTCAGTGAACATTTACAGGTAGTTTCCTCACTGGAATGCCCTCGGCTCTGAACGATATCGGTCTCAGCTCTGGTGCTTCTGCAAAGTGACTTTATAGCTGAATTACGACACAAGACCAGTCCAAACCTTTATGTTCTCTCTTGGCAGATAAATCTCAATTTACTGCAAATATTATGAGACGCCAGGGCTGTTATAGCCACATAATGTGCAAATAAAACGATGTATTTATTACGCAAAGGTAATTAGTTTCCTACACACTGAAGCATATTTGCATACTCATTCAGCATCACTGTCCTACCGTGAACATTAGGAAGAGCTAAGTAAGTCATTTATGATCGTATAGATAAACTTTGTGGTTCAGAATAAAAACTGTGCGAAGATTAGCCATGATGTCTTGCCAATTACCATGAGGATTTCCTGTCAGTAGTGTTGCTATTACTGAATCCAGTTAATAATAATATTGGGGAATTTGCTGCTGTTTTGGCCTCAGAGCAAAATCGGTTCAAGTGCAAATTGGAAGCTTCAATGTATGAGTATCATTCGCGACTCTACGAAAACTCCACTTTTCTTTTCTGCATCCCTGACCTCTCACTCTCTCCTCTAAGGATGGACCTGGCGAATGGCTGACACTCGACTCTGAGGTTATAATGACAGATAATGAAATCTGTGGAACGAAAGACCCAACATTTCATAGGATTTTGTTGGACACTCGCTTTGAGTTACCACTCGGTATGTTTCACTGACCTTTAGAAGACCTTTATTAAGACTTTCCAGTCATTATTGCCATTCAGTACTGTCACCATTTTGTGCGAATGTTTTGCTGCAACGTATTTCAGAGCCTTGGGTGAAAGGTGCTTTACAAATGTAATTTAGTTATTGTTGTTCATAATCCTCTGACATTTTAGGACAAAAGGCTAAAACTCGGTGGAATTTCAGGCCGACTTAACCCTCTTAGTTTAGTGAGGATGTTGCCCACTTTATCCTAATCTTGTAAAGTTAATTTCTTAAAAGAGTTCAATTCACGTCAGCGTATAATTAAACCTCATCAGCCGCAGCTTGTGCGAGGTATTAATAACAGCACAAGTCAGAATAAATATTTCACAACCAGAGCGCTTGCATCTGGCCAGCAAGCTCCCTTTCACCAGTATTAAATCCCACAAATGGGTGATTTACTGCGTTGCCAGCCTGCTGATTGCACAATGCATAGGTCACTGCGCAATTGTATACGAGGAACATTAATACAGTGCAAGGCAAACAGATGTTTTTACCATAATAACCACCACCTTTTCAGCTCTTGGTGGAATTTTTAGCGGTGGCATGGAGAAACCTTTAAAAAAAATTAAATCAGATGATTTCTGAGGTTAAACTCCAATTATGCAAATTCTCTCTGTACACTAAGCGTTGCAAACTTGCCAGCAGTGTTTAGACACCACTCGTGTTGCTGGAGGCCACAGACCCAGTTCACTACCAGAGATGTCAGACTGATTTCGTTCATAGAAAATTCCAATGGAGAAGATCCAGAAAACTTGCGATAAATCTTTTTCATAATTTAAATTGATTTTTAAGCCTCAAAAAATCAGATAATGAAACCACGTGGGGACTCTACAGTGTTAAAGAAAAACACTGAATAAATACATTTTCCTTTGAGCCTCCTACTTTGCTGATTAATTAATACTGCAACAGATTAAAACTGCCTGAGCGCAGAAAGAAATCAGAAATTGGGATTCCCGGCTCTATCTCCATTTAGATGATTCACGCTGCTCACCACCAATGTTTTTAATTAACTTTGATTCCATTTATCTGAGAGAATAACTTGTGACTGAACTCACTGCCACAAATTTATCTTTATTAATAAACAGTTCAGACTCGCCCTCAGAGCGTCCGTACTGCATGTCACATTCTGCCTCAGAGTTAGACTGACGGTAACAGGTCAGTTCAGTTTTTAATCGGTTGGAGTAAATGAATAGAAAACGAATTCAGAAAATAAACCTACTTGATAGCTTGTGAATGTTTTGTTTTTAGGTGTACTCGTGTAGATCCTAGTCTTGGATTTGATCTTAAAATGCAAACGTTCTACCAAATTGTAGAAAATCCTTCTCTGGACATTACTATCGATAGCGATGGAGCTACTGTTTGTGCTGTGCAAAGACATGTTATAACGACCGTTTGTACCCAGGTGCATTAGCGAATACAATGGTTGGCATTATCCTGGCTTTGTCCACAGGGCTGTCTTTTGTGCCACTCGTATTTCATTCCATTGATTTGAAAAAAAGATGATTTTTTTTTAAGTTGAAGCAGTTTGTGCAACCTGTGGCTTCTCTTGTAGACATCCCAGAAGAGGAAGCTCGATACTGGGCCAAAAAACTGGAGCAGTTGAATGCCATGAGAGACCACAATGATGTAAGTTGAATGCGAAGACCTAGTCAGTATATGCAGAGCAGGTCACCTCCCTGTCCTGTTAGACATGTTAGACGTGACTAAAGTAGCGGTCATCTGCAGATAAGGGAATCCTGGGTGGATTACGTGGATCCATTTGATGACAGATAGCTGTTCAGAATTGAGACTGTGCTGCACTGTAGAGAACTTGCTCTTCTCATGTAACTGAGCTGGGCCCTTGCTGCGTACTGGGAACTCTGCTCCACGTTTCAGTGACTAAAATCCTTTGCAGTTATTTCACAACTCCAATCAGTCTGTGAGCAGAAGCTTTCACCACATTGTTAACAAGTTAACCCGATTTTCAGTTTTGAGGTTTCATGTCAACTCTCTTTTTATATTAGTATGAATTCCAGGAGGAGCAGGAGAGGCCGTTGGCGATGCCGGGCTCACAGTGCTGTAAGTCATTCCCGGGTTTATATTGCGTGGATAATAGTTTGGTTTGGCGCTGCTCAGTTTGATGTGAGGAAGTATTTTCTTGTCTCAGATGAAAATTGCCACCGGCAGATCTTTGACAGGAAGTTTGAGTGGAACCTCGCCCAGTGCGCTAGCTATTAATATTGTTTTATTTTATATATTGTTTGATTATGTCTCTCTCTGATGGGTCTTTCCTTCTTTTGCTACCTCACAGGCAACTGGAGCTATTTCGGTTGGGGAGACCAACAAAGTAAGTAACTATTGATTGCTACCGGTGCACACTTTGGCTTATTCTCTATCAGATTTGGTGATATCCGGAGGAATCTATTGCGGTTTATAGTGATCTGTCATGTTTGTTAATGATAGTTCCTCCCCACAGTAACATTGAATGAGGTGGGAATTGTAGCGATCGATTGTAGATCCTCTGCGATGTTTTTTTTGGTGCTAATCCCGAATCGTCAAAGCTTTGGAAACATATCTTGTCGTTGCTTATAGACAACGAGGACCCTGACAGTGCGGTGGACGACCGAGACAGTGACTATCGCAGTGAAACTAGCAACAGCATTCCACCGCCCTACCATAACACAGCTCAGATTAATGAGTCAGTCCATCAGTACTCCATCTCGTCACGGCACCAGCAGAACGGCTCGCGGGACTCTTGCGCTGACTCTATTCACAGCTATGAGCTTGATGATTCAGATCATCAAAGGCCCATCAGGTATGTTTTAAAATGTTGACCAGTTTTCAGTCTTTCCTGTTGTGCAGCTGGCAGTGGCGCCGCATAGAGATTCACAATGTGAGGTGACCTAATGGGCAATGTCCTGCCACGTACCAGCTCTCAACCATCAGGGCACAAGCCGGGTGTTTGCCACAGTCTGTCCCTGTTAGCTCCCTGTTAGTCCCTGGGGCTGTGACAGGCGCTGACCCCAGGGATAGCCAGACAGTGAGTGGTTCTATTCATTATAATGAGCAAGAAATCGTTAATCAGTGATTGAAGGAGCACTAATTGTAATATTGGAGGGCCACTAAACTCCTTTGTAAAGAAACGTGTTGTGGGGTATATTGTAATAATTTAAACATGTGTTGCTTTGAACATTGTAGAAATATAAATCCATTTTAAGAAGAAATCTTGTTAAACGATTCCATCCCTTTTAACAAACGCGTCAAGTCCAGGCTGCGCTCAGTGGCCTCCCTCTGTTATCCCGCAGCTAGCCGCACAAGGTGCTTGTTGCTTTTGAAGCCTTGATTGTTGTGAAGTTTACCGACTTACATTCAAGTTGCTTCTGAGTTTGGAGAGTGACCGACAGCTAAAAGGTTCCATTTACCCTAAAAAAACCATCGTCCTCACACAGTGGATATAGAACCTACAGAAGAAAAATTGCCTGGAATACCCAGGATTCTGTTTAATACGGAATAAAAGCATCATTTGTTGATGCTGAAGCTGTATGTAGTAACTATGCAGGCAGTGTAGAGATGAGCACTGTGAGGATGTGGTGAAGGGGAAGCACCTTTTGACCTGGAGATGGTCTGCTTCTATGATGAGTCTCTTTCAGCAGATTAGCGAATGGCACAAGCGGGGTTATTGCAGGGAATAACAGTATGTATTACATGGAGAATAACGTATAAAGTATATACTATATTGCAAAATAACAGTTTGTATAATTAAAGTGTTGATATGCAATACAAACCTCTTAATGGGAACATCCACTGGGCAAAATGATTCCCTTTTCCATTTGTTTGTGGTAAACCCTGTACCTGGGAGATTGATTGGTGTCTGAGGAATTTTACCCCTTAAATTGTTCCCATTAACAGGGTGCCATTATCTGGACCATAGAGTGGTGAGATGTTTTTATTACATACTCTACTTTAATGAGAAAACCATTGGGACTTTTTTTTATTTGTTACAATTTGAAATCCATTCAAACTCTTGAGAGTGGTGTTAACATAAACTATTGAATGGGTAATTTTGTTGATTCTTACCGTATTTGTTTAAAGGAAGGTAAATTTCAGAACCTCAAGCTTGTTTTGCTGATTATCTTAGATTACTTTATGTGTTGGGTACCTATTAGGGAAGTGGATCTTTATTTTCACCGCATGCCACATTCTGTTTTCTTCATTGGAGAATTCTTCCTTTATAATCCAACAAACACTTCCCTTCAGCTAAGCCTTCCACCAGAAAGGTTGGGCATTTGGTCTGAATCTGTGGAGATCTCTGTTGAGTGGCAGATTCTGTGGTTGTCCTTTTTTGGTCACCAGGTGTCTGACATGTGCGGAAACCCGTCACCATGTTTAAGAGTGTCCCCTTATATCTTTTATACTCTTGAATTTGAGGTATTGAATTTGAGGTATTCTGAAAATTTACTCTTTCGATCCACAAATGAGTAGTGTATGTAATAAAGGAATTTGCGGTGTACATTTTTGGGGATTTCTTTAAATTTTCCCTCACTCACTTCCTCTTTGTGCTTTCCATTTTCTCTGGCAGACGCTATGATAGCATAGATTCTGCCACAAATGGCCGCAGTGACCTAGAGACTGCGTCAGACTCTAGCAGGCTAACCAGTCGCCAATATTCCCTTGAAAGTAGGCAGTCTCTAGATCTGTCGGATAGGTGGGTTGGAACCTCATCTATTGCCTTGTTTGTACGGTAGACATTTGTGGTCTAAAACTGTGCTGTGGCTTGTCTGGTACTGTAGTTGTGTGCATGCCTGCTTAAGTGTTTCTTCTGTATTGGTGGATTTATAGCAGCTTCAATGAAGCAATATCATACGATTGAAAGTTGACGACGATCATCGATGTAGAGTTACTGAACTGCCAATGTTGTGTTGAATTACGTGTTTAACTATTCAAATTTAACTTGCAGTTCTTTCCAGCTTGTCTCCCAGTGTTTCATGTTGTTGATCGATCTACAAATGACTTCAGGTTTACAATTTATTTTCAAATTCAAGAGCTTTGCTTCATTTCTTTAAATTGTTACCATTTATTTATTTTTTAACCTTTTTTTTCTTCAGCGCAAATATTTTGTTATCACTTTCCAAAGGTGCAATAACATAAATACACTGAACGTGAATGCATTTCTTTTGTACCATTTTTTAACTTAAACTCCCAGTAACATGGGTAATGTAGAAGCTGTATATTTTAACCCAAAACACCAGCTACAACTTGAGCGTTGTTAGAAATCTTACCATTCCCCCCTGCTTTCCCTCTCCCCGTTTTTCTCTCTCTCCCCCACTCTCCCCCTCCCCATTTCTCCCTCTCTTTCTCTCTCCCTTTCCAACTCTCCTCCTCTTGTGTTTTAAAAACTCCGGTTGCTGATCTACTTTAGGAGTGGGTGCAGAGATCTGATCCACTTTAGGAGTGGGTGCAGAGACCTGCTTTGCCTGCTGTGTGACCAAATGCCTGAACATACGGAGCATGTGTTCGGCAGCAATCGGAGACCTTGCAATTCATCTTTGTCATCATTCCTGCCAATGTTTCTTCCCTCCCGTCCCGTCCTCCTGTCAGTTCTGCTTTTACTGCATTCACTTCTCTTTCTCTCCCCCAACTCCCCTACCCCCATACTAACCTACTTATGCTGAGGCCAGTTGCAGTGCCTCCAACGGATCACCCTGCCATGAACCAGACCCCTTCAGCCTCTCTCTGATCTTGTAGGGTCGCCGACAAATACAGTCACTACGCTTTACATTAATTCTTAGGAACATCACTTTTGCGGCCTTTTCAAACACCTGACAAGTTGCAATATCAAATTCAAGGATTTTTATTATTACGATAACTTCACCCACGGGCCATCTCTGGAGCTCCCTTGTCAGAAGCTTATTTCCTTACCTGGTCTCACCTGTGTCCTCTGTAACTCACCCTTTCACCATCATTAATTGCCACCGCTCTCTCCTCGCTGTGAACGGCACGGTGTTACTACGCGCGGCGGCAGGTTCTGCTCCCGGGCGTGGGTGCACAGTCACCCAGTCGCACCTTCACCGTCCTCTCTGTGTGTCAGGAACGGGGATCATCCTGGCGATGATGTTGTTGTGCCCACAGCTCTCGCAGCGCGTTTCCCTTTGAATTCTGCTCGGTGCATCTGCATTCTCGGCTCATTGATTCGGGGCTCAAGATGACTGGCATATTAGACGTGTAATGCTGTTGGGTACGGTGCTGTCTCGGTGGCTTGTTTTTCACACCCTGTAGTTCCAGGTCTAGGTCCCAGCAACTCCGGCAAGAAGGCTGCGGTACTTGTGTGCGTTAAGCTTGGTCAGTTCCGGACCGGCACCGAGGAGCGGCTGCCGAAGACTTTGCCTCTCCAAACGCGGTGGTTTTTTTAACAAACCGGCAGAGACTGTGTGCGAGAACCTGAAGCAAATGCAACATGTGTTTTACAGTGATTATCCTCATCATATATTGAATATCTGGTTATGACTGTCTTCTGGCTGTTCTCTCGCTGCAGTTTGTATGTTTGGTTGTGTTGCGCCACGCTGCATCGTTTCCCTGAATCGTAAAAAGCTAAACCATCAGCACTCTTTTTGCAGTCCCACAGGCAGCAGCCGGTATGCCTCATCAGCCGAGCTCAGTCAAGGGAGCTCCCAGCTCAGCGAGGACTTTGATCCCGATAACGAGAGTCTGCAGGGCTCTGAGATTGACGAGGAACGGGACAGAGACTCTTACCACTCCTGCCACAGCTCGGTGAGTTATGGGAAAGATGCTCAGGACTGGGACAAGGAAGACAACGAGCCACTGGAGATTTACAGTGAACCAGAAGAGTTCCAGAAAGAAGAAGAGGCCGAGGACGTTTATGAGGAGAAAGCTGAGGAGGAGGAGATTGAAGAGATTGAAGACATTGTTGTGGATGAAGTCCCTCCAGCAACTGAGGCGTCTCAAGAGCAGGAGGAAGAGAAACCACTGGAAACGTAAGAGTTTGAAAATCTTTGATAGCGAATAAAACGTAATCTTATTCGAACAGTCACTTGACTGTGTGTCTAAGTGATGCACGTCCCAGAGTGCTGGCAGTGAGGACGCAAGACAGTAATTGAATTGAGGAATGGGATGAATTTAGATTTTATTTGTTGTGTTTATTTTAATCCATATTTCAGGTACAGGGGAGAAGACGAGGGTCATTCCAATATGTCCAGAGCAAAAGCTAATTGGATTCGGGCGTTTAACAAAGTTCGTATGCAGATTCAAGAGGTGAGCTGGAGTTCCGTGTTGTTAGTTTGCTGAGTCAACACCCAGTGCTGGAAACTTTTACTTAACTGAGGATTCGAGCACTCCGGTCAATCAAAAGCAATATTAAAAAGGTGTATCTTCCTATGTCTAAAGTAATAATAATAGCAGTCCTTTCATTTGGTACAACACCTTTCATGTCAGGAGGACACCCAAAACGCTTCACAGGATTTACTGTAAAGAGGAGTGACTGTGCGTAGCCGAACACGGCAAACCCAAACGAGTGAGGAACAGGCAAAGGAAATCGAGGGATCTGAGCAGTTTGCATTATGCTAATTCTTTCCTGAGCTCACTGGGGAAATGTACAGAGCAGTGTTAACACCATTTAAAATGCTGCAGATATTCTAAAAACTTGCATCATATCTGACTGCCTTGAACATAAATATATTGATTTGTTTAGATGCAAACGAGGGAGATTTGCTGCCAGATTTGTTTTCCCAAATGCACTGAAAGGCTTTTATTAGTGTTGCTAAATGAAGCCTTTGCCAGGCACTATTCTAAGCCATACACATATCACCACGCCAGTGTACTACAACAACAACAACAAGATTACATTTGTATAGCGCCTTTCATGTCGGGAGGACATGCCAAGGCGCTGGACAGAGTACAACCTTTCAGACCCGAGCTGGGGTTGGGGGGAAAAGGGAGGGGAGGGAGGTTGGCCGATGGCATGGTTGAAGAGGAGGGTCTTGAGGCAGAATTTGAAGGAGGCAAAGGAGGGGCTGAGGTGGAGTGACTGGGGGATGGAATTCCAGAGATTGGGGGCAGAGTGGCTGAAGGCTCTCCCGCCAATGGTGGGGTGAGTGGGTTGGGGGATGTGGAGCAGCCAGAGCCGGCTGAGCGGAGGGAACGGGCGAGTTGGTAGGGGGTTAGGAGGTCGCAGAGGTAGGGTGGGGCAAGGCCATGGAGGGCTTTGTATGTGAGGACCAGGATCTTGAACTGGATCCTCTGAAGGATGGGGAGCCAATGGAGTCGGGCGAGAGTGGGGGAGATGAAGTCACGGAGTTTGGTGCGGGAGAGGACACGGGCTGCAGAGTTCTGGATTATCAGCAGCCTCTGGAGGGAGGAGTTGGGAAGGCTGACAAGCAGGGAGTTTGCATAGTCGAGCCTGGAGGTGATGAAGGCTTCAACAAGAGTTTCATGGCCTGAGGGGTGAGATAGAGGCAGAGTCGGGCGATGTTACGAAGGTGAGGGAAGGCAGAGCGGGTCATGGCTTGAATGTGGGGGAGTTTTACTCAGCCAGGAGGGGATTAGGACCCGAGGAAACATTTTATGCCATATAAATGTAAATTGTTGTTGTTTAATTGTCATTGACTTTAATCATGTTATCCCCATTTCTCAGGCACAACTTGGTGAAGGTGTTGGGGACCTGTCTAAACCCCTTTGGTTTAAAGGAGGGTAAGTTTGATTTAATTTACTTTCATTAATAGACAGCCAGGAATGTGTTTTGTCAGTCTAGGTTTCATGTGTTGAAACTGAAATGCTCTTCTAAACCTGCCTGAATTTCTCAAAACCAATTTCTTCCTCTGAGAGTCCATGCAGTGATTTACCTTCTACCTGAAGCTTGTGCCAAGCTCAGAGAAACTTTCAGTTCTGCACTAGTTTTAGATTTGTTCTGAGAGATAGGTGTGTCACTCAAAGAGCTCTGGTTATTCCCTTCAGAAAATAGATTGTCTGAAGATTCAGGGCACAGGTTTTGTGGCCGGATTAGATGAAATGGAAGTTCTTGCGATCCCCTTGCATAAAACATGAAGCTGACAAACCCGGGCACAGAGAGTTCTGCTGAAATGTCTCCTCACAGATGTTTCGTTGACAAATGAAATAAAGTGCTACCGAGTGCAGCGAATGTTCAGCCTGTAGGTTCATTGAGAAAAAGGACTTGACAGACTTGGGGCTCAGGAGAGGCGAGGTTGTATCTGGGGAGAACAGGAGACAGGTAGTTGAGAGCTATAGACAGTGAAGCAGTTGCTGTCAGTGTCACTGATCTCCAATATGCTGATAATGACGGGAGCCATGCTGGCCACTCCAATAAATGGCAGGCTCTAGAAATGGGGAAGGAACCTGCTTATTATTAAGATGCACTTTACAGGTGGAAAAACTCAGCTCAAGCTGGCTTTAACAGTCATGGTTCAAAGGTGTATTATTTTATTCTGGTCATTGTTTGAGGACCGAGTTGATTACTACTGTAATATTACTATTATTGCTAAATATTATTATTATGCTGCACAATTCTGCTTAATAAAGACTAATTTGTTGTTAATCTAGTCTCTTGTGAAAAAATATTCTTTGTTACTAGACATCTTGATTAATATTGATGAATATTAAGAGTGTAAGAGTGACAGAAATACTAATTCCAGGCATTTTCTATTTTCATATACAAATAATTATTCTTTCCTTTCCTGATTTTGCTTGTGAAACAATGTGAAATTAGACATGTGTCGTGTGTGTGTGTTCTCAGATTCCCGTGAGCCTGGGCTCAGGTTTTGTAAAGAGGAGGTGCAGTGTGGGAGGGAACATTTAAATCGTGATGATTTTTTTTGTTCGGATGAAATTCCATTTTTTCAATACAACAATTCCCTCCCTCCCCTCCCCCTCATCATCCCCCTTCCTCCCCCTGGTCTCGCCTTTGACAAGACTGAGTCAAGTCTCCAAATCCCACTCGATTTGGCTAAGCTTTTAAAGTGATTTTTATTTCCGCAGCTGAAGTCAGTTGAATCATCAGAAATGAGAGCTGCCTCGTGTCTGGCGCAGCAGATAACTGAGCCGTCAGAACCAGTGCCCGAGCCTGCTGTCTGTGCTCATTCTGTTTGCTTCTGAAAATCCCACAAACACAATGCAGGAAGGCTGACATTGCAGGAAGGCAGAATGATCACTGAACCAGATCTCAGTGGCCAGCTGTGTATAAGATTTTTACTTAAAAAGAGAGGGCAGATGCTTTCCTCTTCCTACATTTTCGATTCTTTGAACCCTATCCAGCTCTTTACCGCTGTTACCGAAAAGGACGTGGCAGCGAGTCTGCAGGGGGGGGGGCAATACAAGGGGAGGGCCGCTGCCCATAGTCAATATTCCAATGGTGTTTATCATTGGAAATGCCCAGGGTGCAATTCTGTGCACCGAGTAGAGGAGTGAAACCCAGTTTCCCCCCCTCCCAGGTTAAGCAGATTATTTTCTAGAGGGGGAGAGACTGGGTGGTGTTAGTGTTCAGAGGGATTTGGGTTTCCTTGTACACCAGTCACAAAACGTTAGTCTGCAGGTACAGCAATCAACTCGGAAGGCTAATGGCATGTTGGTGTTTGTTGCAAAAGGGTTAGAATACAAGAGTAGGGAAGTCTTGCTGCAGTTGTATAAGGCCTTGGGGAGACCGCACCTAGAATATTGTGTGCAGTTTTGGTCTCCTTATTTAAGAAAGGACATATTCGCCTTAGAGGGCGTGCAGCGTAGATTCACTAGGTTGGTTCCTGGGTTGAGGGGGTTGACCTATGAGGATAGGCTGAATAAACTAGGGCTATATTCTCTAGAATATAGAAGAATTAGGGGTGATCTTATAGAAACCTATAAGATTCTTAAGGATGTTGACAGGGTAGATGCTGTGAGACTGTTTTCCTTGGTTGGAGAATATAAACCTAGGGTTCATAGGCTGAAGATTAAGGGTTAGCCTTTTCGAAATGAGTTGAGGAAACATTTCTTCACTTAGAGGGTGGTGAATTTGTGGAATTCTCTACCCCAGAGGCTGTGAATGTTCAGTCCTTGAACATATTCAAGACTGAGGTTGATAGATTTCTAAAGGATAGAGGGATTAAGGGATACGGGGATAGGGAGGGTAAATGAAATTAGGTTAAAAGATCAGCCATGATCTTATTAAATAGCGGGGCACAGGCTCGAGGGGCCAAATGGTCTACTCCAGCTCCTATGTCTTATGGTCTTAAACTAAATTGCCAAACACCTCTCTATGCACCTTCCCTCTCCCCACCATGTCACTAAACTCGGGAGGAAACGGATACTCCAGGACCTGTTACTATACCCAGTCAGCGAGTGCACTGGTTGACCATTAACCTTTTATCTGCCGCGTATAGGAACTCAGCTGCTTGCTCACTCGCTCGCACGTGCTTCGAGGAGGCACCACGTGGCTGTGCTGTGTGACTCTGACTCTCGCTGTCTTTTCCAGGCCTGGGGGTGGGCTGTACAGTATTGACAGCATGCCAGATCTTCGAAAGAAAAAACCCAAAAACCTTGTTAGTGATTTGGTGAGACACCTCTTTTCTCCACAGTGACCTGCCACTTTGCTCTGAGGCATCTGACCCCCATGGGATTGCGCCTGTACCTTGCTCGCTAGTAATTCTCTCTGTTTCTTTTTTTTTCCTTTCTTTTCTTTTGATTTTTTGTGTTTATTTTTGTTCATTTCTTGTTTCACTTGTAACCTGTAGGGGAGCAGCGGTTAAGTTTCTGCGTAGTATTGACAGCATGCCTGACATTAAGCCTCGGCGTAAATCCCTCCCACTGGTTAGCGACCTGGTGAGACATTTCTTCCCTGCTTTATTACCAGTGTGGGCAGTGCTCAGTGGGCATACACTGGCACTGCCCACAGTATTAGACAGGCTCTGGGGTCAGCAGTGCGCTGAAGGACTTTGGTTTCTATACTCTTTGCACAGCTCCAATTAACACAAACCTTTTGATTCCACGCATTTTATTAGTGCATCCAATTCTCTAAGTCTCTGTTTATTGCTGGGCAACTCATCAGCTACTAAAGAGCTCCAAATTACAGAATGTGCTCAGTATTCTGTCCACCTGTCTGCACAAACTACTCTTAATGTTTCTTGTTAAAAGCTTTCCCAAACTCTTCCCCAGATCAAAGCGCAGGGGGTTGTTCTCTGATTGTCGTTGCTTTCACTCACGGTGGCGATGTGAGGAGCTGGTGGGATTATCCCATCGTCACCCTCACATCACCATCGGCAGTCACTGTGCCAGCCCGCTCCCCTGCCACAGGGACTGGGGAATTGCCTCCCTCCCCATTAACTCAACATGGCAAAAAATCCAAACAAATTGTGAACAGGCTCGTTTGCAGCAATTTAAAACAGTCACCCCCAAAATCAGCTTGGTGGGCGAGAGCAGGAAGAGGAATAAAATTGATCAACCCCCTCCCTCCCCCCCCCCCCCCCAACGATCGATCAAGATTCATTGATTGGCAGATGAATGAAGGAACGCCAGTAATAGAACCAATTGGAATATTTGGCTGTTTGAGATCACCAGCATTCAATAAACAATCAGCAAAGTGGAAACCAAAGATCTTAACAGATTCCAGCCGCATCTTTGCTTCACTTTTTATTCTGTTACCCATTTATTTACTTTTTGATTTATTTTTTTCTGGAGGTTTTTTTTTGGCTTCTGCTCTGCTCTGTACTGCCTGTTTCCAACTTCTCGAGTGCCTGATCACTCGTTACCCCATCTCCTCCCCCCCTCACTTCCCTCCCCCCGCGCTGTCTGACACCAGAAGCCTGTGATAGTGCAGCCTTTGTGATATTAGTGTTGAAGGTTTTATTCCAATTCAGATACTTACGGTAATAGATTGAAGATTTCCAAACCCTGATCATACAAACACAGAATCAAAACACAAAAAAACACAAAAAGTGACATTTTTAGTTCATTTTCTGCCAACTGGGGATTGTTTTGTTTAATATGGAATATTTAGGTGTAAATTATTCTTCCCCCACCAAAAAAACACAAGGTTTTACTTGTCTGTTCCTCAGTTGTCGAGTGTTACTATGAAATTTAACAGGTGAGAAGCTCTCAGTGTTTCAGAGTTGTATTAACGGGCAGCAATAAAATAGCAAAAATACAAACTATCACCCCCCCCCCCCCACACAACACACACACACACTCCTCTCCCCACGGATTGAATTTAAGATCCTCAAGTCTCCCCCTCCCCATCCACGACCTTCCTCCCAAAATGACGTGCTCCAGTGCGTGATGTGAGGTGACACTGACTGTTGACCATTGTACATTGAAGAGCACTGATGCTAAAGTGCACGCTCTGGTGATCAATGACATAAAGACGTGGGGAAGAGTGTCATTTGCAGTGGAATACAATCTGAAACTCCGAGGCCAGTTGACATGAATGTAGAAGAAGGTATTTTTTTACAACATGACAGCGTTGATGAGCAGAGTGGGAAATGGCAGCTGTGCATCACTCCAGCCCTCACTGTCAGACTCGGGGATGTGCTGAGGAGGCTCTCGCCTTGAGGCAATTCACTCAACAACAAGATTACATTTGTATAGCGCCTTTCTTGTCGGGAGGACGTCCCAAGGCACTGAAAGGGAGAGCTTCACAGCGAGAGGCAAAAGGAAACAGGGAGAGAGACAATGAGTTAGAGAGAAATTGACAAACAAGTAAACTTTGTTGTGAACAATAAATTGGACAAATATCAACCTGACGTTCTCAGTGGTGGATACTATGTGGAAGTGTAAAGCAGATTATGGATGCAAAATTTACATTTTTTAAAAACGCTTTAATATTAAACAGTCAGTTGGCAGACACATTTATTTCCTTTTTACAAAAAAATCTCATACTCTGAGCACCAATGATGTTTCACCCAAATATTAGACAATAATGGGGTTTGGAAGGTGCTACCTGTCAATTTCTGTGCTATAAAACATTCCCCGAGGTTGGCTCATGCTGATAAGACACCGAGCTCGGAGCTGCTTAAAATAAAACACAAACAGCCAGGGAGAGGGGGCCACTGACAGTCATAACCAGATGGATTTATTTTCAACTGGAAATTGTATTAATTTTAAAAGCAAATATTTTAACCTTTTGCAGTAACATGTTTTTAGATGAAAACAACCTGGTTAGGCCAGGAGTTAAATGAGCAGATTTAAATAGCAACAGAATATTTCCCGAGACTATCGATTTAACCAAAGCTTTTCTGGGCACAGATCCCACACTCCACCATGCCCTTACCGCAGCAATATCCCACAAAGTCGCGGATTGAGTGACCAAATTATTATTTATTTTGGAGGGTTTAAAAACATTTTATTTTTATGAAGTAATTTTGCTCCTTTCTAACTATCCCCGTGATTTCATAGGAGGCCCAGGAACTGTTTATGTTTTACATTAAGGCAACCAGTCCGTTGTGTCTGATTCCCTGAGCTATCCTAGAACGTGCAGAATTCTTAATGGAGCTTATTCCATCCGCTTCTCCTTAGATCATTCATGCACAGTGTGTGGCTGAGTGGCACAGTGTAGGTGTACATTATTGTGATTAATTGTGATGGAGTCAGACTCATGGGCATTGATCCCCTTTGAATCAGTGAACTGATTGATGAGAAAAACACTTCAAATGCTAAAGGTGCGAACATTTCTTGTGAAAATATAGCGTTATGTTGTTTTGTATTCGGGAAACTCTTAATAACATGTTCAAATGAAGGTTTGTTCTGTTTATGGAGTGGTGGTGGGAGCAGGGACCTCTACCATTGCCACCTGGCTCTCCGTCTGGAAAGCAATCCAGAGTAAAATAAATATTATTAAATTAAAACGAGTGACTGAGACGGACACCATCGTGTTCCCACACTAGAGGAAGACAGCTTTTCAGTCCTGCTGTTCCACGTGGACAGAGAACATTTTAATACTGATAGATTTTGCATTTTTTGCATTTTTACTTTTCAAATGTTTAACTTCATCCAACCCAGACAGATTTCCACATATGCTCGTCACCTACACATGGAAATTTCCCTGAGCCCGGAGCAGAGTGTGTGCTCTCTCCCTGGAGGGACTCACCCTGCTTACATAAATCAGGAGAGTTTTAGGAGTCAAGGCTTTGGGACCCCAGAGTGTGCATGGGGGGTGGTGGGGGGGTTAACTGTGTTTAAAACTAAAGCTGGAGGGCTTCCTCAGCAGGGTGAGGCCATTCACAGATGTTATGAATTTTTTGTGTCTACGTGATTTTATCTAAATACAGATGTACTGTACATCAAAGAACAGACCAATAAGCAGACAGTAAGTCACAAACCCAAGCTAAACACGTATTGAATGGAATACAGTGCTAACGATCCCCTGCTAACAGTGCCCATGATCGCTGACCTTATGATTTGTGCTCAATGTGAAGCCTTGAACGTTTTTTAAGATCCACGTATTAATGTTTTTTGTAATTTATTTCATCATTGCAATCACTTTGTGCAGGCTATGGTAAGTGCTTTCTCTGTGGTCTACTCTCGCACTCTCTGATGAAGGTGTATTTAGTGTTTGAGCAAAAAAAAACCATGAACCAAATTGCACCAAACTGAGGAACGTAAAGGGTGGTATGATTCCTCGCGATAAGCTGCCCAGTTCTCTGCATGTCTCGTGGTTGAAATTCACAGAGACCGACTGTGTAACGAGGCAGATCCTGATCGGGCAACAATAATTTCACAGTTATAAGTGCTGTGATTGGCCATGTAGTGATTGACATTAACACAGTCAATATTCCCTCTAATTTGATTGTAACGTAACTACTGAAATAGCTGAAACAAAAAGCCCGGTTTTCTCCCCCAGTTGAGTGAGGAGAAAATCCTTGTGAAGTTTGGAATTTTTTATTTAGTTACAAATGGATCTTCAATTGGATTGGAGGCACCTTGATGCCCTCTCTGTGGGGGCTCTTACCATCTTATACCTCTGTTTGTTTGGCATCTCCAGGTTCAGGGTCCATATTGTCCTGACTACAATTCGTTGCACGTGTTTTTCCCGCTGGACCATTGTTTGGATTATAAACCAGACAATGAGGCCAGTGACGTGGCTTTGTCAACGACCAACATGATTTTACAACACCTTTGCCAGCTACTCAGTGTTAAATAAGCTGTTTAAGCATCACATAAACACAACTCCAAAAGGTACAGACATTTAGCCATGTCAAACCCAATGTCTATTATTTCTTATGTGATTGCCTTACAATCTGTTGTTTTGTATCATATAGTATTCATAAAGATATTATAACGTTATAAATAGTCGTCTCTCAAACTGAAATCCAAGCTTTGTCTAACCTCCTTGTCCAGCTCATCATTGAGGCTATTGCTGTTTGTCCTCCAAACAGACACTGAATCCCTGGTTGTAATGGAAAGTTATCACAAATGGTTGTGCAATTCTCAAGGGAAAAGATTAAATGTCCCTTAATGGAAATGCTGCAAATCTCTAAAATGTTGAATTAATTGAAGATGCCCATTCAGAGAGGTTTTCTTCCTGTTGATATCTATTCTCGTAGTTTATCTTGTGATCACTTAGTGGAAATTTACTATTCCACTTTCAAAAATACAGCACCTATTGAACCCGGTGCTCCAAATCCCCTTTCAGCTAATGCAAAGTCTTATTCCAGCCAATAGAGCATCACCACAGCATATATTTGAGCAATATTATTTTGGCATGTTACTGTTTTGTTTCCTCATTTGAAGAACTTTTCTGTAAGTAAAACTTTTTAAACAGCTTCACCTGAGTTGCTGGCTTTAGGGTGTATGGGTCGTTGAGTTAATCGCGTTACCCCAATTCCCATTGGGAGGGAGAAGAGAGACGTTTCCACTCCCGACTTCAGTAAAGAATATTATGCTATGTGTAGTTTGAGCTGTAGAAGATTCTGTCAAGATGTTCACACCTCACACCGTGTATTTGTCATTTGTATTTTGTTATTTGCATAGTCTTTGGTGCAATCAAGAAAAGCTGGCATTACTTCTGCACTGGCCACCCGCACCCTTAATGATGAGGAACTGGTAGGATTGTTTACTGTGTGTTTCTGTGACGCGGGAGTGACTGAAAATATGCTTCATGTTAGAAATTGTGCTGAATTCCCTTACAAAAGTAACCAACTGTAGAGTTACACTCGGGATGTTATACACCCCTTTCTGTGTTTTCACTGGCCGTATTCTTTCCTTGAATGGGCAGCCGGGTATTTGACACATGAGGGAGCCCATCAACTTGCTCAAGAGTCTCCAAATCAGACTGAGCGTTCTGTGCTTCCCACCTACACACGGAACTTTCTCTGGAATGGAAAGCGCTCTCTCCCTCCCTGTTTACCTAATTCTGGAGAGTATTAGGCGCAGGTTGCTGGGAGCCATGTTAGCGCATCCCATCTTTTATTGCCAATAACGATATCAATTTATCAGTGATTGGAACATGTTTGGGGCTGTCAATCAATTGCCTGTTCAGAGAGGTTTGGTGCCCGGGAAGAGGGGAGGGGAAAGATGGTCAGATTGAGCTATAAATATCCTGTCTGTGTGCTGGAGCTGGGAGGGGGTAATCAATCTGCTCCGCCAATTGCCTGTTTCCTGCAGGGACTCTCGGCAATGAGCTTGTGCTGACTAAACTCCTAATTATTATTCACCTTTCATGCCAAACTACTGCTAACATTTTAGCTTTAAACCAAGAGTGCGAGGACTCGAGGGTGTGTGACCCGGGTCCTTTCCATCGCCACACACAAAACACCCAACAGGCAAGTGTTCAAATGGACATGAGTCAGGCAGCAGGAAGTGTGGCTAACAACATCTTTCTCTTGTTCCGCTAGAAAAATCATGTTTACAAGAAGACCTTGCAAGCCTTAATTTACCCCATCTCTTGCACAACACCGCACAATTTTGAAGTGTGGACAGCGACCACACCCACCTACTGTTACGAGTGTGAAGGGCTGTTGTGGGGAATCGCGCGTCAGGGAATGCGTTGTTCCGAGTGCGGGGTCAAGTGTCACGAGAAGTGCCAAGATCTTCTCAACGCGGATTGTTTGCAGCGTAAGTTATGTCGCTTCACTTCGCTCTGCTCTGAGAGCCAGGGTGGGCTCGATGGCCTGGGCGCCCCCTCGGCATGATTCTGTGTCGTTCTGTGGCTAGCGGAGGCGCAGGGGGCGGATTTGGTTCACGGTCCCCAAAAATGGTGCACTGTCGTTTCATGTGATAATTACCGGCGGTAATATCATACTCTGCATTTTTCTCCCCAAAGTATGGTATTGTGCTGCATTTTTCTGTTAGTCATTGTTTTTTTCTCGCCTCGGATAATTTCAGGCGCTGCTGAGAAAAGCTCCAAACATGGAGCGGAGGATCGGACACAGAACATCATCATGGTGCTGAAGGACAGGATGAAAATCAGAGAGCGGAATAAACCCGAGATCTTTGAGCTCATCCAGGAGGTGTTCGGCCTTCCAAAGGCTTCTCACGGACAGCAGATGAAGTCAATTAAACAGAGTGTGTTGGACGGAACATCAAAGTGGTCAGCAAAGATTAACATCACCGGTAGGACTGAATAACATTTTATTCAAGAATATTACCTTATTACATTTCAGATGCGTCCGCACTGGCAGGGAGCCTGGCCCAGCTCTCCGCTACTCCTCTTCTTGCCAAATGGGCCTTTTGATCATCGCCTGTCAAACCGTCCAGATATTCTGTCGTATTGAGGTGCGAGAAAGACATTCTTGTAAACTTGGACGTGGTGGAAGTCACTGGGTACTTCTGGGGTTGTATATCTCCAGTGTCAGTGACCTAACGATCTCTGGTGGGAGTCCAGTTAGAGCTTTGAGCTGTGAGATCCCTGTGCGGGATGTGTCCAGGCAGTGGGTCCGGTCGGGGTGTTTTGGCGCAGAAAGAGATCCAGAGTGAAAAAATGACGTGAAACTTCTGGAGTTCAATAAATGTGGGCAAAGTAGGGACCTGCAGGAGCAGCGTGTACTCTCAACCTCAGACAGACAGCAAGCCAGACAGACAGCTAGACAGACAGAAAGCCCTCTAATATTTATAATACACTCCACATCCAGCTTCAATCAGCTTTTACTAATTTCATTACTGTAAAAATCAATAGACCAATTTTATAACCATGAAAACTCATTAACAATTACCTGATGGCTTTTAATGTCTGTGAAACTCTTTTGATGTTTAAAGAAATAACATTGATGGCATCACTAGATGATGTGTGATTGGTACATTCCGGTTCAGTATGTGGACCACATGCTGGCTGATGAACGAGACGAGGAGGTGTTTCCATCTGTAGATACCAGCTTCTTCAGACCTACCTCTTCGACCACTCCTGCCGTCACCTCCTTCTCCTCCCTTACTTGATGTCCAGCCTAGTCCCTATAGTGATTAAAAGCGTTGTATAAAGGCAGCTTGTTGTTGTTGTGTACACACATCCTGAACCGATGGACAGGAGCCCAAATTGCTGGCCCAGTCCTGCTCAGTAATAAACTTCTCTGATTCTAGGATCTATGTACAGTTTGTCAGTTTTACATCAAGCTTGTTGTGGCTTTAACCACTCGGCTATCAGGACAGTCTGAGTGTCTGACTGCACGTACTGCATATTTAGATTTGAAAGTTCTTAGGCAAACTATTCATGGGAAAGATTATCGGGGGGATTGACATGAGGCTTGTGGAGGAACGGCCCTACAATCATTATCAAAGCAAGTGTGGACACTTGTCTCAGCGAGCTGCAAATAGATGAAGATCGAAGGGTGATTCCCTGAAGGGAAGTATTTCCTGTATTAAAGTGAGATATCTGATTCCTACTGACATGTACCTATTTGGGTTGTTAGAGTGTTTGGTGTGGATTGTTGTTACAGAGACTGTGGCCAGTGTATTGAACTCTTGCCATGTGGAAAATCACAGAGTGAGTAAACGATAAGAGGTTAATAATACGTCATCCGAAGTTCCAACTAGATTATAGTTTCACAAGACGAATGCTCGTTTTTTTTACTAACAGTTCAAATGCGCCCAAAGTACACTCCAAACCTAACTGAATGACTGGGAATACTGAGATTATTACTTTGCAGCTGAGATTCACCCTCTGACCTTTTACTTGTGAACTTCCATTTTAAAAACTTGAAGATGATTTTTCTTGTCTTGGGACAGTCTGAAGTGTTTCAGCTGAATCCACAAAGCCTGACCGACCACAGATTGCTCGCTGTCACAGATTCCCTTATAAATGAGGACGCGTAGCCGGGAGTGAGGACCTCACTGGCTGCACTCTTTGCTCACATTCAGTGTTCTGCTTCCAGAGCATTCAGTTGCTGTGTTCAATGCTGTGTAACTAAACATTACAAGGCACTTGGTGAAAAGTGATCCTTTCTCCACTTAAAGAACAAACTAGACACACAAGGTCAAGGCATTTCAGTGTTTCCCCATTTGTCATTTTCCGTTGAAATCTCAGACAGAGAACACTGCATTAGCTCCTGCTATTCTACCACAATCTGAGTCTAATGAAGCTTTGAGACTTAATTTGTTCCACTGAACGTCAAGGCTATAGCTTGGCTTTGAAGCACGAATCTCGCCCACGTTTTACATGCCCTCGCTCTGCTGGCTTGCTGGGCCTGACGAGCCATGCTGTTGCTGTCTGATCTCACCTCCCTTGGCATTGCGATTCTCGGCTGCATCGCTGCATCTTTTGCCTCAAAACAGAGGCCAGAGTTTACTCTCCTTACAGAATGCTGTGAAACGTGGACAGGTCCCAAAATGGGCAGCTTGTTAGGATTCACGCTCAGATATAAATGAAGTCTGTTGTCTGTGAGTTCGAAGGTGGGACTGAACTCAGCAATTTGCTACATTCTGGGACACAGTAAAAAGCTCCATAAAGAGAGTATATGCAGACCTTTGCCCAGTCGAGGGGAGACGATGGAGGTGTCACCGTCTGTGATGGGAGTCAGTGTGCTGGATTTCTCCAAACAACCTCGGTGCAAATTGAGACATCTTGCGCTGTCCCTTTGAAGCCGTGCCAGTCAGTGCTGGCACGACTGGGCTCGATGTGGTTGGAATGGTGACTGGATTGTTGTGGAGTTTGAATTTGGATGTTTGCTCAGTTGGCTGTGCTCGATATTTAAAGCCGATCTTTAATACCTACAGTGGTGTGTGCCCAGGGTCTGCAAGCCAAGGATAAGACGGGCTCCAGTGATCCTTACGTCACAGTACAAGTTGGGAAGACTAAGAAACGCACTAAGACTATCTACGGAAACCTTAACCCAGTCTGGGAGGAGAACTTCAACTTGTAAGTTGCTTCCGATGTATCTTTAGTTACAGGGGATTCACAGGAAAGCCAGCCCTGACCAAACCCTAAATTGTTCTGTTTTTATCAGAAATCACAGCTTCCTCCACGCTCAAAAAGGCTGAACTATTTTACTTTTAAAATTTGGAAGTGGAACTTCAGTAATTTAATACAGTAAACCTAACATTTCCACGGGGGTGGGGGGGGAGGGGGGGAACATCTCTTAAGTGTTTCACACAGCTAGGGGCTGAAAAGGGTTGAGGTGAGGGAAAGATTTCTAAGAGCAGTCAGAGAGGTCATGAGGCGGGCTTTAAAATTGTTGAGTGGGGTGGGTGGGGGGGGTTGGGGGGGTGAGTCGGACGGACTCTTTGATGGAGTTACGGAGAGCCGGGTCAGGATGATTACTGAGGGATCACAATTCAGGAAGGAAAGAAAAGCCCGTATCGATCATTGCGTTTCAGTGAATGCCACAATTCATCTGATCGAATCAAAGTGCGAGTGTGGGATGAAGACGACGACATCAAATCCCGAGTAAAGCAGAGGTTCAAGCGGGAATCGGATGACTTTTTGGGACAGACCATTATTGAAGTACGAACACTCAGCGGCGAAATGGACGTTTGGTACAATCTGGGTAAGTACTGGCGTCAGCCTCACTCTGTTACACTGAGCCCTGGGTTCCCTCAGCACGGGGCCAGCAGGTTACACTCTACATTCATTACTCCGCTAATGTAGAGTTTGTAACAACATTGGATAAATCCCACCCGGGTCGAGATTTCCTCTGGTTTGTGTAGCTTTACAGAGCATTTAGGCCTGGGCAAAACTGTTGAGTTCAGTCTTAGTTTTGAAGCTGGTTAAATTTTAGCATTTAAAGAAAACCAGCTTCAAAATTAAGGTTGTGTTTAAGAATTTGCCAACCTCTGGACTCTCTGAAAGACTAAGAAACTAGAGTAAGCCTGGATCCGGGTGTGATTTCACCTTCTTTGGCTTCTGGGTTCGATTGCAAAATGACATTCCCTGTCTTAGGCAATCTTGTTTAGAATCATCATGTTTTGCAGCAGTGTCATTAAAACACAGAGAGTAGTGTTGTCGGTACTTTGAGAAAAAAAATCTGATTTATCTTTTTTTCTGTAAACAGTGTAAATTGAAGATCAGTTTAACAACTCCTTTAGAGCCTGATTTCATTATTTATTGCTCATGTTTCTACATACATTATATTTATATATAAATGTTAATTTGGATTGGATGTCACTCAGATTTATTTCATCTCAGTACAATTGTGAATTTTTTAAAAAAATGTTATTTTATCTTAACTCTTTGAATGAGAAATGTTCATTTCGGAAGAATATTACATTCAGCAATGTATTCAGCAGTGTATTTTTGTTGTGGAATTCAAAGGGTTAAAGCAGTAAAGTTGTGTTTTTTTTTGTTCATTTTGTGTGTTTTTTTTGCTTTCTTTTTCAGTTACTGTTTTAGGGAATCAGTATTGCTGTGACCTCATGCTAAAGAAACTTCTAGAAGACCTGAGATACAATGCTGCGCAGGTTTATACTTTTCAAGTGTGGAGCTGTAGTGTGTTAACTATCGAGTAAAGATCATATGCTTCCCGAATCCTCTGTTTGGGCAGCCTGAAGAATATTTTCTTTAGAGCATTTATGGGTTAAAATTCCCCCTTGTCGAGGTTTACTCTATAAAAGTGGAATTTTAAAACATCCAGAGTTTGGAAATTGTTGAGATCAGACTTAGCTTTCAACTTGGTTTTCTATGAAAAAGGAAAATACAGGCTACGGAACTAAAGATGTGGTTAAGAATTTCCCAAATTCTGGACGTTCTGAAGTCTAACCTTGATCGGAAATAATAATCCTCGCATTTGATACAGTGCCTTATTGCGTCGTCGAGGTGCATTGTCCCAATATTTTGAATAAGTTCCCTTCGAGCATATGATCTTTAAATTAGACGATAGAGCTGCTTTGTTTTGGTGCTGGGTGAGAACAGTCGTTTGCTCCTAATCGGTGAGCTTATAATCTGTGTGCCTTCAGAGCAAAACACTTGCTTCTTTTCTGTGGAATCTGCAACTGCTTTTACTCCTTTCACAACTTCAATTAGTTGTTTTTATATTGTATTGTATTGGACACACACACATACATGTGTCCGTGGATACATATAGCCTTCATATTTTTGCAAATACTCGGCTCCCCTCACGCTTATTGAGTGTCCACTTTGCCAGCGTGAGCGAGATTTCAGTCAGACATGGGTTTCACTGGAGAAGAGACTGTACTGAGGACTTTAGGCTTTAATTACTACAGTTTGTGAACTCTTTCCTGCTTTGCTAAGAGTTAGAAGCTCGTGCTCCTGATGCTGATAGGGTGCCGTACCTGACATCTCGGTAACACGGTGGTCATTTCTCTCTCCAGATAAGCGTACTGATAAATCGGCCGTGTCTGGTGCTATCCGGTTACACATTAGTGTGGAGATCAAAGGGGAGGAGAAGGTGGCGCCTTACCATGTCCAGTACACGTGCCTACATGAGGTAAGACACAAGTCGAGTTATGGGTCATAGTTGCGGGACGCTGCAAGCGTTAGCTCCATTGAGGCTTGCTGTACCTCACGGTCTCCCTTTGTGCGTCTGTTTCCTTAGAACCTCTTTCACTTCCTCACGGACATTCAGAACAATGGGGTTGTGAAGATCCCAGACGCTAAAGGAGACGATGCCTGGAAGGTTTACTTTGATGAGACGGCGCAGGAAATAGTCGATGAGTTTGCGATGAGATTCGGAGTCGAATCCATCTATCAGGCTATGACGTACGGACACGGTTTGTCTATCAGGCTAGCATGTACACACTGTTTGTCCATCAGGCTAGCATGTACACACTGTTGTCCATCAGGCTAGCATGTACACACGGTTTGTCTATCTAGATTTTTGCAGTCGGGTTCCTACCAATTGTATGTAAATGTGGATTTGTTATAATTAATGATTTTATCATCAGTTTTTGCGCATTTGAAAAGTTCCAATTCTATATGCGAGTGGAGACTGTTCATTTCCCTCCTAACGGCTGTGTTTCTCTGTCCAGACACTTTGCTTGCCTGTCCTCAAAGTACATGTGTCCTGGAGTTCCCGCTGTGATGAGCACACTCTTAGCGAACATCAACGCTTACTACGCGCACACCACTGCCTCGACCAATGTCTCTGCCTCCGATCGGTTTTCGGCCTCCAATTTTGGGGTATGTATATTAGAGAGCTCCTCAACAGCTTTGTCCACTATCGGAGCCTGTTAACATGACCCTTGGTGCTGCATCAATCCACCACTGCTGTGTAAGGAGAGGCTAGAAGTGAAGCACTGGTTATTGATTGACGGTATCTGTGCCCCCCTCTATAAACATCGCCAGCCGCCGCTGCTTTTAATTAAACCTGAGGCTGAGAGCAGCTCACGACTGATATCCAAGGACTCACACAGTCAGATGAATAGCTAATTCAAATGATAAAACAAACCCTCCAGCACCGGTGGACAGGAAAGTGACCTGCTGCGCAAAAGTCTTTCTCTCTCAGCGAACCCACCTCCTGGGACACAGCGAGGTCTAAAATGCGACGTTTGCTAGACGATCACAGCTCACTGATGTGTTGTGTGTTGTTCCTTACAGAAAGAAAGGTTTGTGAAACTCCTGGACCAACTGCACAATTCCCTGCGTATTGACCTGTCAATGTACAGGGTGAGTGAGGGATGGAGAGACTGAGAGAGAGAAGGAGTGAATGAGGGAGTGAGTGAATGAAGGAGGGAACAAGAGAAGGGGGGATTTTGAAGTTGCTTATTGAGTGATTAAAACCCACTTCCTTTCCCACAGAACAATTTCCCAGCGAGCAGTCCAGAAAGATTACAAGATCTGAAGTCTACAGTTGACCTATTGACCAGTATAACCTTCTTTCGAATGAAGGTAAGTCCGGTTTTGTTTTAATTCTTCGGACTTCCTCCCCTTTCACCCCTCACCACCCCCCCAGTACTTCACTGGAGCACCACTCCAGCCAACACGAGGCTTGAACACACAACCTTCCAACCCAAAAGCGAAAGAGAGCTCCCAACTGAGCCTATCTGGCACCACATATCTGCATGTAATGACTTGAATGAAACTAAGAGAAGGACAGAGGCACTTTTTATGAGTTGGCAGGAAATCAGCGGGTTGGGTTCTGATGGTCTGGCAGCATCAGCAGTGTCTAGACCGGGTTACTGCAGGGAGAATAGGCTGATTTATGAGACTTGTAAAATGGAGGCTTGTTGTGCTAATACTGTCCCTTCCATTTGGGGCAATCTTACAAAATTATTCATAGTTTTTCATTTAGCTGCTGATTAATGAACATGACCGATTCCCCACTGAACACATCCTGGTGCAATTAAACACCAGCTCCATATAAAATGAATTATCACCGCAGTGCTTTGAAATAGGGCCAAAATTAGAGCAATTTTTTTTACATATAAGACAAGTACGGACGGCACAGATAAATTCTCGTGTAAAACAATGTTCCTTGCTCTGTACATTTGAAGGGAATTCATTTCACACATTCAGGTTTCCCAGGGCAGGTGAGGTAGTGAGTGGGCTTGGTGTCAGCCTAACTCGCCTCTCAGTCAGACAGAAGGTTGTGGGTTCATGTCGGGACATTGATCTGATATAGTCTCGGCTGACACATCAATACAGTGCTGTGGGGCAGTGCTGAATTGTCAGGGCGCCATCCTTCAGATGAGATGATAAACCAAGGTCTTATCCGCCCATTCGGGTGGACTTTATTGTTGAATAGTAAGCTTTATTAAATGACAAATGATCCCAGCACTGTTCTTTCCATCTCTTGAGGACATGGTTTAACGGCGCAGATTTCGGGCTAATAAAGGGTGAAAGTATGGGGATAAGAAAGGTCTGTTTCCTCAAATCCACAAATAAATAGTCATTGGCTTTAGGTACACTAGAATCTGAACTGGTTCACCTACATTTACACAGTTACTGCATCTGACAGTCATTTCCTGTGAGACCGTACAGCTTTACAAGCACTGGATCAATGGCTAGGATGATTTATTATTATATTAAAATCCTCCGATCATTCTGTGGACTTAGCAGATTATGTGCCTGTGACGTACATGTTCCAGCTGTAAGCTCCACACGAGTTTTAGACATCAATTAAAATCTGAGCATTAAAATGCAGTGCTATGTCGCTGAAATAGCACAAATCAATACTGAAACGCCTCACATCTCCTCTGTGTATTTCTAACCTCGTTTTATTGATACTGTGCAGGTGCAGGAGCTGCAGAGCCCACCGCGGGCCAGTCAGGTGGTGAAGGACTGTGTGAAAGCCTGTCTCAACTCCACGTACGAATACATCTTCAACAACTGCCACGAACTGTACAGTCGCGAATACCAGACAGACCCGGCAAGTAGAGAGCTCTCTGTAACGCTCATTCGCTTCACCCACACTTGCTGAAATGATTGGCCATTATTTTTCCCTGCATTGCTGCTGATTCATCATATCTGTGTGAGTGTGAGTGCGTGTGAGAGTGTGTGTGTGTGTCTGTGTGTGTGTGTGTGTGTGTCTGTGAGACCTACAGGGAATTTGTTACCATTTCAGGACTGTTTACTTGAATGTGATTTGTAAAAAGGGGAAGAAATCATTGAGTGAAAAGTGCCCAACTTCAGAATAACTTGACACCTCTCACTGGCTGTTAATATGAACACGTGGACAATGTATTACAGCTTTAGCTCTTTCAGAGAACTGGCACACAGGCTGATTGACCAAATGGCATCCTTCTGTACTGTCAGATTCTGTGATTCCAAGAACTTGCTGGAATTGACTGCTGTGTTCGCCTGTAACTACACAGTTACTACACTTTACAGTAAACTCCTGTGCAGCGCTTCGAAATGTCTTCTTGACATGAAAGTCAGTGTATCAAGTGTGAGGACTATTATTAATATTATTATTTTATCACCTACAGACTAAGAAAGCTGAGGTGCCCCCAGAGGAGCAGGGACCAAGTGTCAAAAACCTGGACTTTTGGTCCAAACTCATCACACTCATCGTCTCCATCATAGAGGAGGACAAGAACTCCTACACTCCCTGCCTCAACCAGTGAGTGTCCAGGTGTCTGTGAGAGCTTATGTGATGTGGTGAACGCTGACTGACAATCCCCCAAATAAAATCAGTCATTCGCTTGGTTAGGAAAGTCTTCCGCAAATTGATTGCCCCTTTCGTCCACAAAATACACACAATCGCTGCACTCTTAAGTATATCCTGTGAAGCACTTTGAGACATCTCGACGTCATGGATGCCAGCGTATCAAATGTTGTTATCATATACACGTGGTGAATCTCAGTGTGTCAGCCGCCCGGAGCTTGGCGAAGTGGACAGCGAACGGCTGTGAGTGGTCTTGTGTCTGCTGGAAGCTACAGGAGCAATCGGCCACCGCCATTTACTCCTATCACACGTTCAATCTTCTTTACAGGTTTCCTCAGGAGCTGAATGTGGGCAGGATCAGCGCAGAGGTGATGTGGAACCTTTTTGCTCAGGACATGAAGTACGCAATGGAAGGTGAGTGGTAATATGGCCACACAGGTGCCTCTATTCTCTTTGTGTTGCTCACTACATACGGGCAGTGGGTATGAGCTGCCTATCTACTCAGTGCAGTAAACGTTAGAGTGCGGAAGACTTTCCTCACCCCGTCCTCTTTCTCGTGCCTTTAATGAGCTTGTTTAAAGCATTTTGTGTTGGCTTTAAGCTCTCAGCAATAATGATTGTGCTTAAAGAGTTCTCAGATATTTTGACATGGGATTGTCTTTAATGCAGGAATTGTCCCCAGAGTTCTCTATTGGAGGAACGTTCTCTTCACTGGGCAACTGGGGATTTTTTGAAGCAGCTATAAATACCACTTTAAATAGCTACTGGATTAATCGCTGACAGTTCTATTAATCTTGCTCTTGTCAGCTGGACCTTTCATGCTCAGCAATGATTCAGAGCCTCCTGCTGTGCAGATCTCTGAGAGCTCATCACTGTTTGGCAAACGGTGTCCTGGTTTCAGCGCCTGATCCAGAGTCTGATCTAGTGCCTGATCCGGAGCCTGATCGCTGTTCTCTGCTCCAAGACTGTTAACTCAGTTCGGCTCCGTTACAATTAATCTGAAGAATGTGCCTGGTTGTGGAGTTTCTGTAGCGGAGCAGTGAATGAGAGCAGCGACATTAGATTGCCGTGCAATACAATTTACATTTATACAATGCCTTTCACATCAGAAGATTGTCTCAAAGTACTTGACACTGTTGGCTGGGTACCCAAGCTGGGGTGGGGGGGGGGGAGCTGGGTGCAGAAGAGGGTGGGAGAGGGGATCGAAGAGGTATGTCTTGAGGTGGGCCTTGTACACAACTCAACAGCAACGTGCAGTCGAGGATCATTTACACTGAAATGCCAAATGTGTCGCAGTTTGTAAGCTTTACAATGATTGTTAGAGGAATAACATAAATGGGCTGAAAATGCTTCTCTCGCACTGTGTCTGGACATCGAGGAAGAGTGAGGAAGAGCTCTCATCTCGGTATTCTGATTGGTGTGAAGAGTGATTAATCTGTGGGCCATTGAGAGCTTTATCTCCTATTGGTTGCACATTTCAGTTGCTGGATAAATGTTTGCGAGGAATTTTAACTCTGCATGTCTTGGGGAGCGGGAAATTGACCCGTTCCAATACACAGTAAAAATTATTTTGCGAATTGTTATCTTTTTGGCAGAAAATGAAATTTGTGAGCGATCCATGTTCAACTCTTATGAACCTTTCAGACGGAGTTGCTTAATCTCCTGAGCGAGAGAGCAGCTGAGCTAGAAAATTATTCTGGAACTTTCTTTCAGCTTTTATTCACTTGGTTCACTGACGTTGTGACGTCAGTACTGACTGTTAACTGATAGTGATTCTGAACCTTTCACTCTTGTCTCCCAGAGCATGAGAAGCAGCGGCTTTGTAAAAGTGCTGACTACATGAATCTACACTTCAAAGTCAAATGGCTGTACAACGAGTATGTGAAAGATCTGCCAGCGTTTAAGAACACAGTCCCAGAGTATCCCACGTAAGTCACACCGGGGGTGGGACTGGGGAGGAGAGTGAGTGGGGAGGGGAGAGTGAGGGGTGTGCTGGGGGGGAGGCTAGTGTGGAATATAAACACACAGTGTAGTACAGCCTTTCCCCGTGCTGTCATGTTCTGTGTAAATGGTGAGAGGAGTAACAAGGATGTGCTGAATAACGATACAAGGAAGGATTGGAGGAGATGCGCTCCTCTTGTTTTCTGAACCTCCCAACCACACGTGCGGGCGCACATACATACAATATGAAAAGCCTGAGAGAATCCTCTCTATACTTGCCCACCTCACAGCAGGCTGCAGTGTAAATGGAGGTGTTGGCTACTTTAGCCATCTCTTCATTATAAATGTATGAGGCGAGAAATTACAGCACAGAGAAAAAAAATTACCTCCATTGGCTGAGGAGCCCCACCAGGCTGATTTACTGCACTGGCATTTGCCGAGGTTTGACAAGTTAATTTCTATTGCCAGTAAATCATTGCCAGGCAGCCCAGTCAGAGAAATTACCATTCTTCTGCTTCAGAATTAGTGTCTGGGGCCGAGTGCTACAGAGAAGTCTGTATAAATCAACACAATGAAAATCTGCCCCGTTAACTCTTCCCGGACTCCGGATCACGGGCCAGAGAATTGGCCGTGTCCTTAAAGCACTTCTTCACCCAGATGGAAATCTATTGAGGTCAGCACTAATGTGGCCAGCACTAATGTGGCTGGCACTAATGTGGTCGGCACTAATGTGGTCAATGTGGCCAGCACTAATGTGGTCAGCACTAATGTGGTCAACGTGGCCAGCACTAATGTGGCTGGCATTAATTGGCCAGCACTAATATGGTCAGCACTAATGTGGTCAATGTGGCCAGCACTAATGTGGCTAGCACTAATGTGGCCAGCACTAATATGGTCAGCACTAATGTGGTCAATGTGGCCAGCACTAATGTGGTCAGCACTAATGTGGTCAATGTGGCCAGCACTAATGTGGCTAGCACTAATGTGGCCGGCACTAATGTGGTCAACGTGGCCAGCACTAATGTGGCTGGCATTAATGTGGCCAGCACTAATGTGGCCAATGTGGCCAGCACTAATGTGGTTAGCACTAATGTGGCCAATGTGGCCAGCACTCATGTGGTCAGCACTAATGTGGTCAATATGGCCAGCACTAATGTGGCCGGCACTAATGTGGTCGGCTGAGATAGTTAGTTTAGGAGGTTAAAAACTACAAAATACGAGAATAATTTAAAACTAATTAAAACTTAAATGTAAATGTTTGGGTTTTTACATGAATCTCGCTTTTGCTGTGAGTGAACTGGTTGCTCTCTGTATCAATGCCCAGCTGGTCCTAGTGAAGCTGATCACACCACTCTCGTGTAAGAGTCAGTAAAACTGGAATCTCTCTCTTTCTGCAGCTGGTTTGAACCCTTCGTTATTCAGTGGTTGGATGAGAATGAAGAGGTGTCTCGAGACTTCCTACATGGAGCTCTGGAGCGTGACAAGAAGGACGGTGTAAGTACTTGCTCCCCTTGAGCGTCCAGATCTCACGATAACAGCTGTTTGTAAGACGTCACTGTGTGCAGATTAGTTGCCGGGTTGCCTACAAAACACAGTCACTACATTTTATTGTAATTTCCTGTGAAGCGCTTTGAGATGTCCTCCTGACGTGAAAGGTGCTTTGTCAAATCTAAGGATTGTTATTTTAGTTTTACTGACAGTAGAAGTCAAAGGAGTTGGGTTAGAGAGGACAGGGTATAGGGGTAAGGGGCAGGATATGAGGGAGGAAACGGTGGGGTCTGTGGGATGGAATGTGCGGAGGGAGGGGGGGATGATGGGGTCTGCCAGGTGCTGTGGCCCATCAATTCCCACCTCACTGCTCTGAATTAATTTACTTTACAAAGAGGATGCGGTTTCATTCGGAGGCAGATGGGCACAGTGGTGAGGAGGGTAAATGTGCACTGCGCTGCACTTGTCTCTGTTTCTGGGGGAAACTCTCAAGAGTTTGTTATTTTCTACCTCTAGTTCCAGCCGACCTCGGAACATGCTCTCTTCTCCTGCTCTGTGGTGGACGTCTTCTCACAGCTGAACCAGAGTTTTGAAATCATTAAGAAGTTGGAATGTCCCGACCCTAAGATTGTGGGTCACTACATGAGACGCTTTGCCAAGGTAAACAGGGAGTGAGCGAGCGAGCGAGTGGCTGCCAGAGAATTACCTTTGGCATCTGGTGTGGAATGGCAAATGGGGACAAAAATTGTCATACAAGACGAGCAGAGGAATAATTCCGGACACTAATTCCGGGACAGAAATCACTTTGTGTTTGTTTAGATGCAGTCAGTTTCAGATTTAATCTTTCTTGTGGCTAAGAATAGTAGTATTTGGGCTGGGAAGTAATTTATACAGAAAAATAAATTGAACGGATTCTTCCCTGGAATCGTTTCAGCGGCTGCCTTTCACTTGTCATCTCTTGACTGAAAGGCGAGCAGCATTTCTCATCAAATGGTTTCCTTTTCCAGACGATCAGCAACGTGCTGCTGCAATACGCAGAGATAATAACAAAGGATTACGCTTCTTATTGCTCCAAAGAGAAAGTGGTAAGTCGTCATGGCACTGTATGCAATCCGCTGTAGACTGTGTATCAAAGTGTCACTCTTATATTGGTGCCCGGCCTGTCACAACCTGTGCAGGCATCTCAAGTCACAGCGCCAGTCTGGACCTGACCTAACACTGCCCCTCATTCCCTCAGTCTGTCCCCTCACCTCAACTAACAGACCTGCTGCCTGTCTCCCTTTCCCTCCACAACACCATCAGTTTGTGAGGCTCAGTCACTACGCCTTAACCTGACCCTATCTCGCCACCTTCCCACCCCCCTCCCACCCCCCAGTCTTAAAGCCTCCCACTTCTCTGTCACTCAGCATCCAGCTCCGCCAAGGTGCAACGCATAGATAGACGTTACCCTATGTAACAGGCGCTGTATAAATGCTGTTGCGCCATTGAAGGTGGGATTTCCTGATTAATTTTATTGTTTCTTTTACTGTTTGTACATTAATGTCGTCCAGTTAGCGAGGTGGAGCATTAATTGTGCTCCGGTTGCAGGTAGATCTGGTAGGACTGTTTGTGATGGTCTCACAGAGCAATGCTGCCCGGAGAGTGCTCCCTCCTCTGCTGGTGTTGGCTGTCCGCACAGCATTCTGTTTTCCAATACTTAAAATATATCGCTGGTTAAAGAGAACTTCAGTTTTATTTCTGAAACTCTTTTAAGAAATGATGGCTGATATTAGTTATAGTTCTGGTGGACAGAACCTTTGAACCGTAGAATTGTAGACGTTTACACACTGGAGAGCGAGCTCTAACTGTGCAGATAATGACGGTCATTAACTGTTTGCAGCCGTGTATCCTGATGAACAACATCCAGCAGCTTCGAGTTCAACTGGAGAAGATGTTCGAGGCCATGGGAGGAAAAGAGGTTTGAGACTGAGATTCCCAGCTCATTTTGTGTTGATATTGTGTTTATGATGTTAATTATCCACACGAGGTATTTCCTTGTGTGTGTCACACTCATTACCTCTCTACGTTTACAGCTGAATTCTGAAGCCAGTGACATTTTGAAAGAGCTGCAGATTAAACTCAACAACGTGTTGGATGACCTCAGTAGAGTGTTTGCACTAAGGTAAGGCTTTCAGTGTGTTTACAGTAATCTAAAGGCAATCTGCCGTTAACCCCGAGACTGGGAGCAGATCCGGGGCAATGTCTCGTGGCGTCTTGACTGTCTGGGCTTCTCAGTTTTCAGCCTCACATTGAGGAGTGTGTGAAGCAAATGGGAGACAGTCTCAGCCAGGTCAAAGGCACCGGTAACGTCCCCGCCAGCACCTGCAACAGCGTGGCTCAAGATGCGGATAACGTGCTGCAGCCCCTCATGGATCTGCTGGACAGCAAGTGAGTCCCCACGTTACACACCCAGGTCTTTTACTCCCTTGCTCCTCCCTTACCCTCTCGCTCCTCCCTTACCCCCTCGTTCCTCCCTTTACCCCCTCCCCTTACCCCCTCGCTCTCCCCTTACCCCTCGCTCCTCGCCAGCTCGCTTCCCCCTTGCCAGTGCTTCAATGCCTTTCTGAAGGCCTCATGCTCACTACCTCACATGTGGGATTCTGATTGCTTATTAACTGCAGTCATGTGCTCATACATTAATGATTGGGTTTCTCTGCTCTCTCTGTCTCAGTCTGACTCTTTTTGCTAAAATCTGTGAGAAAACTGTGCTGAAACGTGTCCTGAAAGAACTGTGGAAGATTGTGATGAACATCATGGAAAAAACCATTGTGCTGCCTCCTCTGACTGACCAGACGGTGAGTTACTATGAGCTTTAAGGTGTAGTGTGAGCTTCAGGGTGTAGAGTGAGCTCTATGACCGGGCGAGGCTCATCACAAGCCTGAAATCCCACCTGCTCTTGTCCTGTCAGCCCACTGTCCATCTTCAAGTTAAGATCTTGCAGAATTGTCAAAACCTTTTTTAAATTCCTGAAAGCCGGCCTTGCTTGGAATCCGGTTTCCTTTCTGTAACTGTGGACGCCCAGAGTCCAAATTCAGATTGAACTGAAGAGTATTTTCCGCAATTTCTGTAAAGTACAATGGTCGCACAGCTGAGGCTCGGTGGAATTCCAGAGCTCTTGTGAGTTTACACAGCCAGTAGCTTGAGTGTGTGGGATTGGGGGGGGGGGGAATGCGTGGGTGTGGGTGGGGGAGGGGAGCTTCAAAGCGTGGCTCCACAAACTGTAATAACTGTTACGTCCATTATGCAACGGGAAACATGTTGAGAAATTATTCTGTTTTCCTTTACATCATTGGTGTTTGTTGACCCTTGTGTTGACCCTCACTTGTGTTGGGCTAAATAATGGGAATAGAGTTACGCAGTCATTCATTGAATTGTCTTGATAACCATTTTGACCGTTCAGTTCAGTCATCTGCGGAGGAGATAATAGCATTTAAAATTCATGAGATAGAAAGAGGGACAAATAGTTTTGATTAGATTTTTGCCCTTAAGCTGCAGGTTCTTTGATGTGGAAAGAGAATATATAAATTATCAATTTTGCGTGAAACCGAGCACTTGCCAATTCCAATCATTTATCAGACCCTCCAGAGCTCCAGTCCCTTCTAGATGAGCAAGGACTTAAATAATCAAATCAAATAATTGAATTGCTTTGGCAATTTGTATGTCCATTATGGAGACCTAAAGTTTGCAATTGCCCAAATTTAAGGTGGGAGCCATTAAAGGCGACTAAGGAAGGTTATTGTCTCCCCAGTGGGTTGGTTCTCAGGATATGGAACAAGATACTAGACGTGAAGGGTATTAAATAAACCCAGCGGAGGAGATTCGAGGTTAGGGGGAATGAGTGGGAAATTGGGATTAGGACGGTAGCTTTATTGGAGGAGAGAGCACGGGACGATTGGCCTGTTACCGAGATGTACATTTTATTGTTTGGTTGTACAAGAAAGTGAACACAGTCTCCAAATGAGCTGGTTAATCTGCCGTTTAGAAGGAAAATCCTTCACCCCTGCTCTGCTCTGCCCTGGCGGACATCCGGGACTCAGAGTTCTTCCCAGCTCTCGTTAGATGGATCCTGTTTTATGTCCAAACTGAACAAGTCCCGGCAAAACTGTTGTGAACGAGGCGTGGCCTCTGTGTCGCGATTTCTGTTACACTTTTACCCTTATTATTAATTTACCAGAAATGTGTGGGTTCAGAGGTCTGAGTGAACTCTCACAAAACAAAAGCCCTTTAATCCCAGAGCGTTAGTGAGGGCGGTGTGCTGCTTTTATTTTTAATGTTTTATTATTTAAACAAACTTCAGGGCTCAATTGTGTATTACCTAAAGTGCTGTGGGATTCTCTCAGTGATTTTCTTTTACATGAGTTTTGTGAGATTAAATGAGATGAAAAGTTACATGAAATTGGAAACGTGGTGGTGATACGCTGGTCTGATTTATCATTCTCTTTAATTATTCTGCTCTCTGATAATGGCAGATGATTGTAAGTACAGCACTGTGTGTGTGTCTGTCTGTCTGCTGTGTGCTCAGCCAGGATTGTTGTGTGTGGCTGGGCTGGTTGTCAGTGTATACTGGCACAGGCCGATGCACAAGGCTGAATTGGTGAGGAGTACCAGTCTCTGCCTGCTATATCCTTTACCTGCAAAAGCATCCCTTGTTTTGTCAATTCAGTGTGTGGTCTTTTTTGGAATTTAAAGAATCTGTTAGAAATGTGTTGTATGTTTATGGCTCAGTTTCTGGATGTTCACGTCCTGGTGCTGAGTAAGCAAACCCCAATCACTCGTCTTTCTTTGTCAGTCAGTGTATAATCAGTCGTGCCACTGTTAAACCTGATCGCTGCGTTGTGTGTGAGAGTGAGTATGAGCGCACGTGTGAGCGCGAGAGCATGTGAGCGTGCGGGTGTGTGAGCATGTGTGTGTGTGTCCGTGCGCTAAACCTGTTTGCTGATTTTGTTTCTCTACAAGGCTTCCCCTCTCGGGTGGATGCTGACGCACACTCACTGTGGGGGTTTGTCAGACTCACAGTTACTGCTCTTAACGAGTCTGTGGCACAATCTTATCCAGATCAGGTTTCATCCCTTCATTCTTCCACTGTAGCCAGGTGTGCGTACTGTACACTGGCAGTGAGCTCTGGAGGAAATGTATTGATTATTCTGAATGATTGTTAATTTTATATCCAGTCCAGTTTAAGACTAACTTTAAATTCAGTAGGACAGCTCAATGCTGTGCAGGCTGTAACAGAATCATGTCGGGCTATTTAATATCTCTTAAGATTCCTAGACACCACATCTGGCGCAATGTCTTTTGAAAGTAGTGGTGAGGGTGTGTGGACAGTGTAGGCTCCCGAGAGCACAGACACAAAACAGGGAGCGAGAGAGCAGCGGCAGAGAGTGAGACCCAACACTCAGGAGTCTCAACAGAGCTGCAATTTGTAATTTGTTGGAAATCTAATGCCGAGATCCTTGTGTGTCAGCTGTGGTGTGGGTGTTTGTTGGGGGCAGAAATAAATATCCATTTATTGGAATTGTGCGAGTCGATTTCCATTCGATGTGAAGTGATTTATTTACTGCCTTTAATTAGAGTTGGAGCCTCTGTGCATTAAATCGCGTGGGTATTAAATGTCCCAATTGTACAATCTATCTTTCAACCCAACATTTTGTGCTAACGGGTGCAGTCTGCTCCTGACACACCATTCATATTGTCAATGTTTCCAACCACAGCAGCGGGTGCAGGGTGTCAGGTAATCTTTACCTACTCTCCGTTCCAATGGCCAATATTTTATATCACAGCCCACGTTCTAACATTATAAACCATTCCCGTTGTATTTTTAGAGAGGCCACACTGCCCGCTCTCTCTTACCCCCTTGATGAGAACGCTCCTATTTGGAGAAGAGGTGAAAGGCTGGCAAATGGGATAAGATCTGCCGAGATCTCATTAACTGGCGGGAACAGCCTCCTCCTATTCCTGTCTTGCCGACCTGCTGACTGGCTGGTTATTCTCAGCCACCGCATGGTTCCTGCGCTCACAGCCGAGCTTGAAACTAACTTCCGTCAATGATGGGCAGAGTGTAAGCTATCACCAGTCACTCGCACCGTGTGAGAAGACAGAATTATATCGGCGAGATTTACTACCTGAGCCAGAGCTGGCGTGGATGGGGCCCAAGAGAAGTTTCTTGTGCATTATTCATGGCTGATTAGCCATGCGGTGAGTCAGGCATTAGGACAGCATCAGCCTTTGGGAGGGTTATACCACTGCAGATTGTAACACTCTGTTGCCCTGAGGAGTAAAGCCAGCGCCGGCAGCAATGCGACGTCGAGATTGACTGCAGTAGCTGAGCATTTCAGAGCGAGAGGATCTGGCTCGTTGCTGAATCCAGTCTCGACTCTGGAAGCACTTGGTTGGGTTTCCTGCAGTTTCTTAAATTTGCAGAGAAAAAAAAAACCAAGGCCGTGTTTAAGAATTCACAACGTTCCGGAATGTTCTGAAACGCTCCGCCACTCGTGTGGATCCAGAGCCGGGCGGCCTTTCTGCCCAGTGGAGGGGAGTGAATAGTTTTGAGTTTCCAGCTCAAGGATGTCACTGAAATGTGTGTGGGAGAGGAGAGCCCACCCGGTGATACACAAACACTAAGTGGGGTTGACACAAACGAACAGTGATTTTGGATTCATCGGTCAGAGATTCTCAGCGCGATTGCCTCTGGATCATTCCGGGGAAAGCACTCCCCCCCCCCCCCCCCCCCGCCCACCACCGTCTCCACTCTCCCACCCACCCCCTGTGGAGTTGATTCTTGTTGATGATGGTTTTCGTGTTGGATGGATTTCTGCATTTGCCAATAATAACTACTCTCTTTTCAGGGCAGGGTGAAGCAGGTGTGTCACAGCGATGTAAGAGAATAACTCGGTGTTGAATGTCTCTGTGACTGTAGTTTTGACAATGTTTTGTGCAGTGCAAGATTGTAATTGTTCCATTTGATATAAAAACACATTACTGTAGCTGGGTGGTGGTGTTTTATTGAACCTCTGTGTGTCTGACTGTACACAGGGCACACAGCTCATCTTCAACGCTGCCAAAGAGCTGGGCCATCTGTCCAAGTTGAAGGTATGAGTACGCAGCGGAAGGTAGTCTCTGTGTGGGGGGAGGGAGGGGGTTTAAAACTCTTTGGCGGAAGAATGCTAACTTTAAGGAGGGTTTTCGGAGTGATGTTGGCTTGCACAGGGGGGTGGGGGGTTGATGTGGTGTTGGCTTGGCTTGCACAGGGTGGTGGTGGGAGGGGGGGTTGATGTAGTGTTGGCTTGCACAGATGGGGGTGTACCACACTACTTACTGCCCTTTAGTTGCCTCAAGTCTGCTTGTATTTCAGGACCACATGGTGAGAGAGGAAGCCAAGAGTCTGTCCCCCAAGCAGTGCGCTGTGGTGGAGCTGGCCCTGGACACCATTAAGGTAACGAGTGTTAAAGAGGCGTTCGTATTCTCCATGCAGGAGGTTATGTTGTAAATTTGCCCTTTCTCCTGGGACAACTTATGATGGGTTCAGGAAATAAGAATATTTACCAGTCAGGCCTGTGGCAGAATTACAAGGGTGGAACGGTCTTGTGTGTTTGGCCAAATTTAGCTGTCGGCAGGGAGATGAGATAATTCGGTAATCAAAACAGAGTAAACAATTTAAAACGGTATTTGATGTAAGATAGAACTAGAAAATTTGCATCTGACCATCAGTTCAAATAATATTAACAATAATCTTTATATTTGATATAACCTCCAATCATCTCAGTGTTAACAGGTTAATTGCTGCCAAGTGTAGTGACTGTGGGCAAAACAGAGCAGTTTGCGCACAGCCAGCATCCCACCCAGCCCATGTTATCTGGGACCAGGACATCGGGAGATTAAAACTCCCTCCTCTTTATCACCAGTGTTTGATGGCCACCATCACGTTATTGCACTCTCAGTCACGATCAGAGCACCAGGTGCAAAGCCATTTAAAGATCCGTAATCCTAGTGCGATTCCTAGCATCAGTGTGTTCGGTGCTTTGTTACTGAATCCTGATTTAATTTCCGTTATATTAAATGAAATCATCAGTTGGATTTACACAGGATTGGGGAAGAGGGAGGTTTTGCCAGGACGCTTATAAAACCTTCATTGATGGACTTTAGTGAGTCACCGCCTTATTGTTAATCACTGTAATGAAATAACAAAGCTCTCATACGGTCTTGTCCCTTTCACCAGATTGGATATATCGTCTCCGATCTATACTAACTAACCTCCGGGGTTATTCCCAGACATTACCTTTACCATTACATTCTGTGTGTGGGATCCTGAAGCCAGAGAATTTCAGAATCTAGCGAAACTCCCGGGTTTGCTTTCTTTGAAAATAATAATAATCCTTGATTTGACATAGCGCCTAATCACAAGATGCTTCAAAGCGCCTCACTGTAAAGTGAATTGATTGTAGATTTTATGGGCGAAAACACAGCAGCCAATTGCACACAAATATTCAACCCTTTGCAGCTTAAATGAAGCAAAAAATACAATTTAAATTGAAAATATAACAACAGGTTTATTCTGTCGCCTGTTGCTGATTGATGGACTTTTCTGTCTCAGCAATATTTCCACGCAGGCGGCGTTGGTCTGAAGAAGACTTTCCTAGAGAAAAGCACGGACCTGCAATCGCTCCGCTACGCTCTGTCCCTCTACACGCAGGCCACCGATACCCTCATCAAAACATTCATCCAGTCGCAGTCAGCGCAGGGTAAGTGCTGTATTTCCCCCCGGCAGCGACAGGTGGAGAGAAGCCTGGAAGCTTTGTTGTTCGGTCGTGTTTTGTGTGTTCAGTAACTTGGAGATCACTGATGATTGGAGCTGGGGTTAGCAGGTTTTATTGGGACAACACCTCGTCCTATCACAGGAACAGTCAGTGAAGGGTATTTAACACTGTATTCCTGGCATCATATCACGTTACCAGCTACGTCACCCGTGGGGAGGGGGGGCTGTCCCAGTTGAATTCAGATTTCACTTTAAAGTCAGTATTTTTTTCTGCAGATTTTCTTAAATAGAAAAAAAAGGCTTTAAAAATGAAGGCCGTGTTTAAAGTCTGCAAATTCTGGGCTGCTCTGGTATGCACCCCCCATCCCCAGCCCCTCTCGCAGTATTATTATTATTTATAACAAAAAGCTCCCGATGCATTCATTAAAACTGTAATTCCAGTGCTGCAGAGAGCAGTGATTTACAATTCAAAAACAGGAAACGAAGGAATAAAATTAATTATGCATCCTCCCCACCGTTATTACTGTATTATCGCCCCAACCAGCCTCCAAAGCTATCCAGAGACTTGCTTAGAAACCGTAAGATGATTTATTTATATGATATATATGACGAAAGCGATTGGATCAATAGGCTGCTTTGCCCAACGTGATAAGCAGCTGCGAAACGATTGTAATATCGAGTCTCTGGTGGGCTGCTCTGTTGTTTACTGTGGAAATCGTTAACTGTTCTTTATTCTCTTTAGTCTGGCGTGGCACTCAGTGGTGCAGACACGGAGCCTGGTTGCATTTTCTCAAGGGGTTAATCTCACAAACTATGAGTAAATTTGCCCCACGTTTAAGTGAACTTTTGGGAATTGTTGTTTAAACGATCTGCACCTTAAACGCCAGCCGCTGGCGGTTAGAGGGGAGATCGTCAGGGCAGAGATTTGGGGAACCAACTGTCCCACAGGGTCAGTAGGGGACAAATCTATTGGGATTTTTAAAAGGGAGATGGCTGATACTTTGGGAAGTCAGGGGAGCCGTGAGAAAGAGCCGGGGAAATGTGTTGCGAGCTAATAAACTGGGGAACAGGTTTCACGGCTGAATGGCTTCCCCCCGATCCTATTTTCTATAGCTATTAACCTGTTGCGTGCTGTGAAAATATGACTGACTCCAGCTTTGTAAAGACTAATGTAGATGTGGGCAGAGAGAATCGTGGGGGGAGGAGATGATTCCCAGGGTGACTGCTGCCGCTGTCTGTTGTGTGTGTTCTTACTTTCACTCTCTTCTTCCTTTCATTCTCGCCTGCGGTCCGGCTTTGATTGCACACCTCAGTGCATGGCGGGAAGGGTATTAGGTTTACCCTTAGCGAGGAGGTTTTACCTGAGAAGGGTACGTCCGGACTAATGTTGCCATTCGTGCCAGCATTAGAGTGTATTGGCTTGAATCAGCTGTTCAGTTCAGGCCATAGTGGGGCTTCCACAAGCTCGTACTCATTTATCCAAATTAAGGAGTCGTCATGAGTTATTTTGTAGGCGGCAGCTTTGAACAGCATGGGGTTAGCACTGCAACGGTTTGCTTGCTACGACTGATTCCGGAAGACTCTTTAATTTGGGTTAAAAGGAAAGTGTAAGAACCTGAAATTGGAATTGCCTCTGAACCAAAGTTTGTTGCTGTGCACATATTCAGTTTGTAGGGAGAGGAAAAAGCCCTGAAAAAACGATTTATATCTGCCAATTCTTACACTCTCCCCCTCCCCCCCCCACACACACACACACACAAAACAGGCTTAGTTTTTGCATTGCAATATCACAGACCCAAACAAACTGAATTGATGGGCCTGCCTTGTGGACGCGAGATATGGCGGTGTGTGTGTGTGTGAGTGACTTTGAATTGCACTAGAATTTGAATGTAGAATGTTTTATATTGCACTAAATTTGCCAACTTGGGACCCAGTTGCTTGCCAGAGTGGACCCAGTTGTGTTTGCTTGCCTTGAGCCAGAGGGGGCAGGACATCGCCCGTTGTTTGGATGAGTTTAAGCATGTGACTCATCGAGCCGCTCTGGTTACTTACCACGGCCTCACTTCGCACACAGTGAGTCCGGCTACGAATGCTTGTTACACAGCCCAGTCCCGCCATGTCACACAGGCTGTGATTTACCGTCCTCTCTGGTTTTGCAGGTTCGGGTGTGGATGATCCGGTGGGTGAGGTGTCCGTTCACGTAGAGATTTTCACACATCCAGGAACCGGAGAGCACAAGGTCACGGTTAAAGGTTTGTTTCAATTGTATGATTACCACTGTCAGGCCTCACAGTAAGATTTATATTCCCATGTTCCGAACCACAGTCATGTTTAACGCGCACCCACTTTCACACACACACACGCAACCTGAACCTTTCACCAGGGGAATGTGTCCCTGCTTTATGGACAGCGTAATGTGGGAAGTGAATGGGGAGGGGCAAGGTTCCTGATCCGAGCTCCTACCCACAGTCTGCATCCCGGCAGCACGATAAGATTGGCCGTTGCTGAGAGCTGACCAACATTCCCGACTGACATCCGTTTTGAAATTGATAAAATGATTGCACAGTATATCATGTTGAAGTAACATTGCTATAACATTTACTATCTGCCCGCGTCTGATTTCCTCTGCAGTCGTGGCAGCCAATGACCTCAAGTGGCAAACCACTGGTATCTTCCGTCCATTTGTGGAGGTGAACATGATCGGGCCCCACCTGAGTGACAAGAAGAGGAAATTTGCCACAAAATCAAAAAACAACAGCTGGGCACCCAAATTCAGCGAGACCTTCCCTTTGTATGTCTTCTCTTTCAATCATCCCATTAAAGCGGGCAGGCGGCAGTGGTTAGTCACAGAAGATCTGTCTTTAAAATGAGATAAAGTTACATATGCTGGGGATGTTAATGGGGAGGTTGTACATGGGGATGGAAAGGAGGAAGTTGAATGAAATAAGCGGAAGGGCCTTCCTCATCCAAACCTTTCACACCAGCGCTGCACGGGCGTTGTTTGACAAGTGACCAGAACGAAAACAGAAGAGGGGACGTGTAATAATTACTGAGGATTATTGTATGAGGATTATTAAATACTAATCTTTGCATTTGATATTGCACTTTAGCACGTGTTGTGAGGTCTCAAAGCGCTTCACAGAACATACGGTAAACTGTGGCATTGACATCCTGTGGTCTTGTCCTCCGTTGCAGCACGCTGAGCGCTGAGACCGGGCCGGAGGGCTACGAGCTGCAGATCTGCGTGAAGGATTACTGCTTTGCCCGTGAGGACCGCAGTGTGGGGATGGCAGTGCTGCAGCTAAGGGACATGGTGCAGCGAGGCAGCTGTGCCTGCTGGCTCCCACTCGGCCGCAGGATCCACATGGACGAGACGGGCCTCACCGTCCTCCGCATCCTCTCCCAGAGGAACAACGATGAGGTCGCCAAGGAGTTCGTCAAGTTGAAATCGGACATCCGCTCGGCCGAGGAGGGCAGTTGAGGAAACAAAAAAAACACGGGGTTCAGAGTAGGTAGAACGATTCGTCCATTTATTACTTTCATCGGTCAGGGCTGTCCCAAGCTTTGTCTCTCTCTCTCTCTCTTGTTCATCTAATGAAACATATCCAAATTATCTAATAAGCAAAAAAAAGTGGTGAGTGAGGAGGCGGCCGCTGGGATCTGCATGTTCCTGGAGGNTTTTTTTGCCACGTGGACAATTAATTTCCTTTTGTTCATGAGGCAGCACAGCGGAGGCACCAATCAGACTGACTTCACCCTGAGGCTAACATCATTGGTGTAAATAAACCCCGCATGACTCTCCCGAGCCTGTGTCCAATAAGCACTGTGATCCTGTCCTTGTGGAGAGACCGACAGCTGAGAGACCTTGGAAACCTCTTGTGGAAAGCCTCAGTTACCTTCCTCTTCAAAACACTGAACTGCCAAAGTGTCTTTATACCCACTGCTGTAGCCCCGTTCTTACACATTCCACAGTCGGGACTTTTTGGAACAGATTTTGTTACTCGGAGCTGGATTTGCAAACAGGTTCAACATGAACCACAGGATTGGACCAAAGTATTTTGTAAAACAGGGTTTAACAGTGACTGTGTTTACCACTCTCATCCCCTTCCTCTGTTAGGTTCGGTTGTGGTTTGGGACGGCCATTTGCTGAGCAGGTTTACAGAGTGTTAGCTTTCTGCTTCCCCGATGATGAAATATTTTTTAACTAAAATAATGAGTGGGAAACGGCCGCACAGCAACAGACTGACAGCCAGTCACCGCGACCTGCCCCGGCCTTCACAGCACTCACACACGCACTCACCCAGCCACACATACTCCTCACACTCACCCAGCCACACATACTCCTCACTGCATCCATTCACACTCACCCAGCCACGCATACACACTCACTACATGCGCAGAGCCTCACATAGACCCTCACAACACACTGTTTCTCTCGGGCCTCGGGATAATTTTACAAAAAACTCTGGTCCAATCGTGTGAGCCCAACATGTAGAGTAATTAGTGTTTAGTTTGACAATGACCGTGGCTGTACCAACAGTGGGAGACCTTCACACCTGCACTGTGGGGACACGCTTTTTTTGCTGCCTTATAATTGCCGTCTCTTAGGTTCATTGTAAAAATGGAAAATTTTCTTTTTGTATAAAAAGGAAACACACTGGGAAATGCATGGCAGTAAAACTGTTGCAAACAAAAGGAAGGGTCTGGCACTTTCAATGGCTGAATATTCATCTTGTTCAGTGACTCGTGTGTGTGTGTGTGTGTAAAAAGACATATATGACTGTTTAAAAGACTAGCATGAGTGTACATGTTTTAAATCAACAGTTTCCATTGTGATTTAACCCCCCATTCACTTTCAGCACTGAGCACGCTGAGAATGATGGCACACGATACAGGAGGCAGCAGAGTATTATTGTACTCAAATACACGGTGGCGTACAATTCCTGTTTTCTGGTTGAAGTTTCATGTTTTGCTTCCAAACTGGCCTTTAAGCACAAAACATGTTAATTATCCTGTTATGTTTTTTAATGTTTTACGTTTTGTATCTTCAGCAAACAAAAATGAAACTCCATTTAATTCTTGGTGATTACATTTGTATGTGGTACACAGAACCTCCAAGCGATTTCCAACCCCATCCACAAACACTTCCGCCCCCCCCCCACCCCCCCCAGACATCTCCACACACACATCTCATGAAATAAAATTTTAACCTTAGTATTTCTCTGGGTATGATTGTTTCCATTTGGATTGTTGATATATCTCAGGTGGTCACAGACCAGCAGCAGCCCGAGGGCTTCAAACTAAACAAGGCTTCATCTACAAAGAGATTTTTATTACCTTTCTTCAATTACAAATTTTTATTTTTAAAAACAAAATTGGCACTTTCTTCGCAGGTAACCCCAGCTCCACCCCCCGCACCCCCCCCACACACATCCCTGTCCCACCGTAAGATAAGCACACGTTCGTCAGCAAATTACCAACTCAAACCATCTCTTCTGCCCAACACTCAATTCCCTCGCCCGGCCATCTAATGAATTAAGGAAGTGTCCCACGTGCAGCAATAATTACTGTACAAATTAAACCAGCGGTGAGGCAGCTCCGAAGCTTCCTACACACACATTAATACTTTCACTATGTGAATTATTAGAAGCTACGTATCCAATGCACTGCATTCCCCCCCTCCCCACCCCCCCATGACCATAAATAACAATAATTAGTGACTAGTGTTGGCAAGTGGGCGGGTGATAAGGAAACCTTTTAGGGCTTAGGTGGAGATGATCAGTAACTAACGGGATTGTCTTTGGTCTTGTTTTCTTGGTGCTGAGGTTGTGTCGGTGGATGTGGGGGTGGATTTTGGGGCGGAAGGGCAGAAAGACAAAGATTACTTAATGATCGTGTTGAACAGAAACTCACTGTGAAAACGTATCAGACACAAACGGTGGGTGACCTTTGTGTAGCTGAAGAATGTGCTGCAGTGAGTGCTTTACCACGGGGTGGGGGGGAATGAAATCTAACTGATGAGATTAACAATTACACCCAGGGGTTTGCTCAGCACTTTTTAAAAAAAACACTTGATTCACGACTGAAGTGAATACTTGAGCTTCTATAAGGTAATTGAGTGCAGAGGAGTTACATCATACGCACAATCACCATTTCAAAGCCATTCTGGGAGCAAAGCCTGAATCATTGCCTGGAGATGTCTCAGATCTCTCTCTCTCTCTCTCCCTGCCAAACGGGAAATGGGAAAAACTTGGTTTCTTTAGTCCTCTAGGTTGGGAGTCCACCTTTAAGTAGCCACTTCACCTTCACTTTCTGAAATAGTCATCATTTTAAAAGGAGCATTCTACACTGTGAGCATCAGAGACACCTGAAATCAATGGCTTCAGCATCAAAGGCTTCGATAGCAGAGCCATTAGAGTTGTCTTCCTGGCCAGAGGGTGCAGCAAACACACAGAGCATCACACAGGATACAAACCCACGTACGATTCCAACCCCACCTTTGATCGATGCCGTGTGTTACTCTTCAAAGAGCAGTTTCAAAAGCAGTCTCGATATAGAACCAGAGAGCTGGGTGTTCAGCACGGTTTTAGGAACGAGAGGCCCAAGCTTTCCGGGATCCGAAGCTTTTCCAGGTTCACCGGAGACGGCACGATGGGAAAATTCACGGCAAACACGTGCTTCAGCTCAACCAGCAGCTGCTGACTGGGGCTCCTGGTCACTAAACGCATCTGCACAAGGCGAGAAGATAGAGAAGGAACCCAGTCATTCACAAAAAAATAACAGAAAATCAGAATGTCAAAGTATTTGGATTTGAAACGTCCCTAAAACACATTTACACCATGCCTTTCATGTCAGGAGGACGTCTCAAAAGCACTTCATACACTGAACGGGAGCTCAATCCCAGGTGAGGAAACAGGTGGACAAATGTGCAGTCAAAGAAATAAAGATTTAAAGGCGTAGAGAGAGGGAGGGAGGACTAACACAATCAGAATTGATCAGCACCAAAATAAAGCTGTTAACTCGCATTTTCCACTAAAAATTAATTTTAGAGAAGTTGTTTGTGGAATATTTACCTGAACATTCTTGATGAAGTCTACAGTCACACGCTCTTCATATTCATTAATGGGTGTGTACAGCGTCAAGATTTTTACAATCTGTCACAGATAAAAAAAGGAAACAATTAAACCAGAAATTGCCCAGAGAGTGAACCACATTCAGTCGTTAAACATTTAGCCGGAAGGTTTGTGAGGTGAGTAAAGGTTTTACACACATTAAAATTTATTCATAGGATTTACCGGCCAAGTTTGTCTAACATGAACAGCAGCAACGTGTATAGTGAGTGTCCTTCACTCGGCTGCTGTGAAGAGCCAGAGAACAAACTGGAGAGGGGACGGCAGCTGATCTCTTCGGTGGGAGGGAGGGAAATCAAATGTGAAGCAGCTTTGATTTAATTTGAATAAAACTTGTTAAAGTGCTGAATACCTGACAGTCGTCTATCAATAGACAAGAGAATACATCCACCATCAAAACCAAGGTAGAAAGTCAACACACTGAATGAACAGAAGACAGAAGACTTTTCCTTTGATTCGGTAAAAGCCCAGGTTTAAACGCAGTCATTGGACATCCATAAAAAAATACCAGACCAGTGGTGACCAGACCGCGTCTGCTGTGACTGCGTGTGTGCACAGAAAGACGGTCAGAACAGAGCTCAAATCCTGGCGTGGGATTTGGAAACTGCAGTCTTCTGACTTATCAGCAAATGAGCGCGACAGACTGAGCCAGGCATCATGTCACTGCAGTGTTAGCATTGTCAGCAATCAATGGACACCAATAAAGGGAAACTGATCCCCGAACAGGCAGTCACACAACATCTGCCATAACTAACAGCCGGGGAGGGCAGCTACCTGGCTTTTGGAGAGGGCGGTGCACATAGAGCAGATGGCCTCAGCATCGGTGTCTGTCCTCTTGTTGAGCTGCAGCAGTTGGGAGGCCTGTGTGAGGGGCTGTAGAGCCTCCAGCGCCCCGCTCCCCTGCAGCCGCTTCCCGCTCAGCCACTCCTGCAGCCGGCTGACATTGTTCCTGCGGGAGACACAGCGTCACTGACTCCAGCCGTTTCCCCCCACACCTGGCCCAGGGCACAACTACATAGACACCAAGGCACACAATCCCCGATGATGTTCGGTTAAAACAAAGGGAACCCAAAAATTGGAAGTTAACACACCCACTCAAAGCATTGTCTTAAAGCCAATAAACTACATTTTAATATAAAACAGTAACCACCCCCCCCCACACCACCACCCAAGTCTACATCAAGTTTCCTCTTAGATACGTTAAATGTTTTTGCTTCCACCACAACTTCCGGCATTGAGTTCCCTTGTCACCTTTTGCGTAAAGAAGTTCCTCCTAAACTCCCCACAAGATGTTTTACTGACTCTCTTATGCCCCTCTAGAATTGGACTCCGGTAGAAACAGCCGTCGACATCAAACCCAAATCCTCTTCACAATCCTAAACAGCTTGGTTCAGGTTCCCTCTCGGATAATCCTAGGAAGCCTCTGAGCTAAGTCACCAGGGGAGCCTGCACTGATCTGCCAGCCAGCACCTGCCCTCTGACACTCACTCACCCACAAAAGCAGTTTTTACTGACCAGCTCAGAGACGTCAGACCGACAATTTCCACAAGTGCTGAGTGAGCAGTGGGCGGCTCTCACCTGATCTGGACCCCGTTCCCGAACGAGCAGACATCTCTCCGGAGCAGCAGGTTGTTGAGCGTCGCGGCTCCGATCAGGTAGTAAATCTGCCGGAAAACCTGCTTGATGATCTCGGGATCTAAGCCGTACCCGGTCAGAACGCCGTGGAAGGAGTCCAGCTGTACAAGGAGGGAGTGCAGCGTGTGCACACCGCTCTCCCTGCCGAGGCCAGCTCTTCTGTACCCGCCCGGCCGGGCTGTTACGCTGCCTAAACCGTGAAGCACATCATTCTCCAGCATCCCAGCCACTGCCAAACACACAGCGAGAGGAACATGTCTGTAATGTCCTGCGATGACATTAACTCTTTTTGGGAGGAGTGGGGGGGGGGGGAGGGGTGTGGGTGAACACGATTCCACTAGGAGTTTTTTTTAAAACAAATATTAGATCAGATCATTTGTGTTCATCTTGTCCATTTTTCTAACCTTGAAGATTCCCGGCAGACACCAGTAATTCAACCACAAATTACATCCATCGGGAGGACGTGAAAGGCACTAATACGATTAATTGTATATAATTCATTATTAAACACTCGAGAACGAAACGAAAGCTGTGTAGGATGTGACTTGCCGATCATTGGCTGAAGCCGCTCCTCAGCCGACCTGATCAGTTGGTGATAAGCCTCTATGGCAAGGTCGGAGAGAGCCAGGCATTGCTGAGAAAGGTCAAAGTTCCTCAAGCTGTGAGGCCGCTGCTCAGGTGTGTTCATCTCCACAGAGCTCTGTGATACAACACATACACACACACAGCTCTAATACACACACAAAACACATAATCATCACCCGAAATCATCATAATGATGCTTGCAATTGACATAGACATCTGAAAGGGCTTCGCAGAATATACTGTAAAGTGGAGTGATTGTGTATTTTGCTGGTGAACCGCAGCAGCCACTTGCACACAGCGGTGACCCACAGTCATGGATTGAGTGGTTTTAATGAGCGATTAAAGTGGCTGAGCTTCAGCCGAGCTGAGACAACTGTGACCCCACGTGAAAGTGGAGGTGGGGGGCCTCATCACAGCAGCCTCCGATTACAAGATCACTTCAGATTAAATTGATGTGGAAATTTTGCAGTTTGCTGAGCACCCACTAAATAGTCACAACCCTTTTATACCGGCACCGAGTTATTGTGATGTTGTGAGGTTTGGATCAAGCCTGTAAAGGCGCACGTTTAAACAGGCCTTCAATATAAACAACATCAACTTGGATTTATATAGCGCCCTCCACGCCAGACGGCATCTCAGAGCGCTTCAGTATAGCTGCTCAACAGGTGCCGTGGACACAGAATGCAGTGAGCGGTAATGTTTTCCACGTGTGTGGAAATTAATGAACAATTCTGAAGCTCCGAGGTTTTGTGGCCTCACCTCGTCCCCACTGTACTGCCGCACGCACACCAAGAGCCGATAGACGTTGGTCAGCCAGAAACCCACCGTCTCAAAACTGTGGTCTCTCTGCAAATAAAGCAAGCGGTTCAGTGATGTCAGTCACTGCACACGACCGAGGTGACAGTCTGTCTTCCTTCCGCCGTGTAATCAGTGTCACCCTTGCGGGCTCCTTCCTACCTTGAGGACCTTCTTGACAGAGCTGAGGATGGCCGTGAATAGAGCCTGTGCCCTGGGCTGGTCGCTGGTGTAGTCCGCGTGCCGCACGACCATGAACAGGATGAAGGCGGGGAGACTCGGCAGCTCCCGCAGTGATGGCAATTCGGGCTTCAGATCTGCCCGCAAAGCACACACAAACACGAGTGATTTCCTACGTCAATCGCATCACATCACACACAAACACTTCTCCCGCAGTTCCCGGCCGACAGCCTCACACAAGGACGTCAGTAATCCCTGTAAACCCGATTCCCTGCAGGGGAAGCGATGAACCGAGCAGAGGCCAGAGTCCAGCCTCGAGCCCGTGTGAGAGCGACAGAAACCGGCAGCCGAGGAGTTAAACGGAGGAAACGCGCAACAATGATTAGAATTAAAAAAAAATTCTCGCAAAAGGACGGGGTTCAGACACGAAAAATTCAGAAAATATAAATCTACAAAATAAATTTGACCAAGTTACCCACCCACCTCGCTGGCATTACCCCCGCTGTTACCCACCTAGCTGGCATTATCCCCCCCACCCCCGCTGTTACCTACCAATGATCAGATTTCTCATGAACCGAGCCTCATCTTCCTTTCCACATTCCAACATTCCCCGAAAATTCCCGGCTCCGAGCTGGCCACCAGCTGTGCTCACTGAAGCTGTGATCTCCGACACCGAGCCTGGCTCCCCAGCACTCTGGCTGGCCGGAGACGTCACTAGTGGGGGGGGGGTGGGGATAAAGGGAGAGAGAATTACCAACAAGTAAACGATCACCACTACACCCTCAACACACACCTCCCCCTCCCACCCACCTGCAAAGTTTTTGACCGACTTGACGTACGCCTTGAGCTGCCGGCTCAGCTTGTACACCATCTTATCCTGTTTCTCCGCCTGCTCCATCAGCTCCTGCACAAAAACACACGGGACGTTGGGAAGAGGGAGCGATGAGTGTATTGGTTTAACTACACCTGTAAAAAAAATCACTCAAGTCACGTCGCTGTGCGCAAACTAGCTGTTGCGTTCACCTTAAAGAACGCACAGTCACTAAACTTTACAGCCGCCCGCGAAGCGCTTTGATGTGAAAGGATTATATTAATGACCAGGTTTTGGTTGTTGAGTCGGTACACCTCCTCCTGTAAGTGGTTTGCTGGGTGCGTCCCCGCTGGTTGCTGTCTCTCTCGGCCCAGGGCCTCCTGCTGGTGATCAAGCTCCTGTCTGAGAGCTCGGAGCTGTGTGTGAAGCTCTCCCGTTCCATCCTCGTGCTGCGCCCTCTGTTCCCGGATCTCCTCCATGAGAATCCTACAAGGGCAAAGCATCCAAAGCCAACTCAGCCAGAAAAACAGAGTGCTGGAGAACATCCAAACCAGGCAGAGGTGGACATCTGTAGCACTTCACCTACACATAGGAATCTCCGTGTCCGGGTTGCACCACATACTCTCTCTTCTCCCCATTCCACCGCTGCCCCCATCCCCCACTTTGTAGTTTTCTCCAAAGATAATCTAACATTAAAAAAATCAGTGACTTACGCGTTGGCCACGCAGACGGCATCATAAGCATGTCGGAGATCCTCCTCGGTCATCTTGCAGCCGCCTCGGGGCAGAACCAGCCGCTGTGACAACGATCAGCAACATTAATACAAGCTGGTGAGAGGCACAGACACCGCACCCCCTCCCCACAGAAGGCCAACATTACCCTGAACTTTAAAAACAAATGTTTCAATCGTGAGCGAGTACCTTGTTCTTCATTTCCTCGATCTGTCTCTCCGCGGCAGAGAGCTGCCTTGTCGCTTGGCTCAGTTGCTCCTTGTACATGTTGACCTCCCGGGTCGCGGCACCCAGCTGGCTCCGCAGAGGATCCTGAGACGATTCTCTCCCCCCCGGCCGCGGCCCGGCCCAGGACCTTTCTCCAGTTCCGCCTTCAACTTCCGGTTCTCGTTCTCAAGCGCCTGAAACTAGGAAAACGTTAAAGGAAAAATCTCAGCACGAGCTTCACATGTACATATGCATATCGTCTCTAAAACTCCGTCCCCAATTGCTTCTCAGCCTCACAGCAGTAAACGATCACTTTCCAAAGGGTGAAATAAAGGTAATGTATTTCATATTAACACAAGTTTAAAGTGGAGTGTGTGTTTCGGGGCTAATTTTCTCACCTCTAAGTGATGTATTAGACCCTCAGCATCCAACGCCGAAAAGACAGAGGACTGATCGCTCAGTTCGGACAAACAGCTCTGAACAGACTGGTTACTCTTCAGCCCTGGAGACTCCTGATCAACACAGAAACATTATACACACACAAAGAGAAACGACACATGCGCGCACACACACAGAAACGACACGCGGGCACACATATACACACACAGAAACAACACACACACACAGGCAGAAATGACACATGCGTGTGCGCACACACACACACACAGAGAAACAACACATACGCACACAGGCGGACACACGCACGCAGACACAAAAATACAGACATAGAGTGTAGGATTAGCTCAAAACTTGCACAATTACCTTAATGAAGCTCATCTCATCTTTCAGATTTTCGTATCTTTGCTCCAAGCGAGAAAATTCTCTGACAAGATTCTGATAGCGGCTTCGCTCAGCCTCAAACCCGGACTGTAACTCGCGGCTCTTTGCCGCCACCTTCAGGGCAATTTGTTCTTCGGGTGGGGGGTCGGGGGGGGGGGAATAAGAGACACACAAGTGTACCGATGGGGCGGGTGGGGGTGGGGGGGGAATAAGAGACACACAAGTGTACCGATGGGGCGGGTGGGGGTGGGGGGGGAATAAGAGACACACAAGTGTACCGATGGGGCGGGTGGGGGTGGGGGGGGAATAAGAGACACACAAGTGTACCGATGGGGCGGGTGGGGGTGGGGGGGGAATAAAAGACACGCAAGTGTACCGATGGGGCGGGTGGGGGTGGGGGGGGAATAAAAGACACGCAAGTGTACCGATGGGGCGGGTGGGGGTGGGGGGGAAATAAGAGACACACAAGTGTACCGATGGGGCGGGTGTGGGTGGGGGGGAAATAAGAGACACACAAGTGTACCGATGGGGCGGGTGGAGGGGGGGGGGGGTTGGTGAGAGAAGAGACACACACATACAGAAGATGGGGAGGGGGGAGCAAAAGAGAAAACAAATGTTAGCAACATGATCTGCTGAGCGACAGGGAGACAGCGAGGACTAAGATTCTTATTTCAAGTTCAAGATGTTATATGTTTTTGGCCACTTTGACCGTTGAGAAAATACAGAGCAGAGACTCTAGAACATAGTGTGAAATAGGATAGCGTTCCGGTCTATTAAGTTCCACTGAACAAAGAGCAACAGAGAGGAACGAACAATCAAAGAAACAAACATTGGTGGAAACTAATCCAGAATATTTGCTCAGATGTAAAACAGAATCTGTGTTACCTTCGATGCTGTCCGCCTGCTCCTGAAGATGTCGCTTCAGCTTCTGCAACTCGTCGCTCAACTGGACTTTTTCCTTCTCAAGAACCTCAAAGCTCTGGAGGTTTAATGGAGTAATATTAGGCACCGCAGAGAACCAGAGACATTTGTAACACAGAAGCTGGCGCCTGTTGGAACCCATTGTGTCTGCGCATCGTCTACACCATCGTCTCAAAGTCAAAGTGTGGAAAACAACTGGATCTCATGTGGCATCCAGCCCTTCCCTCCCCAGGCCCCGAATGGAGGCCAGTGACAAGGTCAACCAGCTTGGGGGGGGGGGGGGGGAGAGGCGGGAGAAAGAGAAATCAATCAAGTTCCACACAAAAATCCAAATGGTCCTTTAAATTTACTAAATGTGATGGTTTGCCCACAAACAGCAGTCCTCCCGACATGACAGGTGCTGTATAACATGTCAGATGTGATTATTAATCAGTAATAACTGGGTTACAATCTGATGGGTTGGAGGAGTTGGCAGACGAGGGATGGACGAGGAACCCACCTCCGTCAGTCGGGTTTGCTCCCGAGATGTCTTTTCCTCCACGATTGCTGCCTCCTGCCGTGCCATGTCGAGCTCCGCTCTCAGCTTCTCTAGCTCCCGCTGGAGGCTCAGCACTTTGGCATCGCCCGCCCTGGCCTGCAGCTGCTCCAGCTCACACTTCTGTTTCTCAAAATCCCTGCTGTACGAGGCCGCAAGTGATGCCAACTGTCCCACCAGGACCTTGTTCTCTTTGTTCTGAGGGAAGATGTACAGACAGAAAGTCACCTCGGCTGCTCCTTCCTGAAACTCCTCGAGATGCAAGATGGCAGTTTAAGGAAACATCGAGGCAGGACGACATGGGATTCGATGTAAATGGCAATTTAGATAGCAAAAAGTCCCTCTTTACCTGGATTAGTAACTAACCAGACACTGAGGCTCATTGACACAACAGCTCGATGGCGAGATGCAAGGACGGGCTTTGAGAAGTTACTGATCATAAACCAGTTTAGCCTCAAGTCTTCAAGTAAATGATTGGCCAACTAGGATCTAGCAGGAGGGTGACTGACCCGCAGAGGGAGGGAAGGGGGCGAAGGAAGAGAACAGTCACCTGCTCAATGACTTTGACCTGTAGCTGCAGGATCTTGTTCTCCATCCCTCGGTTCAGTTGTTTGTAATGTTCAACTGACCGGGCTTCGCACTTGAGCTTGTGAAGCTCTCTCCGGGCTTTCATCCGCCGGTAACAGCTCTGCAGGAAGATCACCGCATGCCGTGTGCGGCGATAGCTTAGCCTGGCCAGCCAGCCACGCACCCAGCTCTGCACCATCACCGCCTTCCGCTCCCTCACCAGCTAAACACAAACACAAAGCATTCCGCCTCTTGCGACAAACAGGAAGATCATGAGAGCGAAACGTGGCAGTCAGTTGGGCACAGCAGCTTCCCACAGAGAGTCGTGGGCCGAGTGTTTCAAGAGACGCAGCTCAAGGCTCGCGAGCGACAAGACAGAGAAGTCACTGATCTAAGCTTCACAGCCGTTGGCAAGGTTTCCTGCTCTGAGCGACTCTCACCAACGCTGGTTCCTACCTTGCGATACTGGACTCTGGCGGCCGTGCCTTTGGCATAAGCCTGAATAGTGACAGTCGCTGTGCGGAGCAGCACAAACAGCCTCCTCACGACCAGCATGCGGTATCGCTTCTGGATGACCAGGGCAGCTCTCGCTCGTCTCAAACCCTCGGTTCGTCTGCAAAATAAACAACATGGTATTTCTTAACTGGCGACGTTCTCCTGCTTCACGTTGTTACATTAATGCACAATTCCTGCAAATAATTTCACCCGTTTTCATTTTTAACCACAAGAAAAAAGAGAAATTGAGGTTGGAGGCTGCGGCCTCTGAATTGCAGAGGCGACATGTTGTTTGCGTTTCCGTATGGCCTTCCACGCCAGGAAGACATCTCGGAGTTTCATACTGAACAAGTTGGGGTGCAGGTGGTGATGGGGGGGGGGTGGGGGAAGAGGGATTAAAACATTGTCCTAACAGTGGGGATAGCTCAGAGCGAGTGAGGCGTGCTCACACTCACCGTTTTGCCAGGAAGCCTCGCGTGTATTTCTGGACGGCGATGGTGGCTGCGCGAACATGTTGGTATCGCCTCCGCTGTAACCAGCCTCTCACCCGCCGCTGTATCAGGACACACGCTGCCCGGAGCTTGTTCCCACGGAGCTTCTCCAGATAAGCCACTTGTCCGGCTCGGAAGAACACCTTCGTCCTCCCAAACTGGTACTGTGTTTTGTCCTGGGCGGAATCGAGAGAGGAGCGTCTTACAACACGGTTAATGCTTCCGAGCTCCGCAGTTGCACGGTTACTATTTCAAAAAAAACATTAAATTGTATTTAAAAAGTTTAATCCTGCGCCACAACACACACTAATAAACTTTTGTTTCAGAGATACCGGTAACACACAGCAATTGAGATAAAGAGGAACTGGGGAAGCTGTTCAGTCAAATACTGCAACAAGATAATGTTATTCTCTAGAAAGGAAAATAGAAAGAGCAACCATTTGGCACACACACACACACACTATCCTAGTCCATGTGAGCGCCCACATTTTTCAGAGGAAAAACCTGCATTTTAGCTTGAAGATCGAGACACACAGAGATGAATGCAGTTTAACTGAAGAGGCAAACACAAGACTAAAAACAGTCCACAGGGGCAATGTTCTCAAAGAGCAGAATAATGGGCTGTCGTTTCACATCAGATATTGCGAGTCTTTAATGGGATACTATCACACAAAAAAAATTATTATTATCAAGAAAAAAAACCAATAAATTGGTCACTTCAATCCACGACTGTTTGTGGGACACTGCTGTGCGCAATTGGCTGCCGCGTTTCTCCCACAAATATACAGTCAATTCACTTTACAGCATATTCTGTGAAGTACTTTGAGACGTCTCGGAGACATGATAAGGTGCTGTATCAAAAGCAAGGATTGTTGTGATTATTATTGTTGCTGATAGCTACTTATCAAACATTCACTGAGAAGAATCTCTCAGTCTGAGTCACTCCTCTATATCGTTACCGGCTGTAAGCACAGCAGTGTCCCACAAACAGTCGTGGATTGAAAATGACCAACTTATTATTTTTTTTTGGAGGGATTATTATTAGGTGTGTGGAGTAAGGAAACTTACTCAAGGTTTCGCCCTGTCGGGAATTGAACCCAGGTTTCTCGATTAGTGCAGGCGATCTTTATACACAAACACCTTTTACCTTTATTAGATTTTCCAACAAACATTTGCAGGTCTGTCGTTGGTCACCCACACACAGACCGTCCTCTCTCAGCAACACTCTGTAGCGGCTCAGAAACTCTGGGTAGGTCCATCTGGCGAGAAACTGGGCATGAATGACCTGGCCCGACCCGACGTCCCCCCCCACCCCTCCACCAGCCCGTCTCTCCTTCTCCCACTCCCCTGGCCAGTACTTTCCTCCCGGGCAGTACCCTACCGACCCCCCCAACGCCTGCTCCTCCCCAACCGACCATCAAGCGCATCGAGACGTCCTCCTGACGCCAGGTGTTTCTATGTAGAGTGTCTGCAAATCCACGGCTTGAGATTTTCACACAGAATTTCCGTGGGCCCGGAATTTGGCAAAATTAAGGGTTTGTCTACATTTATGAATTTGCCGAACTCCGGATACGCTGATTACATGACACGTGTAAATGCAGACCCGGGGGAGGGGAGGGTGTATGTGGGTGTGGGTGGGGATGGAAGAGTGTGTGTGTCTCCCCACTGAAAGGCAGCGATGAAGCTCCTGCCCTAGTTCACGCACTATTGGGTGTCACAGACCTGGAGGGATAGCCCGCTGCACTGAGCCGGATGGTGGCCAACACTCCACAAGCTCTCAGTTGCTGCACAGTCCGTTGTGGGTTGAACCTGTGATGAGGAGATTCTCAGCATTAGTGCAGGTGAGTAAAGAAACAGCAGAAGTTTTAGAGTAAAAAGATTTTCCTAATTCTCCATCAATTTCAGCAGTGATTTATTTAATTTGAGTCGATGCTCCTCCCCCACCTGCCCCGTCCCCCCCTCCCTCACCCTGGGCAGGAATTCCAGATCACAGTGACATGGGAGCCAAGCTCCCACTATATCTCTTCCCATTGACCGAGTCACTACTCACGAGAACGCCTGCTTCGTGTCATTTGGCTTCAGGCAGCGGACGTAGTGAGGAGTCGTGGAGTTCAAGGTTTCCATCAGGAGGTGGAGAGAAGCTCGGAACTGCAGGGAGACGGTTCCCGATCGTTAACGAGTGAAAAAACACACAAAACACCCCCCCGCCCCCAATAACAACAGCAGCAACAGCGCTCCCAGTGCAGCTGGCAACACTGTACATTACTAACCCGCCACCAGGCGGTGATATGGCTGGTGTGATGGATGGGGTACCTGATATCCCACGGTTTTCTTGTGCTCGCTTTTTGCCGGCAGGGATTTCCGGAGCGATCGGAAGCCCACGTTGGGGTTTGGCCGCCGCCCGATGTGGGCAGATTCCTTATCGTGGAAAAGCTCAGCGACGAGCTCCGACTGTAACACACGGAACATGGTCAGTGAGAACAAGACAGGACAGCAACAACGCTAAACACTCGCACTGTCTCAGAGACCGTTTAGGGCAGAGATATCAAACACATAAATAAAAACAGGATTGGATTCAGCACAGTCAGGAGCACAGCCAACAACAGAGGTTTGATGCCCACAAACACACACGGGGTTGAACGCCTTATCCCAACTCAAAACCACCTCAATTCACTTCACAATTAAGTTTCACCGTGTAATAAAAATAAGGTTATTATTTAAACCATCTCACAGCACCCAGATTCCCCAGGAACACCCGCACTGTGACTCGGCGACCGAGCAAATGACGAAGAACACAGTTTATCAATGTCTGTACGTGCTATCACGGCAAATCCAAACCACCACCACCACCACCACCACCAAGGGGAATTTACCTTCTGTACCGTGCAGCAGGTGTAGGCGTGGTGGTGGTGGTGGTGGTGGTGGAGGTAGTGGTGGGGGGGTGAAGAGAGGGAAATGGAGAAAGTTAGACAAAAAACAAAAATTTCACATCTTCCTGAGATCTGATCAGCGGCCACTGACCCACCCTGAGCTATGCTTTATTTAATCAGTTAGCAACAGCAAAGGCGATTTGGGGCCAATCCTCACATCGTACAAGGTGATGAGTGCCTCAATATCAATCTATTGAAAACATAGAATGTTAATAGCACGAGGAAGTGGCATTTCATATTATTGTGTCTGTCAATACCAAAGTCACAGGTAATATTTTGCTACCAATACACATATACAGCTTCACAACGCCAGAGATATGGCTGGACGAGCACCTGATCGAGGGAGGGCAAGCCAGGGGAGGGCAAGCCAGGGGAGGGCAAGCCAGGGGAGGTACAACCTCAGAATTTTTTTAATATAATCCAAGTGATCGAAATATTACAAACCGTTGCACTTGGCAGAGAGGGTCATCTCTGTATTCACCAGGTGTTAGACAGACAGACACAGAGATAGACACGGACAGAAACAGACAGACGCTCACCTTACTCGCTCGGAGAATGTTAATTGGCTCCTCATAAACCGTGTCTCTGTTTTTCTCCAAAAACCCTTCGCACTGATACAGCACCTGCCGGGCATCAGAGTGTCACAGAGAGTGTAACCACAGGGCAAGAAGAGCGACTCCTGCTGGCAATCAGGAGTACAGCACCTCCCCCGCCCCCCCCTTCCCCTTCCCCACCCCCGTCCCCCCAATACATCACCACGTACGTCATCAGCAAAATGTAGGATAAGAAAGGCCGTGTTTGACATCCTGGGTTTCTGAAAGTAGTAACTCGTGTGGAGATGCCGTTCGTACAGTTTCTGAGCCCAACTTGTGTCCGTTCCCTTTGGCATCTAAATCAAAACAGATTAGTTTTATTTCTCTGGCAGTCAATAACTCTGAGCCGGGTTCGGAGGTTGCGACCACTTACCCGGCATTCCTCATCCAGCAGGTCTAGGATTCCCAGCTTGGCTTCGAGGAGCTCGATACATGGCTGGTTGTCGTGGAATTCGATCAACGTCCAGGATAATTCCTCCATCATGTACTCCTCCTGCTCCAGCTTGAACACGTGCTACAGGGGAAGGAACGAGGCCCAAGTCAACAGCAGCCCCTCCCCCATCACTACTAGAAACATTGTCCTCCCCAAACACTCCCATTTCCCCAAATCTACCACCGACCCTAGAGTGGCCCGAACAAACTAGTTAACTGGTGTACAGAGGGACAGAGGTTCAGACAGTGAGACGCTGGAGTCTGTCAGGAAGGCTGGCTTCTCTCTGGCTGTGTATCACTTACCAGGGTAAATTGGTGCTGGAGTTTTTCGTTGGCATAGTTAATGCAGAATTGTTCAAAACTGTTGTTTTCAAAAGCTTCAAACCTGGAGCGAGGAGAGAGTGAGAGTTAGATCACACAACTATTCTATTTAAAAAACAGCCAATAATGTTGCTTGTTCTCACCCGTAGATGTCCAACACCCCGATGAAGTTGTGTTGTTTGGAAGAGGATCTTAAGGCCTTGTTGATGTGACCCACAATCCAGTGGAAGAGCTGCCCGTACAGGTGCTTAGCGAGGGCGTCCCTGGAGTTGCTGGCTTGTTTCCTGCTCGTGGGCTTGACGTACGTCTCGCTCAGTGTCACCAGTTTACGGTGACAAAGCCAGTGAGCAAACTGGTTTCTCTCCAGTCCCAGCAACTCACAGAACACGTTGAGAGATCCATCGCGCAACTGAAAGACACAAACACAATCACAGCGGCAAGGCAGGAAATCGAGATCTTTGGTAAAAGCTTAAAATAATAATTAACAATAAAAACGTGAAAATAGGATAGGGCGATGGGGATTCTAGAGAAGCGTTCGCAGCACGGACAATGACGTGATCAAGTTAGGGTTTTTCTGAACAATGACGCTGAGTCCCGACGTGGGGCTTGAACCCACAACCTTCTGACTCAGAGGCGAAAGCCCTATCACTGCACCAGCCTGACACAATGAATTACACTTTGGGATTAGAATTGTGAACAGAATTTAAACCCTTCCCCCCCACCCCCCAAAATAACCTCATAGGAACAGAGTTTAACAACGGAAAAGTTCACAAAATGAGGATTATAAATGTGACAACTCACATCAATACAGCTGCTTTCACCGTCACGGTCTTTTGATTGAAATGTTATATTTCCCAGGTGTAGGACAGAAGCGAGAACTCTGAATATCTCCATTTGGTCGGACTCGCAAATTCCTGGAGACGGCAGATGAAAAAATGGGGAGAGATTGAAGCAGATCTCGCCTTGTCAGACACAACAATAAACAAGCTTGATAATGGAAAATACCAGGTTACAATCCCGGCTAGACATCACATTCCCGGCTAGACATCACATTCCCGGCTAGGATTGAAACAAGACTTAGTCTTGTTGAGCGGAGACTTACCCAGGAGAGAGAAGGCATTACGTGTTCTCTCCAGATCTGCTACGTCATCAGTTCCATTGATGTAAATGTCACCGCCCTGATTGGTGTAGGAGAAACTCTCTGCTCCACCTGCTGGGGATCAAACAGCAACTAAATCCCAAGTGTGTGTCACCAAGACAACACTGAGACCCGAGCTGGGGGGGGGCGCGGAGGCTGAAGGCGGGAAGCGAGATGGAGAGACTCTGCACTCCTACATTGATGAGGGATGGGGCGGACTGGGCAGGGACATCAAGCAAGCAGTGTTGGCTGAATTAATTATACTCTAGAACTAGTCAGTAAATTCACCTGGTCTACTCTACACCATTACAGGAAAAAAACACTTACCAAGACTCAACTCCAAAAACTCTGGCAGATTAGCAGAGGCACAGAGCTGATACAGTATATGATAATTTCTCTCCTGCTCTGCCTAAGAAATAAAGCAAATTATTTACCCATTAAACATGGTTAATCTCGACACGGCAGAAAATGTTTCCTCCCTTTGACGAAGGAGCTGCTCACCTGGAACACAACCCTGGATTTCTCTAACAGATACGTCCTCACGTTAGCGCCCACAATGCGATGCCCGACACTGAATCCTATTTCAATGTATTTTCCAAATCGGCTGCTGTTGTCATTCCTGGTAGTTTTAGCATTTCCAAAGGCCTGTTTCCAAAGGGGAAAAAAATACTAAACCATCTCAAAAACTGATCAGGGAACTCCCCCAGCGATTAATCAACCACAATCCTCAGAACTGAGGCTTTGCCAACACCCAGTAACTGGTGAGGGGCAGATCACAAGGCAGCAGCACTCTCGCCTCAGAGCCACAAAGACATGGGTTCAGAAACTAATGTCAGGACCTAGAAGCTCATAGTCTAGGCTGATGCTCCAGTGCAGTGTTGGGAGAGGACATACCGTAAAGGGGGAGTGACTGTGTATTTTACGGGTGAAACCCGGCAGCCCATTATGCACAGAAGTGTCTCATGAACAGCCATGGATTGAGTGATTGATTTTATTTAGGGGATTGTCGGCCAGGAAACCAGGAGAGAGAGAAACTCCCTTCTCTTCTCGAATAGTATCTTTAACGTCCACCTCGGGTAAATGTCCGTGTCCTGTTTGGCTGGAGCCTCACTGTACTCACCTCCATGATGGGGTTGGAGGCCAACACTCTCTCCTCCACGTTGGTGTCACCAGCTGAGCCGCCAACGGTAGCAAATACCGCATGGTGCACTTAGCAGACATGGTCTTCCCAGCTCCTGATTCCCCACTGATGATGATCGATTGGTTCTTTCCCTCTCTGGGAAATTAGAAATGGAATTTGAATCAGGATATTCGGGCAGAGACCGAACCAGACTCCAAACTCCCTCAGGACTCTAACAGGGAGCAATCCACACAAGATTCTGGGCAAATTTTTTTTAAAAAAAAGTAAAGACAAATATGGTCCTGATGGTTAAGAAGAGCCGGAATGTTGTGCGGCGATGAATAGAAATAAAGGAGGAAAGAGTTTTTAAACATTGGCTGAATTTCAGATCAGAATGCGAAACAGAATGGGGGTAAATGTGATGGTGCCTTTTTTAAAAAATATTAAAAAAAACAAAGGTTACAACACAAAGAAGGGAGCACTTCATGTTTTTATGATTGGATTTAGAATTCACACCCAGAAGGGGTTAGGAGTTAACGTGGGGACGAGTGTAGATACAATAAAGGTTTGTTGGGTTGTGAGAGGAACAAACTTCCTGCACAGCACACACGTCCAAGACTTCATTAACCAGTCATCGAAAGTCAATCCTTATCAAGTTAATGAACCAAACATGAGATGTACAACGTAACCAAATTAAACCAAATCTATCATTTGAGCAAATAACGTCAGCAAAGGAACTTTTGAATTGAAAGAGTAATGAAAGATCATGAAAGGTAAAATAAAACAAATCGTTCTCTACTTCAAAGATATAAGACATTTGCCCGAGATATCAAATTGCTGACTCGTGGTCAGTGGACAGTAAAACTTAATTGTGTTTATCAGCAGAAACGCTTTGTGAAAAGTTAGCCATTTCCAGCCCGGTTAAGATAATGATTCTCAAAGGTCATGACTGAAATATCTCCAACAAAGACCATAGTGAAACACTTCCCTAAAACTGTTTAAAAAGCAAGTTTCTCAAGCCCCCACCCTCAGTCACCCAAGCCAAGTCCCCAGCCAAGTATCCACCTTTGTCTTGAAAATTTCAATTGATGCAGCATCCACAGCCTTTTGGGTGGGAGAGAGAGGAAAATTTCCAGATTGCCACTCACCTCGCCAGCTGTTTGTATGCTTCCTCTGCGACGGCAAAGATATGAGGATCCATATCTCCCACATTGTGCCCACTGTAGGCATAAATCACATCATCCCCATAGAGAGGAAGCTGCTCGTAGGGATTTATAGCGACCAGAACAATCCCTACAGGAGTGAGAGAAGCTCACGTCATCCAGAAACATAAATACACAACAGCCACTTGTATTCACAGAACATCCTTTATGCCGGGCTGGCATGTGAGCCATTAACATGGTGCATGTTAAAGTTCCTTCCCATGTTCCAACCCTTTACGTTTCCGAAACCAATGCTGCCCCTATCAACAAGGGCACCTCTCAGCAGCCAGCGGTCTAACTTAAGTTGGGCAGTATCAGTGGATTGGCTCAGTTACATGGGTTTCACACAAGTTAATAATAATAATAATAATCCTTGCATTTGATATAGCGCTTTTCACATCAGGAGGACGTCCCAAAGCGCTTCACAGAACACACTGTAAAGTGAATTGACTGTATATTTGTGGGCGAACGCGGCAGCCAATTGCACACAGCAATGTCCCAAAAACAGTCGTAGATTGAAAGTGACCAATTTATTATTGTTTTTGGTTTTGGAGGGATTATTATTAGGCTCTGTGTGGAGTAAGGAAACTTGCCCAAGGTTTCGCCCTCTGCCTGGAATTGAACTCAGGTCTCTCACTTGCAAAGCGAGTGCTCTAACCACTGAGCTACAGGACTCCACATGTTGCATAACGTTTCAGAACCATTGGTCTCCGGCTTATTCAGGGGGAACAAGGGGATCTAACCACCAATAAACCCCCATGTGGGGGCACCATGAACAGTCAGTCACGTTGACCATCTCATGTCCCATTCCCAAGGCAGATGGGTTCCCAATTTGGTTCATTAGCAACACAAACACTGCCCTGACCTCTGGCTAACACACAGGAATACACTTACCACAATAGGTGTAGATATTGTTAGACTCCAGGAACCTAACCTTCAAGTTGTGGAGCACTGCCGGCTCGTGCAGGTAGCTGAGGGCCGTCAAGTCATTCTCACCCATGAGGATCTCAGGGTTCCTCAGGTAGGGCAGAGCTCCAGTCTTCTTGTCAATGGGAAACTCAATGTTCTAAGGTCAAACGAACAGTGATTTCCAATAGTTCTCCAAACATACACAATATTAAACGTGGTTGTCTGTGGTTCAGGTCTGCCCAGTGTGCAGCCACACAGACCAGCAACACTCCAGGTTCACTCCCTAGTTAGTGTCTAGTTACCATGACAGGCGGCAAGACCTCAATGTAAGTGCTCTGAGATGCTACCTTGTGTGGAGGGCGCTATATAAATGCAAGTTGTTGTAATGTCTGTGTAGAACGTTACACCTCAAACTACCCCGTGATGGTGTTTACACTACACACAAGCTTCCACCCTTCTAATCCCCTCTCCTTTATACCCCATCAACTTCTTGCAATGAATCCCATTTCCTCTCAATACGCTGATGCTTTCTGCTTTAACTACAGCTGTCGGCCGTGAGATCCAGATTCTCACCACCTACTGCGTGAAGCAGTTCCTCCTAAACCCACGTTTTGACTTTTATATCTGCTCCCAGTTAATCATTGTGCCCGAAAGACAGACCCCGACAATACAGTCCTGTCCCAGTCCTGAATTATTGCTTTCTGAGCAGCTCGACTCAGAAACTGTTTGTGGTATTACATTCCGCGGGTCTCCCTGTTGGTCATCTCTGTACAGACACATCACTGAAAGCTCCACTATAGGGCGCTCTGTGGTGCGAGGTCCATCATCAATGGGAGAAAATCATTAAAGAAATCAACAAAATATAAAATCAGTGCCTGTATTTGACACAGCACATTTCCCGCCAGGAAGACATCTCAAAAGCACCTGACTGGTTTTACGGTAAAGTGTAGGGACTGCAGAATTTTATAGGCAAAACCAGCAGCCAATCTGCACCCTGCAACGACCCCGCAAACGAGCTAGAAAATTGAACTTTGTTTATCTTCAGCCAACATTTCCCTGCAGTCGGCATTTGTCTGGATTCTAAACACACAACCCAGAACTTCCAAACCAAACGACAAGCTTTGCCAAGTGCTGAAGGAAGCCAGCGACTGAAGGGTTAAACGCGAGGTTAAACCTCACCATCCCGTCGTCCAGTTTGAGGTAAAGCAGATCATCGTCTTCCTCGCTGTAATCCTTCGTCAACTCAGCAGATATCCACACTTGCTCCGGGTCAGGAATCCACAGCTTGGTGGCCTGGAACAAAACACGTGGCACAGGGTTCGCTGAATGTTAATGTAGTTCAGACGTTTGCCCACACGGCAAAACAGACTCCACCGTCCGTCATCCTCGCACTCACATGACATGTCATGTCCCAAACTACAGTGTAATCCCAAACTCTATCCCAAACTATACCCTGCTCCGGGCTCTTTATCCACTTTCCCCCATTTTAAACTTTGATTAAAAACTAATTAAAATGTACTATATGAGCAGGTCAGGGATCTGGGGGTCAGTGTTCACCCCCCACCCACTGTCAGCCTTTCCTTAATTAACACATACATTGTGTTCAGGTGTCTCTGGGAGCGACAGACAGACAGACAGAATGTTCTCCATTTCTCAGCTGCAGGTTTCCCTGAGGCTAAGGTATTTCTTGCTGTATTAGCAGTTAGTGTATCAAGTTTCATTTGCAGAACATGATGCACAAAAAAACGACATATGTATTAGAGTGACCACCTGAGGATGTCACAGTGGGTCTTCAATTAAATAATTCGCGTATTGGTCGCTTTCAAATGAAAGAAAAAAAAAGCCAAAAAAATCAAATGGGATTTCAGAGCGAGAAAACCAACTCGACCAATGACTCAAAGTATAGACTAAATTCCCTCTGCCTCACGTGTAATATCTTCTCTGCTTTTTAAAACCAAATCATTTCTCAGTTGAAGACAAACCCTCGCTGATGCTCGACAGTAAAACAGAATCACAGGTTAAGGGAAAGTGGAGTTTAGTTTCTCTCGTATTAAAAGCCTCTCAGGTGCCCCTCACCTTAGTGTAAAGCTCAGCCGCCGACATCCTTTACTGTATAGCGCTCAGCCGCTCAGTGTGTGATGGAGACAGAGAGGTCCCTCTGACCCCAAGTCTCTCTCTCTGTGTGTTCCAGGTCTGACTGCCCACTGACTCCCCCACGTGATGGGCAGCGAACTTTAACTCCCTCCCTCCGCTAACCATGTGTACACGATACGAAATTTACACCCCCCAAACGTTGGCCTTGGAATTGTTCCGTTCTCTTGTCTTTCACCTCACTTGGGGGGGATGGAGAGACAACTGGAAAGGAGTGTGGTGGGAGTCTCGGGTGGGAGTTGGAGTGGGGGACCTTGTGCTGGGAGTGGATTTGATGGGCTCTGAGCTCACAGCCCAGACTGACACTCCAGCCCAGCGCTGGGGGGAGCAATGCAATGCCAAAGGTGATGTCCTTTGGATGACATGTCAAACACCGAGGTCTGGAGGCATTTGGAATATTACCGAACCATTACACAAGGAATGTAATGCATAAGGCCAGTCTGCTGCTGCTGCTGCTGCTGCTGCTGCTGAAACAACGAGCTCAACAGCAAAAGATTGGCAGCGATGGAAAGACCCAATAACCGGTGTACAATGGCCAGGAAAGGGCTTTATTTAATGGCTTCGGCGCATTTCTCTGGTTTGCGGTACACTTTGTGAAGCCGAAACAAAAGTGCTTTTTACTCGAAAGAGTTTGAACATCTCCATATCAAAGAGAATTATCGGCGCGTTTACTTAGATGTGCACTCGGGCAGGAGAGGGGGTGAGAAGAACACACACGAGGGCCTCTGTTTGGTAAATCGTGAACAAAATGAGATATAACTACTTTTCCGAATCACTAATTTAACACACGGCCAAGTCGGTGTCCATCCCTGAGGGGGAGCAGTGCGAGCGCAGCGCACACCGGTAACTGAAAGCTCCACATTTTATTTCATTACGATTTGATGTTTGATTTGCATCAGAGGTCCACCCCTTACCCCCCACCGCCCTCTGGAGCCCCACCCCTTACCCCCCACCGCCCTCTGGAGCCTGTCCACCCCTTACCCCCCACCGCCCTCTGGAGCCTGTCCCTGGGAAGCGTCGCCCGTTCTCACCGCTCCAGTCCCGCGGACAGGAAACAAACAGAGCAGTAATTAGTCCTCGGGTTGGGTCCAAATCAGCCAAACCCTCGGCTGGTGCGCGCCTCTCCAGCGCCTCTCCAACAGAGTAGGAGACGTGCTTTCCCGGGAATACAGGAGATGTGCTGACAGCTACAGGTGCCCATGTGGGTGCACATCACTGGGGGGGGGGGAGTGGGCAGAATTCCTCCCAATCAGAGTCCGAAATATCTCCCACCAGAGCCCTAATATATAAGGATCCGCAGCGAATGTTTGGCAATACTGAGCCGTGAGGTTTGTGTTGGTTCCCACAGACACGGAGTTCCTCCTGGAGTTACGCGGTGCGGTTACAACTCCAAGTGAGATCTGACCAAAGAATTGACTGTTACGCTTCGGCCAATGTTGGTTAAGACATAATGTGGTCTTCCCAGGAATGGGAGGGAACCGGAATGGATGGTTCTCAGCCCCGTAAAACCGCTCCATTACAGCTGGTAACTGAAACGATCTCTGTGGGGACTTCTGCAGAATTATTGATTAACTTCCAGAGGTAAATGCTATTTATAATACAGTCCAGGGGAGCAGTGGGTGAACATTAATAAGCCCTGGCATTTAATATCAGCGCTTTACGTCGAGAGGACGTCTCCAAGCACTTCACAGGAGCCACTGTAAACTGTGGTGACTGTGTATTTTTGAAGGTCAGGAGGCAGCCATTTGCACACAGCAACATATCCTCAAACTGCCATGAACTAAATGACCACTTTTATCTGTCAATTTTCTTCCCTTTTCAAACAGCTCCGCGGGATCTTTAACACCCACCCGAGCAGGCAGGCGGGGGACCTCAGTTCCGAAGACTGGCACCTCGGACAATGCAGCGTTCCCACAGGACTGCCCTGAACAACAGCAAGATTTCATTTATAGAGCGCCTTTCACGTCGGGAGGACGTCCCAAGGCGCTGGACAGTTGGGTCGGGAAATGGTCAGGGAAGGGAAGGGAGGGAGCAAGGAGGGGGTAGAGTCGAGAGGGGAGCTGAAGGCACGGTCGAAGAGAGCATCAGCTTCCACTGAGTTCAAAATTCTGACTTGGAGTTTGAACTTGGACGTTGGCCATGGCTATTCCATTCAGGGCCCCAATCGCCTATGAATTGATGGGATAAAAAGCATGTTTCTTCAACAGATAAGCAGTTACCAAATGGTCAGCGACTTAAATTGGATTCTGCATTGAGAGTTTGAACTGCGTTCAAGCAGCTCTATCGATCAAGAGACTGTTCCTCGCCTCCCACGTGATAAATGGTACATCAGAAGCTGCACAAGACTGACCTGAGAAGAGCAGCGGTAACTCCTCACGATGATCTGTGTCGACCACATAATGGATGAAAGAACTTTGGACAAAAGCCAAGGTGTTACCAGGAATTCTGGTAGAAAAAAGCTGCTCAGTCAACAGTGATCCAAACTGCACCTTGACCTCTGGCCCTGACACAGCAACTTCCCAGCACACAGTTTCCTTGGTTCCATGGATTCCTAGACCTGAGCCTGGCTAGATAAAAATCAACAAAATATTCCAAAAAAAGATTTAATTTTAATAACAAATAAACTGCAATGTTAATGATTAATTCAGGTCAATAGCTCGGGCCAAGTGTATATTGGCGCTTTCTTAAGATATTTTGACCAGACATACAAAGCTCTCAGCAATCTGAACCTTCAGGCTGTGGCTAAAGAATCAGAGATGGAGTCATGTACTACTCTTGTGCCAGCAGCTAGTTATGACAATATGTGCTTATTGATATAGACAAGAAGTATGTCCAATAGCCATTTTAGCCAGTTGGGGGGCGAGGGCTAGCCTGTGTGTCTGGAGAAACCAACCTGGTTTTATTACACATATGATTCAGGCAGTGTGATTTGTCCACTTCTAAATTGCCTGGACAAAATGTGTCCACTGCATTTCTAACTAAGCCAACGTCAAACACTTTTGGAAATCAAACTTCAGGTCAAAACATCTCAGATACAGCAGCAAATTGTAAAGTAATTGGTTTCTTGTTGTTGTGTATGGCATGTCACTGACACAGATCAGTTATGGCATTTTCCCATAGAATATTCACTTCCCTTTAATCAATTATATTTTGAAAAGAGCCTCAAAATGTTTATTTTCCCCATGAAAGGTTCTATTATCAATGTAATTAGAAGCACAGCAACTGGCTTGTAAAGACACTGAACAAAATAAGTTACAAAACTAGCTTTAAGAAAACTAAACCATACAATTATAAAATATCCTTCAAAAATACTGTACAGCATTGAAGGTTTACTAACTTTGTATTTATGCAAACCATTAAAAGTTGCTTTAAATCCTTCATATTACCTAGGTAACTCTTCATTAACTTCACATATAAAGCCTTACATTTGTTTTAAGCCATTATTTCAACTAAGTTCTCAAAAAATCTAGACAGTAAAACAGTAAAACATTTCATAAACTCAATGGAACCAGAGCATTGATCAGGGGTTTCAGGCGAAACTTCATATCTGCAAAAAAAAACAAGACAGATCATATTAGGAAGCCAGTTTGTTCATTTAATGGAATTAATACAATACAAATTAAGACACACGGAGGATGTCCAATGCAAATATCAGGAAACCCAGTTAGCCTCGAACAGGATCCTCAGCAGGTTAAGCTTGATTAATAAATTGCATCCAGTTTTGCTCACATAATACTTATGACAATCAGTGTTTTCAACACAAAGATGGATTCTTGGCGTCCAGTTCAATCACCATTTTTAAACAAGAAAGAGAGATCCTGCAATGTAGATATCACATTCAATACAATACAAAATTACATTTGTAAAGCGCCTTTCATGTTGGGAGGATATCCCCAGGTGCTGAACAGTCAGGGATTAGGATGCCTAGGTTTCTGATTGGCTTGGTGAGGTAGAGTGTGCATCCTTGGATGCTGATGCTGCCAGTGCCAAGAACTTCCCAGCACAATATGGAATATGACAGTGGGATTGAATGAACACATTGCTACAAATGCTTCCCGCCCTTACTAGAATTAAATAAAATGTCCCCCATCGGATCAGCTGTATCCTTGTTTGAAAGGTTGAAATATTGACTTCTGGTGAATGTTTGTTCCGGAGTGTTACCAATGAACAAAGAACGAACAGCATTGCCATAAATTGAATGAACCTTTCCAACAATCAGTTCGCCCCAAGATCCAATCAAGTAACTTCATTGAGGTTAGACTCGTCATGGTTTAACAATATATACACAATAAAACAGGTATAAAACATGCAAGTGTAACTGAATGTCCCAATCAGAAACTTACCTTCACTTTCCATGTTGATCAAATCTTCTAGTTCACAGGCTGTCCATAACTAAAGCACTGATCTTAGTAAAATACCACTTCAGTGTTTTATCCCCCTGAACACACAAGCCCAGACACAGGAAGCTGATGCCACGAGCAGGATAACCCTGATATTCAGTGATATGGATTTGATTTGCCATTTACAGGAGACAAACAGAGCACAATTGTTTTCCCTTCTCCCCTGGAAATTGTCACACAACAAAATTTTTTTCTACCACACAACCATAAACATACTGTAAAAAGTCTTTATTAAGAAGGTTTTTTTAAGTCAAAAAATAAAACTCTTAATACAATTTCATACCATCAAGTCAGTTCAGCAAATATATATCAGTACTTTAGCCATGTAAGGTTAAAGGTCCATTATCTTAAAATAAAATATATTTAGTTTTTTTTAAAATTTATTCAAATAAAGTACATTTTCAGTCCTATAAATTCCCTACATATACACAGTAAGAGGTAAACAAATGATAAACTTGAATATTTAGTAATCTGTACTGGTGCTGTCACACTCTGGTGTTATAAAACATACAACCACTTGGCTTCTCATCGCTATGTGTACAAGATATATTCTGTGCATTAAAAAATAAAATGCTAGGTAGAAATTTTAAAAACTCATATCTGCAAAGTGCGGCGGACCTTTCCTTTATTTAAATCTAACTGAATACTGTCATAGTAACTTTGACAAGCAGTACACAATCAGCACATGTGGTTACAACTGCTTAACAATATCTAACGTATTCCAAAATTGCCAATGATGACTGGGTTAAAATTAAAGCTAATTTGTAAACATCTCCTCTAGGAAATATAGTCTTCCAGTCGAAATAAAATAAGGTTTGTCTAGGGTGTATTGTACAGCGGTTATTCCGTCCTGGGTGTTGTCCGAAGTAGTTGCTAGGACATGATGCCACTAAGAAAATATACGAATGGCCTGTGACGCTGGTTTTTGGCAGACCGGGCACTTGGGCTCAGCTTTGTCACAGATGCGGTTGGCACACTCCATACAGAAGTGATTATGACCACAAGGGACGAGTGCTGCAATCACCTCGCTCTCGCGACAGACGACACAGTCCCGGTTGCTTTTCTGCCGACTTTCAGAACCACTGGAGTCTGTGGGGGAGCCAGATGTTGCTGAGGTACTCCCTGGGAGTGAGGAGGAAGAGTAGCCTGGACTGTTAGAAAAGGCGGATAGGGATGCCTGGTTCGGGAGCCACGCGAGATTAGCCAAAGGGTCACTTTGCACACGCCTGGCCAGCGGATGCTCAAGTGCAGCACCGTCTGAAATCGTTGGAGAAACTCGCAGAGCTGAAGAGCCACTGATGCTATTAGTGCGTCTCTGGGCTGTGGCACTGCCATTAAAAGCCTGAATGGGGTTGCCATGTTCAAATGGAGACCAGATCATGCTATGAGGCCCGTTTAAACAGTCGATGGCTGGATATTCCAAGACCACTTCACGCTCATCTGAATTGGCGGAGGTGAGGGATTCGCCAAACGAGAAGCTGCCGCTACCTGTGCTGAAAGGACTCGTCGGACTGGTATCTGCTAATCTGTTACTGTAATACGAATCAGTGGAAGTGCTCCCCAAGGAGCTTAGGCTGTCATTCCGAAAACTAGCAGCAGGTCTGCGGGCTGGGTTTGGGGCCTTGGACCAAAGGCTTCCAGTAGCGCTGATGCTATCTAAGCTTACATCAGTTCCATTGGAATGGAAGTCATTGTCAGCAGTTAAGTCAATAAGGACGCCAGTTCTCATAGAAATATGAGCCTCAATCTCCTCTCTCGCCCGATCCACATTTTCAGGCATTCCGGTGACCTCAAATACTGGCTCCTTGTCTCGGCTTGGAGTGACTATGTAAGTGTGAGTTGTTTGCTGAATCCGTTTGATGGTTGCTCCCTTAGGTCCAACCACAAGCCCCACCACACGATAAGGCACACGCACCTGGATTGTGGTCTGTCCTGGCAGGTTTGGGGGACTTGCCAAACTTGCCAGGCCATTGGTTTTGTTGCGAGATGCCCGGATCATTGAGAAATGTTCTGCTGCTGAAAGAATCTCTCTCTTGGCCATGGCTACATCTTCCTTCCTCCCAGTGACAATGAACACAGGCTCCTCGCCTCGAACAGGAGTCTTGATGTATGTATTGGTCTTTGCTCGAAGAGCCTTAATTTTGCAACCTTTAAAAAGGGGGAAAACACAGAAATTAGAGAGATGGGGAAAAACCTGCATTGAAAGTCTTTGTCAAACAATGACGTGACCAAACTTGCTATTTGTGAGAATTATGCAGATGTACCAACTATTTGCTCTCATTTTGATAGTCAGGGCCTCAGGTCATCTTTCTTTAACTACTGCTGGGGAAAGGGGACATTCGTGGATTCAAAAATTAATCCAGTGATGGCAGATAATCCAGTCAATTTAGAGATAACAAATTGCAGCAAAGCCTCAGCGAGTTTGTCTTTAATAGATTGGATATGTTACAGACAAACAAAGTTATTGGCAAAAGGAAGTATATCAAACGTAATCACACCAGCACAAGGAATAGTATACACATATTTTCAAAATGGTAGGAGTTAGGACTGTATTGACAGAAGTAACTAATCTACTCGTAAAACTCCCACAGGATATTGAGAGCTATTTCATCCCAACACAATTAATGTTTAAGCAAAGTAGGAGGGTAAAAGACCAACTCAAGTTCAAGGAACAATTAATGTATAGGCTATGACCGAGTTCATAAGCACAGGAACAAAATACTTCTCTGCTGAATGTGAAATAAGACTCAAAGAGAAAATCAGCAATGATGAACCTTAAAGGCAGATTCATTAAATATTACAGTTTAACAATTCAGTAATGTGGACTCCCTTTCAACTTCAGTATTGTTATGAATCTATATTTCACATTTGCAGAAGTCAATCAGTCTTGTGTTTGAGGGGCAGGAACTCAGTACATAGGAACAGAAAACCATTGTGGGCACAAATTTCAATCGGGAGGACTCACAACAGTATAAGATGGACCGAAGAAATATAAAGATTTCTTACTCTATTCCAACATCATCCTATCAATGTTGAATATTCATTACTATTATATAGTATTGCTGACACCTTTCGTACCTACTACTATATCTTACAATATTGCAGTGTCCTGAAGCGATAACCACATTTTCTTCCAGAATATCCCCTCCTTCTTCTCAATCTCATATTAGTAACCTCTCCATTAAGCTGCATCTTTCCTTCACTTCTCCTCACCCAAACACATTTCATTTCCTCAACTTGTCATTCTTCCTCTTACACTCTACTTAAAACACAAACTTGGTGTCAACCCAATCAATACCTCGATCTGTGATTCTCTCTTAATCGTCTCAGCCTTGGCACATTCAACAACAACAAGATTACATTTGTTTAGCGTTTTTCATGTCGGGAGGACGTCCCTAATTCAACAAGGTTTCTCAATAAAACTTCTCAATGCCACAAGAACGATGAAAACTCATAGAACTGTTCAGCCCATGGAGACGAACATCTGCAAACACGTTGCCAACGCTATTACTGGGTTTGCTATGTCATGATTAGGGCTTTTCTGCTATTATATGTGTATATATGTGTATATAAACATAAGGATTATTGGTATTAGGTCTTAAGATATTTTAAAAGACTGTCGAGATATAGAGCAATTCCATTTTAGAACTGGAATTAAAAAGACACTGATACAGCATTGAAAGATTTGTGCCCCAATTGTTAAACTGATTTAGCACAGCTATGCTAAGTGCTTTCGAAAAGCATTATCTGAGCTGTCAGGACAAATCATGAGATAATTACCTTCAAAAGAACGCAAGTAATATGCACTGTAATACACAATGGCACTTGTCAAGGAGCAGGCTCACTGGGTGTGAATGTTATTGCCATTCTGTATGGTTCAGTGGCTTTTTTCCATAACCAAAGGCTCTGCACTTCTCCAATATATCAGAAAACAGTGTCGGATCTAATTCATCTAACAAACATTACAGTACTTAACACTGAAGTCCTGTTCCCATTCTCAACCTGTCTGGTCTGTAGTTTAACAATAGCATCCAATCACTTTGAAAGTAACTGCGATTTATATTAACATTAACCATAAAGCTCCCTTGCCTCAGTTTAGGGGCTGTTATACCAAAACATTTTCCGCTCTTCTCTGTCGTCTTAGTTAGCTGGTGTAAGCTGCAGCGTGATGTGCATCAAATCACTTTCTGTGAGCATCCCCAAAATCTTCCTGTCCCTCATTAGGACAGTATTAGTCATCAATACCAGCAATACCAGTTTGTGCTCCCTCTCTCCACCCTCCCTCACGTTCACCTATATTAAAAATGATTAACCAAATATATAATGATATAAAATACAAGAGCACACTGGAATCTTACAGATTTGTGTTGTCCACAAAAAAACCCTGTAAAACACAGCTTTTCCAAAAGGAAAATAAACCTGCACCATCATAGGTTTTAAATAAACCAGTGAAATCACCATAGTAATCCATGTATTTAATATAACGCCTTATCAAGTCTTTGAGACGTCTCAAAGTGCTACATAGAATATTACTGTGAAGTGAATTGATGGTGTATTTTGTGTGACATATTAAAACAATAATAATAATAATCCTTGCATTTGATATAGCGCTTTTCACGTCAGGAGGACGTTCCCAAAGCGCTTCACAGAACACACTGTAAAGTGAATTGACTGTATATTTGTGGGCGAACGCGGCAGCCAATTGCGCACAGCAATGTCCCACAAACAGTCGTAGATTGAAAATGACCAATTTATTATTGTTTTTAGTTTTGGAGGGATTATTATTAGGCGTGTGGTTTCGCCCTGCAAGCAGGTAAGTAAAAGAGCCAACATTCAAAATAAAACAAAGCACTTAAAATATAAGCAGTTTTGACCATCCTGGAACGTTACCAGGTGGTATTTAAGATGAGAACACTGAGCTATTTATATGTTCCAATATAAGAAGCGGTGAACACTCAAAGACAATGGAAAACTCTAAAATAGACTTTGAGCACAAACAAAAACGCAGAGCACGAAAATGTTATTTCGAGGTGGAGAGGACCCTTAGAATGTTTAAATGTTTCCTCGTCACTAACACGGGCCCTCTTCCCTTAGCAAGTCAGCCAGACAACACATTCGGAGATTTGTCAAAGAATTTTAAACCCCCCAAAAAAACTGGCTGAACTGGAATTGTCATGTTCTTCCTGTATGTCCACAAAATAAATTGGAATTGGCAATGATATTAGCGTGGCAATGGCAGACTAAAATGTCATGGGATAGTTTTTCCACATTTCAAAGGCACAATTCCTGCCCCTCAATCGCACTGCTTACGTTTATATGTGGTGTGTGTGTGTGGGGAGAAGAGGGGAAATCTCATTAAGGCAAGTCACTTCATACCTGGCGAACAGAAAAGCACTTTGCTTTTTCAATCAACCTCTCCTGAATTTGCCCATTTAAAATTAATTCTAGATTATCGCTATTCTGAACTTCCTGATTTCTCTTGAGCTCCAAATACGGAATCTGACATGGTCCTACGATTCAAGCCCCAAAATGGTACCTTTTCAAATCAATACCACACTAGTTTCACACACGTTACTGCTCTAAACATTCCCATTAAGAAGTACTCAATAGTGACTGATGTTGGCTCACCCTGAACAAATGGACTTGATTCTGATGGGCTCAACAAGATCACCTCCCTCTCAATTTTTATATTCTTTAAATACAGAACATCACAACAACAGCGCCTTTTGCGTCGGGAGGACGTCCCAAGGCGCTGGGCAATCAGGGAGGTTAGGGGTAAGAGGGTGATCGAAGGCACAGTCGAAAAGTAGATTCAGAGCCAGATGTGGTGGGAAGCAAATTAGCACCTAAAGTCCACATGTTGAAAGTTTAAACTGATCTGCAACGATGTCAAGAGATACTGCACAGCGAGGCCAGGTACTTTCCTTGGGAAGGTAGAATAATTAAAAATGATCACACCTCTGAGAGTAATTACACAGCATCAGGTTTTAAGGAATTTCCTTATAGCGATGGCTTACACACTGAATAGGCCTTAGTTACTAGGCTTTTGTAAGTAATATATAGTAATGCATAACCAATTACATATATTGTCCCGTTTGCAAATCCAATCCTCAGCAATCTGATTATAATCATATGGTTATTAGGGTTTAAGCAAATTCTTGGACGAGGTACTGAAAATAAAACAATTTCTGACCACTTACTTGTCAACTAGATATCCCCAATAGAAAGAGCAAAGCCCGGCATGTTTGACATGTTGATGGGTAGACCTCTTGCCCCCAAGCCCCATGTGCACGGAGCACTATGTGAGCACACAATCAGAGCAGCTGTGATGACCCCTTTCCTCACACAGCCAACACATGAAAAATTATTATTTTGGCAAAGTACACACGCCTTATGTCGCACAACCAAACACTGGACAAAACAGAAACAATACTTATATGGAAACCTTAGTAGTTTGGCTTGAAGAAGCTGAAGCTCAGCAACGGGCTTTCGCATCCATCACGATATCCAGTGACCAAACAAAACATGCATCACCGACAGTATCCAGAGGTCGCCTGGCTCTTCTGGCATCTAAATCTTACTACAAACCGGCCTGTTTATTTACCACACAATAAACAAGGCAGTCCCAAGCTGACATGTCCATGTGCAACCACTCTCCAATCATACACATAGTTGAAGTGTAAATGACTAAATCCATTGCTGCACAATACACACCTCACCTACTCTGATAAGGACTGTAAGTTGTAGATCGCTCTCGAGTGTAAAGGAATTTTTTTGGACAACAATCTCTTCAACCCTCAGTAAGGCTTCACTCAGAGAGAGAGAGAGAGAGCTCAGTGAGTCAATCAGCTCAGAGAGTAAATCAATCCCAGGCCGCAGCTCAGGGCATGACATGACGTCTGCATATAAATCAGGCGCATGGGTTTGATTCTTTAACAAAGGAAACTGAGAAAACAGCTCAAAACGCCTCTGAAACCCCTCAAAACAGATGATATTGTCGCTCAATTACAAAGGTTTTATACGGAACAAGAAATCCCACCACAAAACAACACAGGGGTTCAAAACGGACGAGAATCGCTGGGGGCTGAACCCCCCCCCACACACACACACACAAGCCAACGCCGCAAAGTGGGGCTGAAATGCAGACCATCCACTCACTCACTGCGCCGTGTGTGTGGGGTGTGTGGGGGGGTGTGGGTGTGTGTGTGGGGGGGGGGGGGGGTATGTGTGGGGGGGGCTTCTCATTCAGAAAAACACTGGCGTTACATTACTGCTCCCGTTTAATACCATCACAGCAAATAAAAGGCTTTCCAGCTAAAAACGGATGGTGTCTGTGTGTGTGTTGGGGGGGGATTTGCTATCGAACAGAAAAGAACATTGCGCCCCGGTTTACAGCATTTCTGTTCGCTGTGCTAAAATCCCCCCCCCCACCCCTTGAACGCCCCCCAAAACACAGCCTCAATCGCTTCAAATCATCCGGTGAAAAGGGGGGGGGGGGGGAGAGACCGACAGCTTTTGGTGCAAAATGTAAATCGATTAATAGAACAGAACATCCCAGCATCACCCCCCCCCCCCCCCCCCCCCCGTCTACAACTAAACTGCAGCTTCTTCACAGCAAAAACAATTGATCTTATTTGGCTTTTCCAATCAGTTTATTTTTTGTTAATAAACAAAAATGTGCATCAACGAGACATTTATTGATGGTTGCGATGGACTTGCTGAGGGCTCCCCCCCCGGTGACTGCCCCCCCCCCCCCCCGGTGACTGACCCCCCCCCCCCCCACCGCCTGGTGGCTCCCCCCCACCACCGCCTGGTGACTGCCCCCCCCCCCCCCCCCCATCACCCCCTGGTGACTGACCCCCCCCCCCCACCGCCTGGTGACTGCCCCCCCCCCCACCACCGCCTGGTGACTGCCCCCCCCCCCCCCATCACCCCCTGGTGACTGACCCCCCCCCCACCGCCCGGTGACTGCCCCCCCCCCCCCCCCCCCCCCCACCGCCCGGTGACTCCCTCCCCAAACCCTTTCCTCTCCTTCCTTTGTTTCTCTGCTTTGCTGTAGACTGTGATTAACCCTTTCCCGCCTCAAGTTCAGATCCAAACTTTCCTTTGTCTTTTGGCCTTTAATGTCAGACGAGAAATCACGGTATCGATCCCAATTGATCCGCGATCGATCACATTATCATTGGAATGATTGGTGAAGTATCAGTGATGTCCTCTGCCAATGGATCCTAACTATCATTGATGTATATATTGTTACATACATCGCCGATGGAGCTTCGCACAGGGATGTGACCGGTGAGATTATTGACCGGGGATCATTATTGATGAACTACTACTGACAGATGTTACTGATCGGTTATTGATAAACTATTATTGGAAGACACTGCTGATAAGATCACGGATGGTCTCGTCACCGATCGGGGGGCTATTGAGGGGTTGGATATCACTGATACGGTTATCGATTACTTTTGATGGAGAGACGGGATTGAATACCGATACTGGTATCGATCGGTCTGAGGGCTTGGAGACTGACAGAGACTATCGATCATGGCTGCAGTGATTGATGGCGTGTGGGCCGTGCCTGGCGGCGGCTTTACCTTGTCTGCCCACGATCTCGGCCACATGCTCGGAGCTGAGCACCGGGACGCACTCGGTCATGTTGACGCTCTTCCTGCGGCCCGGGTCCCCGGGCACCGCGAACAGCGGCGGCGGCACGAGCGGCGGGTGGAACAGGGCGGAGGGCGGGAGGCCGGACAGTCCGTTCAGGCCGCCGCCGGCCTCTTCCTCCTCCTCCGCCGTCATCTCCTCCTCCTCGTCTCCCGGCGCCGCCGCCGCGACCCCCACCCCGTCTGGGCCCGGCCCCGGCCCCGGGTCCCCCAGCAGCCCGGCCTCCCCGAGCCCCAGCCCGGCCTCCCCGAGCCCCAGCAGGGACAGATGCTGCTCCAGGGCCAGGCGCCGCGGCTTGTGCTCCTCCTCGGGGCCCGGCCCCGGCACCGCGCCGCCGGCCTCACTCACAGCCTCCGTGTCCGAGAACATGGAGCCGGGCATCGCCTCGCCCGCCGCCGCCTCCCCCCCGCCCCCGCTCCCCGGCTTCCCTCAGCCCCGGGCCGGGGTGTGTGTGAGCCTCAGGGCCGCTCGCGCTCTCTCTCTCCCCCTCACACACACACACACACTCCCTCTCTCTCTCCCTCTCCTTTGTCTGCCGCTCGCTCCCGCCTCCCCCACCGTGCGCGCTCCCGACCTGCGTGCGCTCGCTCGCTCGCTCTCTGTCCCGCGCGCCACCTCCCCTCCCGCCGCTCTCTCCTCTGCGCTCGCTGTCGGGGCGCGCGCCTCCCTCCCCCCCTTCTCTCTTCCTCTCCTTCGCTCACACTCTCCCTCCCTCCCTCCCCCCCGGGGGCGGGGCGGGGCCGGGAGGGGGCGGGGCCTCAGTGACGTTGCCGCCGCCAAACAATGGGCGGGGTCAGTGTCAGCGCCGTGACCGTCACACAGTGAAGCCCCGCCCCCAGCTCCAACCCCTCACTGCCAGCCTTGTGTGCCTGACTCTGGGTCTGCTGCTCTGTCTGTGTGTGTGTGTCTGTGTCTGTGTGTCTATCTGTGTGTCTGTGTGTGTCTATCTGTGTGTGTGTGTGTCTGTCTGTGTGTGTCTGTCTGTGTGTGTCTATCTGTGTCTGTGTGTGTCTATCTGTGTGTGTGTGTCTGTGTCTATCTGTGTGTGTGTCTATCTGTGTCTGTGTGTGTCTGTCTATCTGTGTCTGTGTGTGTCTGTCTGTGTGTGTCTGTCTGTGTCTGTGTGTCTGTCTATCTGTGTCTGTGTGTGTCTGCCTGTGTGTGTCTATCTGTGCCTGTGTGTCTATCTATCTGTGTCTGTGTGTGTCTGTCTGTGTGTGTCTGTCTGTGTGTGTCTATCTGTCTGTGTGTGTCTATCTGTGTCTGTGTGTGTCTGTCTGTCTGTGTGTGTCTGTCTATCTGTGTCTGTCTGTGTCTATCTGTGTCTGTGTGTGTCTGTCTATCTGTGTCCATCTGTGTCTGTGTGTCTGTCTGTGTGTGTCTATCTGTGTGTCTGTGTGTGTCTATCTGTGTGTGTGTGTCTGTGTCTATCTGTGTGTGTGTCTATCTGTGTTTGTGTCTCTTGTGTTTGTGTGTGTGTATTAGGTGTCTGTGTGTCCACCTGACGTGAAAGGCGCTATACAAATGTAATCGTGATGTTGTTGTTTGTGTGTCTATCTGTGTGTGTAGAACAGTTTCTCCCTCTCAATAACTCTCTGTCTCTCATTCCCTCACTTTCACAATTCACTGACTTGCACCTTGCACACTCTCAACAAACACACAATGGCAATTGTTTAATCATGGCAATAAACACAAACATGCTTAAAAGCTGTATATAATATAATGCTGCTTCTTTTAAAAAACACACATAACTTGTTCCCACAGAGAGCTTAGATGTGAAAAGATCAGAATACCAAGACAATACCTCTGCACTCAATGAAGCTTTACCATGATATAAAAATATAAGGCGCTAAATCAAATGTAAGGCTTAGGAAACATTCGGAAACATCACTTTTCAAATAATGTTTCCAATTAGGGAAGCAATGAATTTTACTCATATTTAAAATTGCGATTCTATTCACTACATCAAAGTTAATAGAGCACAATTGAATACATTTATAACTAACTGGTCATTTTGAATTATGGAGACAATTTTATTGGAGGGGATTTCAAAATTACGTATTTTAAAGCTCACCTGGTCAAACAAAGATACTGTTTATTTGATGTATAACATAGAAACTCTATTTTGATAATGAGGCACATTTGAAGTATGAAGAGATCAGTCTCAACGATGTCAGAACTTGAATTTTGGAAGCCTATCCTTGAGGCACAAACAATTTTTTCACCAAGTTTTGTTTTATGTCTCGTAATAAAAATCTACCATCAGAGAAATTATAGTTTACGGTTTGCTTTTTTGGAAATGTCAAGTAGCCACTTCAAACAATCTTGAGAGGTACTAGAATTAAAATTTTAAAAAAACTGGAAATGTGTTCAAGATCTTTTCTTAATGCTGAAATAATACAAGTTCAAAATATTTGATATTTATGTTACGGTTACATACACACACCTATGTATAGTTAATTATCATATTACCTTTTATCAGAACACACAAGTGACATTTCTCATGGTCCAAACATTCTGTTTCTAATCATTTCTCAGTTTCTTAAACTTAAACCAATTAACCCTTCAGTTGCTGCTGAACAACAATTGCATCAGATTACATCGGATCTGTAATCATGAACGTATGGAGGAATACAGCAGTTGTATGTGTTGATTCAGTTCGTATGCAGTGAGTGTGATTCAGGCTCACGCTGTATGGCTGTAGCAAATTAAGTGGCACAACGTGATCTTGTATCTATGATTTTATGCAGTCGACTGGGTCCATTGCACTGCACTCTGAAGGCTGACTACTGAGGAACATTATGTGTAGTGCTCAGGTTTATGAGAATGAGTTGAAAGTGCTGTACAAATAGTACATTTTATAGAAGATTGTAATTTCTGAGATTTTCACATTATTATTTCCAAGTACTTAAAATTTTTCAAAAATAATTTGAGATTATTGTTGTTTGAATCAACTTTTTTTTCTAACTAGAATTCGACCGGAGAGCATCAGTATGAAATCTGGCCACCTAGTAAATAAATAATCCTTACATTCAATACAGCAAAATGTTTCAAAGTACTTCAGGTAATTGCTGTCTACTACCAGGGCTGGTATTTGTATGCCAACATGGCAACCAATTTGCACATAGCAATGTCCTGCAAACAGCTATGAAGTTAGGGTTAATTCATAACACATCAGTATTTACACATCCTTTATATAAATGCAGCTGCTGTTCTGCAATGAAAACATGTTCTTTAAACAAAAAAATCCATTTTTTCACATTCACACACTGGTAATCATCTCTCATTATCCTGCACTTTAAACAGTTCTTTCTTCGCTATTTTCAACTGGTTCCTATAAAGTTATAATTAAATTGTGTAAAATAATCAACCTTGCACTTTCACACCGAAATGTCTCAAAACTGATGTCTCAGATTCATTACTGTTAAGTGTAGTGACTATTTGTAGGCAAATTAGTGTAGGTCAAGATAGCACATGTCCATGTCTGGTTTATAACTCAGCCATACAGGTGCTCAGTGAACAGCACAGTAATGATGTCATGTTACCATTTGGGCATCTCTCGTTGCCTGGAAACAAGCAGAGCAAATAAAAGCAAGACTGAGATGTTACCCTCGGTCTGTATTACACTGCGCTAAAGGCGATAGCTTTATACTGACATAACACACCTGCGATGATTCAGTTGAACCAATGTGTGATGTGTTCTACTGATTAATATGTTGTACACTGCCAACACTTTTGATTCTTCAGAAACACAGATTAGATTATTGCCAATTTAATTGAATGGTTATGTGGACTGCAGCACTGAACCTCATTAGATAATTTCCCAAATGAACACTGCAAATCAGAGTATTTAAATGTATAGAACCCCCCTGCAGACCATTTTCCTCCCTTAAGCAAGTATGCACTATAATTTGGTGTTTCATTGCTTGCACAATAACAAAGGCTGCTTGTCCATCAAAGTTATCCCAAAACTTTGCCCCATTCGAGAAAATTTACAATTAGGTCGAAAACAATCTCAAATACACTTTAAGGCAACATATTTGATGTAAAGTGAGCTAATAACATCCATTTTGCTGGGTGCATTAAATAAACATTAAAATGAATGTATAATAATGAGTTTCTAATATGGGACAGCTGGAATTGATTTTCGAACACGAGTAACTACATTGGACTCGAGTATGTGTGGTATAGTAGCTTTGACATGATTCAACGATCCTATTGCAGAGATTACACATAGCAGGGGACTGAGCCCAATGCTGAGCATCTTTGAAAGGTCTATTTCAGTACCAACTTTATATTCATTTCACACTAGTTCAGTTATTAGTTGTCAAGATACTGTTGAAGAATAAGGTCACAGTCTATACAATTATAAATATCTAGCAATTTTATCTGCATACATTTCATTCCTTTTAAAGAAATAAGGCTGTATTATATGTCTCCTCTCTTTTAAGCTTTCTATCACAATGGAATATTACCATTACCATGGGAACAAATATTAAATTTTATATGAAAATCACAGCTTGTATTTCGTTTCTCTCCAGTTATTAAATTCTATACCCCTCTCTTTTGTTTAGCTCAAACAGCGAAACTATAACTGAGGTTTCCAACTCCAGCAGTTCTGGCTTGAATAAGGAAATACAGCACTACTGTTCTCCGTATGAATTAAAGTTACAACTGAGATCATTACAGAAACCATCAAATGAAGATTACATATTAATCAGTTAAGAGTACTGTTGGCAGCAGCCATGACAAGTCAATTCTTTTCACTCATGCAGAGTGCAAGTTCATTATGTTCTATTATTGAAAATAAACAAAATATGGAAACAAAACATCCAAATTTACAGGTTTAAACTGTACAATTAGTTCACTGATGAAGGGAAACACGGTACTCCTTTACTAGGTCTTTTAACAATGAGAACTGAATTGGGAACATTATTAGCTTTTTAAAATTTGCCGCCCAATTTTATGCGTAATGTAAAATCACTATGTTGAGATACCATGGAATGATAATTTCATTTAGATTTATGCTGTGGTTGAGAATCTCCAAATTTAATTACCTTTGTATCCTTAACAGCCTTTAAAGGGAACAGATACTCTCTGATGTGAGACAATGGTAAAGGAGCTAAAATCAACCAGAGAAAAAAACGAGAGGGCATATCATTCCCGATTGCTATCTAGTGTCACCTGCTGGTAAGCACAAGCTCGCTCCACATAGTCAAGTCTGCCTGAATGGGAATCAGTCTCGACACCAAGATTCCATGGTCCAGCAGCCATCCGGGAGCTTTCAGAATCTGAAAAACTCAAGCAACTTGAAACCACTTTTTAGCAATGATATTTTATTGATGAACTATTCAAGCTTTTACAGTCTAGTTGCATCACCAATATAAATGTACACTTACCAAGAGGGAAATTAGAAACATGCATCATAAAATATTTCAATTTTTTTTTCTTACAGCACATTCATGCACTATGGTGGTTTCCATTTAAGACACACTGTGCTTTACTGCAGTTGAAGATTGTAATGTTTTAGAAATGCAACATACAAAATTGGAAATACTGGATTCATTATTTTTGATGCATGCTCATTCACAAATATTAACTAAATCGCAAATCAGAGATAAGAATTTTCACACAAACTTTACAGTATTTTACATAGGTTTAAAAAAAGAATATATAAAAGACTTCAGATTTAAAAAAATGGGTACTGGCAATGGTCGACATGCCCATCAAAATGAACGTTGCCATCTGACAAAAAGATGACTTTCCTCTACTGGAAAAGTAGCTCTTCATACATTATAAGATTGGTTGTGGAAATTGCAATGATTTGTTTACTTGGCGTTTTTCATCCTTAGGAATATTTTCATTCTCTTTATGTCCACACTTCCCTGAAAAATATTGGATTCTAATAATCTCCTGCCGAGAGAGGAAATTACAATTTAATACACAAGTGTGAACGATAGCTCCTTCCTGACTAGAACATCCCATTCAAGTTCAAGGCACACTTGTGTCCACTGAAAAGTCATACTACAACCAGTTTGGATCTGCACTCATTTGATGGCAATTTAATTTATAGTAAAGAACAAAGAAAAGCATTCCTGGACTACAAATTTAGTTATGAAAAATCTGCAAAAAATAGGAGGACACCATTCAGCCCATCAAGTGGATCTTTCTGATTTGTTAAATCCCAATGCCCTGCCCTTTCGCTATACTGCTTAATACCTCTACTCCCCAAGTCTCTTTTCTCCCTTTAAAAAAAACGTATTGATTCCAGCCCTATGGTCCACTTCTCAAACTTCTGTGTGAGGGAATGTTTCCTGGCCTCCACCTAATAGAGGAAGTATTGTTAAATGATAGTTGTACATTTATAAGGTGAAATGGAACTTTATGGTCCCATCTACCACCTTATTTATCACTGGATTTATTGTACAAATACTCTGCCAGTTTGCCAACATTTAGTAGCATTGGCACAGATAGGAGTGCTGGTACCAGTAAGCAAAGTGGATCTGTGCACATGGGCAAGTATCTGGCCAGAGGGGGTGAGGAGATAAATACTTCATACGATTCAATAACTACTTTGATCTTGAAATCTAAACTACAACAATAAAGAATATTTTGGAGTGCGTCCCTACATTAGTGTGAAAACCATCTATAAACAAACATTGAAACAGGAACTGAAGAAGCTTAAACCATTCAGATTCTCCTCACCTTAATTATACTTTGGCTATACATCATCGTCATCTTCCTCCTCCTCCTCCTCTTCATCTTCTTTATCTTGTGTCGCGTCCACTTCACCTTCAGATTCATCGCTCTGTGCCAACATGTCAGCCATTAGTGCCTCCTCCAACTTCTTCCTCACCTGCTGGACCAGCTCTTCTTGTTTCCTACCACATATGATGTAACATGCATGTCAAGTTTAATGGAAGGCAGAATTTGTTTTCTTTTAACTAAATGATGATCAAACAACAAAATACAGTATTGTGCAGTAACAATACAAATTTACCTTGAGAGAAGGAAAATAATGTTAATCTATATTCTGTACTTTCCATCGCTAGTATGCAGATATAAAAATATTTGAAAAAGGAATCCTACACAATAAAACAACAACTCACACTTGCGTAGAACCCCGCATGCAAGGTAGCGTCCCAGGGCACTTAAAACATTATGGAACACTTGCACAGCACTAGTGACATTTATGTAAGTCAAGTTTTCATTTAAATATACAGTATACATCTTCAATATGATGGACCTTAAACTATAGTTGGCCATCACAATCACTTGGAATAAAATGTTAAATACATTTTGAATTCTTGCCTCATATTCCAGATAACATTTGAATACTATATCCTCAAATAATATTGTTTGAATATAAAATTATTTAATTCCTACCTAATGTCATCATCTGTGACCATGAAAGCTTTACAGAGCGGCTGAGAAGTATTCAGCCACACACCAGGATTCTTCTCCACTGCAGCAGATAGCTGTCCTGTGATCGGATTGGAGCTGGTATGTAAAGCACTTGCTATAGCAGACAGCAAGGTTTCATCTGTGCACCCAGGTCCCACACCTTAAAAAGATACAACTTTATTACTAATTATAAGTCAATGGCCTCAGTTTATCATCCACAGCTTTCTCAAAACTCAGGAACAATCCATAGTCATGCCAATAAGTCCTAAAACCTGTATTACTTTTTCCCATAATTAAGACATTTCTTAATTTAGGCAAATTGTAATTTATAAAATATACTATTTTAAAGCAATTTGTAAATGGACGAGTTGGATACAGAGATAAGGTTATTGAGAAGTAAGAGGGAGACGTGGAAATGAGATTAGAAAACAGATGGACAAGCATTGTTCTGGTAATTATAGTTATCCAAACACCTTGGCGATATCACTGCCAGATTCGTGAGAGCTGAAAACACCTCACATAACAAACCAACCACAAATGGTTTCCTCCCGTCCTCAAACAAGGGAGCAGAAAGAAGAATCTTTCTAGACGTTGGGCTTACCTTGTAGGCCTTTAGGTAGATCCATAGTCTTGATAATTTCCTCTGCAATGTCAAAGGCATTCAGCCCAGTAAGTTTTTTCTCCCAGAATAACTGTAAAATTTACAACAAATTATATAAAATAAATCCTGGAAGAGGTTTCCAAAATGTGCATACCATAAGATTAATGAGTAAGAATCAAAGCAGTGCATTGGCTTAATGCTAAAAAGGGTTTTGGAGGAGCAGAAAGATGAGCTTTGAGCTCCAGAGGCATAAGATTAGACTATATCATATTAACTCATTAAACTGCTCAATATCGATATCATCATTTAATTCATTAGCTTTATTCTGTGTAACCACACGACTGAATAAAAAGCATTACAAAGATATTAATAGCGAATGAAATCAGTATCACATATAGATATGGTAATGAAACACTCACTTGCCGAGGCTGTTCAACAGCTTTCTGTGGATCCATTTTCACTTTGTTGTTGGGATGGTTTGTCACTTTTGTAACTGGTTGTTTGAAAATTGATGCTGTCTGTCTAACAGGTAATGATGTGTTCAGATCTGGCTTGCCCTGTTTTTATAAAGGCAAAGGTTACAAAAGAATCCTCATTTAACAGCCTGAAGTCAATATACACAACATCAGTTTCACAAAGTGTAGTACAAATCCTGTCATAATCCGACCGTCATTCTGCATTAAATGAAAAGGAGAGAAAATTGGTACATTATATTTCACATGATATCTACACAGTTTTTGATGTCTGTAATGGTGCCAGTCCCAAATTGCACAGATATCAGACTTATAAAACCCACTGTCAAATATAGCCAATATATATTGTACATGAAGAATTTCTAAGACATACTGACCTCTGTAATCATCTCAGTAATACCAAGGACAATGGAAATAACAGTACAATACAGCAGCAATTAAAACTGGATACATTTTCAGCATCAAGTTACGAATACCATAGCGTTCAGACTTTGTCAGCATTAAATCACTGCAAAGTTGTTTAATACATGTGATTTGCCACAGCAAAACTGAATTTTAAGAATCTTATATTTTTGATATCAAATAGGTCACATTATTTACCAGGTTTGGGTGCAATGTTTAACAAACACACAACAATCTGCATTAGCTTAGACTATTCGCAGCTTCCGGGATAGCTGTTTCCTTAAAGAGGAAGCAAAGTTGGGGAAGGAGCATTTATCTGTTCAAAGTACTGCTTCTATAGAAGAGAAAATCACATATATTATATGTGTGTGTGTTATATATGTATAATTCATATATGTATGGCTTATTTTTTCTATCTGCTCTATTCTATATACATTTCTCTATAAAATACTAGTTTTCTACCTGAGTGGGTGTACAGCCAAATAAGAGACAAGTCTGAATGATGTAAAAATAGAACCAGGTCCTATCTGGCTGATCGCTTCAGGTTTCACACCCCTGAAATCTATGTATTTCAAACAATTATCCAATTCTCTTTTTAATTTGCTGAAATGCTGTCTCCACGGGTTACCTATTCTACATAATCACCCTTTAGTATAAAGTAATTGCATCTGAACTATTTGTTTACTTTCTCTCTCTCTCCTGAGCTCGAATTTGTGTTCCTTTATCCTAGGTTTCTTTTATGGTGTTAAACATATTAAGAGTTTGATTTCTCTATAGATTGTGGAGCTTAAATAGATCTCCTCTGAGCCTTCTATTTAATGTGAACATTACCAGCTTTCACAACCTATCTTGTAATTCACAGTACCCTCTCCAGTACCACAATGTTGTTACCAGAATTGTATTCCTAGTAGGGCCAGTTACCAGATATGTTCAGATATGTACCAGTTACCTAATTGATACTGTGTGACCAAATATGACAAATTTTACACATGACAAAAAATGGTTACCATTAAGGAGAACACGAGGCTCAACAGCACTTAATGGGCTTCTCGTAGCACCTAAATCTCCACAAGACAATCATGCACATGGCACCTTTGAGATTGGTTTGAATCATGTAGGAAAGCAACAGGTCTGTTCAGAACAACCCTTTACTCACTCCTCCACCTTCACACAAACAAAACGCATCTTGTGTGATAATATGGGCTCGAACCTACATTCTAACAAAGCAACTCAAATGGTACAGTATTTGTAATGTGATGCCCTAAGCATATACTGCAATTCTTGTTCAAACAAAATGCTGCCCATGAAAGAACACTGCAATATGGTTCTAAGTGGAATACTCCTGTTTGAAAAAAACTCGTCTCCACCTAAATCTATTTTTTTCCACAAGACAAGCTTTTCTGAATTTTAGTAAAATAACAGTTTACATTTAGGATCTACAGCAGAATAAGGTTAAATTCAAATCACATACCAAAATACTTATTCATATAATTTGAATTCCTTTACAAGAAATCCAAGTCATGTAAATGAAGACTCTTTGTGTGAACAAGAAATTTGTTCACACTAACCCTTGGGAACTCCGCTTCCAAAAAGATTTACTTCCAGGGTGGATTTGCCGCGGGATCATGCCAATTTCTAATCGATTCTTAGTAAGGAATCTTATAATGAAATACCGCAAACTGGACTCGATTATATTGCGTTTGGTTAAGCCCAATTTAAAAAAACTCCTGTGGCACTGCCCTTACCAAAATATTTTCAAAACCATTCAGAAAGTCGAGCAGTTTTATTTACCCAAGCAATTTCTAACCACTAATAATTTCTACATTAAGTTATACATCCACGTAAAAAACAGTTTTTTTTATTGACATTTGAATGAACAGTATCTTCAAAGTCGAAGAAAAGTTTTTCAATCATGAAGTTACGACTTGATTCCCAATCTTCTAAACCTCAAGCTAATTCTTTCCATTTGAGTGAGGGAATGGAAAGATTAATAAATCCTTCCTTTCAAAATGAAAAATTCTAAACCTGTTACTGCCTTATCACTCTACTCTAGCAATTGGCTATACCTTGACCTGATTGGCAGAGTCAAACCGCAGTCTCTGTCTGTTCTTGTTTAGTTTGCTGATGAGCATTTTCCCTGTCCGGAAATCAAAGCTGCTCAGATCCATTGAGTTTCCCAGATAGCGTGCAAGCTGAGGCTTGCTCCTGAACTTCTTTCCACTTGGGCTAAAAGGGAAGCACAAAACAAATTCTTAGTACATTATACAACATGGAAAGCCAGAATGTATGTTTTAATTTTTGAGAAACTTTTAGGGATTGTACACTATAAGAAGCCACGATTCCATATGGAGCCACAATACCAATCACAGTTACATCATGAAGAGAAAATAGACAAGATTTTTTTCCCCCTACATGAGAAAAGGTACAGCTCAAAATGGGAATTTTAGAATGATGGCACTTTCAAGTTCAATAGGCAAGTTACTGAGTTAACGTTTTAATGCCTTTCTTTTGCTCATGCTAAAGTAGTTCAGCATGTGCAGCCAGCCTCCTGGACCAAGTGCTCATCCGTCATTTGTAAGTCTACCTGGGAAGCCTTGCCAAGTGAGGGTTTTAGACATGATGGCATTTCTTGACAGAAGATACTTGTACAATTTGTCAATCTCAGATAGTCTCACACTTTTTTACGAAAATATTATTTCTCACAAACCAAAACACACATACGCATATTTTGGAGCCGGTGTCTTGCAATTGTTTTATGTGAGCATTTCTGAATAAGCATTTCTGGCTTCCGCTTAGCTTTCCTCGGTCAGTGTAGTGAGAATGGTAGTTTACGTAATTATGGTAGAGTGTTCCTCATTCTCTGATTCCAGTGCAACCTTTATATCTCAACCTTGAGCAACTTCCTTCCATCATCTGGGGTGGGGTGAAGGTGGTGGTGGCCCTTTAAATTTTACAGAGGGAAGTCACATGACTTTCCCCGCCTTTGGCTGACTCATCTCATTCCCGCTCCCCCTCCCGCTGCGGCTGTTTGGTTGGCTCCGGCCTCCTGTTCGTCCCTCGGCCCCTCCAACACCGGCGGCCGTGTCTTCAGCCACTACGCCCCAAAACTCTGGAACTCTCTACCTCAATCCCTCCGCCTTCCCCACTTTTAAATCCCGCCAAAAGACCTTCCTTTTTGGTTGAGCTCATGGTCACCTCCCACCCCCCCCTCCGCCTGGGTTGAAGTCAGACTTCGCCACTGTCAAGCGCTCCGGGATGCAACCCCGCATGAAGGGAGCTATGTAGATACTAATTGTTGTTCTCAGTGTTCTTATTCAACAAGCAACAGGGCAAGATCTTCAAGCCTTACAAGAGCCTTAAACAAGTTTAAAAAGCCTTAAACAAGTGCAAATATGTAAAATGATGGAGTGCTTAAAATAACTTTTCCCTGCAAGATTGTGGAGGTTGGAAGAATGAAGACGCTTATTTACACCCAGTTAAAAGATCCATTTTAACTATATACATAGGCCAGAATGCTGCCAAGTAAACTAAGCTGACACAATTAGTTGACCAGGCTATTTCTCCAGGTCTACATGAACAGTAGAACCAGGATGATTTTTGATCTCACCAACATTTAATGTATCTTTCAGCTGGAATTACTAATCATGAATCAAGCTGGGACTCTGACCATTCTCTTCCCCTTCCTAGCTCTTAAAGAAAAATTCCTTGATTTCTATTCCTTAATCAACTAGGCAGCTTTAGTGCTCATGCGCAATGTCCATGAACACACTGACAGCCATATTGTGTTACAGACCTACTCCTCCTACCATTACTGAATTTCTCAAGAGTTCATCACAGTACATAAAAAACATTATTCTTAAATTTCAACTCAAATTGGTTTGCCGACAGGACTATTAAACAATTAACTATGTAAATACCTGTTTACCCACATTCCCAGTTGGTTATTTACAAAATAACTAGATAAAAAATTCCTGTGATGAAACTCTTGCTCACATGGGGTGATGATTCCCAAATAGGCAAAGGAAATTATATAGTACTATATTGATAAAGAAATATATTCAATATATTCAAAATCATTCTAAATCTGTTTAAAAACAAACACTTTGGGCTTGGAAAAGGACGTGGAAATGAAGCTGTGTACCACATATGCTCACATCAGTTATTGATGCACAGGGGACTGGAGGGAGGTACGAAGGCATAGTAAAAGATGTAGATTTTAGAAGCGTTTTGATGGGCAGCGGCGGTTGTGGGAGGTAATGGCACTGAAAGGCAGAGGAATTTAAGGATTTTCCCCGAGAGCGTGGGCAAAGTGGCCGAAAGCCAACGGCGGTTCACGCAGCCCCGAATGCGCGGGTGGAGAAGGTGGAAATGCAGATAACAGAGCAGTTCGACCCTCCCCAAGAAACGCGGGTGTGGAGGCATTTGGAAGTAAGGACAGTATCTTCAAGTTAATCCACTGAGGAATAGGGAGCCTGTGCAGCCCCATTCACTGCGATGTGAGAGGCGGCCTCAAATGCAAGGATTATTTTCATATTGGAGTGGAGACCGCAGCATAGCGGTTAGCGCTCTCGCCTCACAAGTGAGGGCACTCGGGTCCGATTCCTGGGTGGGGTGAAACCTTAGGCAGGTTTCCTTACTCCATACGCCTCTGTGTAACTAGCAGTAAGCAGCGAGTCGGTTGGCGTATTACTTTCGGGGAGTAATAACCCCCTCCACACAAAAAAAATTTGGTCACTCATCCACAACCGTGTGTGTGTGTGTGTGTGTGTGTGTGTGTGTGTGTGTGTGTGTGTGTGTGTGGGGGGGGGGGGGGGGCGGGGGCACCGATGCGCGCAATTCGCTACCAAAAATACAGTCACTACACTTTACAATGTATTATCCTGTGAAGCGCTTCGAGGCGTCTCAAAGACGTGATAAGGATAATAAATACAAGAATTATTATTATTATTATTTATGACTGGGGGGGGCTGTAGGCCAGGCCCGGGGTGGGGGTGGGGGAGCCTGTAGGCCTGGCCGCGGGGAGGGGAGGGGGAAGCCCGGGGCCGCGGCCCTACCGCGCTCACCTATAGTAATAAACATCGCTCTTCCCCGCCGACAGGCCTGACTTGCGGGTCACCTCCTCTCGTTTCCAGCCGGACGGGAGCGCGGGGCACTCAAACCGCTTCCTTTCCATCTCCAGGGTGGCGATGGGTGTGGGGGGGGCCCGGGAGGCCGCGGTGCGGGTAGAGCCGGGCGGGGAGGCCGCGGTGTGTGTGCGCGCGAGGGCCCGGGCGGCGGGGAGGCCGCGGTGTCGGTGTGTGTGTGTGTGTGAGGGGATGGGGGGGGTGGGGAGGGGGAGGGGGGGGGAGGGGGCGGGGAGAGGCCGCTGTCGCTGTCCGGCGGGCGGCGCCGCTCGCGCTTCTCGGCCGTTACACGCGGCGCGATACACAGCGCGCGCGGCGGCACGCACGCAGGCAGGAAGTCTCGCGCATGCGCACCGCGGGGAGCGAGGTGGGAGAGGGAGGAGGGGGGGGGTCCGAACCAACGCACCCCACGCCTCCGCGCTCCTTCCAGCGCGACGAGACCGAGAAAATAGTGCCGACCCAGGCAGGCACGTGACCCGGCGCGCCGCGCGCCAGTTTATCAGAGCCCCATTGAAGAAAAAAAAGGCGGCGGGAGGTGGGGGGGGGGGGGAGGGGGAGGCTGCGCGCGCGGCACTCGGTATCTTTAAAGGCGCGACAACAATTTACTACAACACAGACTCCCACTGCACAACACAAGGGGAGGCTGAGATGGGGAGGGAGGGAGGGAGGGGGTGGGGGGGAATTTAAAAAATAAATCTTTTTTCGCCCACCTAAGAGTGACCACCTTTTTGCAGTGGAAAAAAAGCCCGGACAGGAGGCGAGGCGAGGAGTTCAGGAGGGGCTCCCCGACAGCCCAGCCCCCTCTCCAGCCAATCCCGCCCACAAGCAACCACAGACCCCCCCCCCCCCCCCCCCCTCCCTCTCTCTCTCTCTCTCTGCACCGCTCTCAGCCACTGCTGCCTCCCAGCTGGCGAGGGTGTGCACACAGCTGTACTGGACATGTAAGGCCGGCAGGGGAGGGGGTCAGGACACAAACCAGGGGTATTGTTGATGGGCAATTTTTTTTTTTTTTGCTTTGTTTTCTCTCTCCCCCACCCCCCACCCTCCCCCACCCCACACCCACCCACCCCCACGTTTCGCAGGGTTGTGTCACCCACTCTCCCAGCTCCGGTACAACCATCACACAAGTAGCCGCGCTTCATTCATAATCATCCTGGCACTTGATGCAGCGTCTTAAGTAGTTGGGGAGTCTTCTCGGAGCACTTCACGGGAGTCACTGCAAAGTATTGCGACTGTATTTTGTGGGTGAACGCGACAACCGATTTGCCCGAAGCAAAGCTCTGCAAGCAGCCATGAAGTGAATGATCAATTTTACCCGAGGGATTGTTGGTCAGGACACTGGAAGAGAAACTCCTTTCTCTTTTTGAGAGAAGGATCGTTAATTTGGTGGCTGCCTAAGATCAGCTAACTTGGAATTCAAATCAAACTGCAGATTTAAATTCGAATAATTAAGGGAGTTGACAAGTTAGATAAGTTGACAACTTTTCCCTCTGATAGAGGGATCCATTAAAATGGGAGAAGAGCTTTAAAATCAGCCACGACAGTTAAAACTGAAGTCAGGAAGCATTATTTCACACAGAGGGTTGTGAAGATAATGGAACACTGGTCGAGAAAGCTGTAGAGGCAGAATCAAAAGAGATGTTTAAAAAAAATTTAGAGAGAGATATTAAGGCAGTGATGGTCAACCAACGTGGCTGTCAAGAAGCACCCATTTATGGCATAAATCAAGAAATATTCAATCAAGAAAATGTATTTTGTGGGGTGACCATAAAGGTTGACCACCAATGTATTAAGGGGTATGGTGAAAGGGTAAAAAGAATTTGCCAATAGCTAATAAACTGGTGGAACAGGCTCGATGGGCTGAATGATCTCCTGTTTTCCTATGCTTTCTTTTGTCTTTGTCCAATATGCCACTGTTTATGTAGCTCAGTGGTTAGAGCACTCGCCTTGCAAGCGAGACACTCGGGTTCAATTCCAGGCAGAGGGCGAAACCTTGGGCAAGTTTCCTTACTCCACACACCTAATAATAATCCCTCCAAAAAACAAAAAACAATAATAAATTGTTCACTTTCAATCCACGACTGTTTGTGGGACATTGCTGTGCGCAATTGGCTGCCGTGTTTCGCCCACAAATATACAGTCAATTCACTTTACAGTATATTCTGTGAAGCACTTTGAAACGTCGAGAAAACGTGAAAAGTACTATAACAAGTGCAAGGATTATTATTATTATGTTGATGGTAATTGTCACCAGTTCACTTGGGTATGTGTATAGATTAGAAGCAATACCTGAGCATCGTTTTGCAGTCAATAACACATTAGTCACAAGTGACAATTTTTAAAAGTCTCTTCCCAATTGTAAGTATAAAAAAAGTCAACCTCAGAAATATACATACTTAATTGTGCAGCACATGCTGAAAATGCCAGCACGTTATCTCCTTCACATCACTGATCCAACTCAAAGCTGCCATCTAGTGCTAACAGGGAAGAAAAAATATATTCTTCTGCCAGTGGAAGCTGGTGACAAGTTTTAGACCTTGTACCAAACAAGTTATGTTTCTAAAGTTAAAGAACTGAGTGAGAATGAATGTCTCTAACAAAAAAAGACTGCTGGGGAGCTCTTAAAGGCCTTTCTTTAAAAATGAACGGTTGTTTTGGAATTTAGCTGCAGTAAACAGTAGTACTTTAACTCCTGCAGTATTTCATATTGAATCCATTCCCAAACCAGCTGCTCATGGCAGTTTTGGAGAATGTTCAAAATTCAACATGCTGCCTTAAAAAGGGACTAATGCAGTTAACAATTTGATGCAGAAACCACTTTTGTTGAATCCCAAAGGGCTCCATCATCTCAAAAATGAAGCTCACCACTTGCTCTCTCGACCCCACCCCTCTTCTTACCTCCCTGCTCTACCTCCTTGCCCCTTTAAACAATATCAACCTCTCCTTATCGACTGGCACTGTTCTCACCCCTCTAAAAACAAGTGTCACCACTCCCATCCTCAAATAAACTTCTCTGGACCCATCACTACTCTCCAGCTGTCATCCCATCTTCGACCTCCCTTTCCTCCCCAAAGCCCAGGAACTAGTCGTTGAGTCCCAGTTTTGTTGTTTCCTCTCCCACCATTCTCTTTTTGGATGCCTCCAATCGGGTTTCTGTGCTGCCCACAGTCACTAATGACATTCTGTCCATCTACGACCAGTGCTCTCTCTGCCTCCTTGTTCTCCTCGACCTCTCTGGTGCTTTCAACACTGTCGGCCATTCTAACCTCTTACACCACCTTCTCCTGTCAACCTTCATGGACCTATCCTTGGCTGGTTCTAATCCTACATCGCCCACGGTCTCCACTTCATCTCCACTAACAGCTTCTCCTCCAGTCCCCGCAAACTCCCTAACCCCCCTCTACCAACCTATCCACTCCCTCCACTCAGCAGGCTCTGGTCCGGCCTGCTTCACATGCCCCGCCTTACCACCCTAACATTGGCGGGCGGGCCTTCAACCTGTCTCCACCCTCTGGGACTCCATCCCACAGACCTGCTACTTTGCCCCCTCCCTTGCCTCCTTCAAAACCTGCTCAAGACACTCCTCTTCAATTGTGCCTTCGGTTACCCTCCTTCCCTCCCGATCCCAAGCACCAGCTCTGGTGCGGATTCCTGACTGTGCAGCACCATGGGATGTGAAAGGCCCTATACAAATGGCAGGTGGGTGGAGCTTTGAGGAACGAGAAAGGATTGTGGCACACTAGCAATGAGGGGCTTTTTATTGTGTGGCAATGCATTTATAGATGAAAAGCCATACGGTAGATGATGTTTATTCTATTTCTCTTCCTGACGCCCCCCCCCCACCCACCTGCTCACCTTAAGTTCTTAAAATATTGTACATTCCACACTGCTTTCTTTTCCAGTGTCCAAACAGAAATGTTTCCATCACAACGGAGGACAGCAAAGTGAGAGGCCCCCCTACCAGCTTGGCAGGCAGAATGTTTTCACTGACAATAAACCAGTGTTACTGTAAACACCAGCAATTCACATGTTATTACTGCTTCCAGGCACTCTGTACGTTTACTGGTCTGCAGCAAAGTTAATATGGTCAAACCCCTGAGCCCTCAACACTGCTATCCGCAGATTTATGTTTTGTTTTATTTTAGATACATTTTGAAGCCTGGCGTGATGCAGGAAACCTCGTGCAGAACAAAGATAGAAATGAAAAATTGTTATAGCTAAGTAAACATAAAAATGTTATTTGTAGTGGAGTTTTCGCTCTTCCTCCACAAGAAGTTTTCAATAAAGGCAATAAAAATATTTAAAAAAACAAAGGAGCTCCATTATAGCACATGGCTTACAACTTACTGTAACTCAAAGCCATTGTGGGAGCCCCATTTTACAAAACCATCTAAGGAATGTAATCAGCAGCAATATAGCTTTAGCTTAATTAGTATTAGGACTACTTGAATAAATTGTTCAATTAATTATAATTCTTATATATTCTATATAATCTACTTTAATTTTTCTGACAACTATTTGCATACATTCTTTTTGAAACATATAAAAAACCTTAATTTACAAATGTCATCCATAATCCAAAAGGGTTTGACAAGTCACTTCTTGATGTGAATTTTTCCCCAATATCTAGCATAACCCTGTTGTTGCTACATTTGATAGCTTAAACCTGGTTTCAGACATAAATTCCCATTCTCAAAAATCACCTCTGAGGCACTTTCCAACATTGTTGAATCTATTTTACAACAGTCCTCCCTAAAATTGTTTTATTTACTTTACTGCTGATATTTGTAGCACTTGCAATTACAGTAGGTAAACTTATTTTAAAAAAGCATTAAAAATAGTAATTTCTATTACCCTGTGTAGCATGTAGGTGTCCAACATTGCCAATCCATAAGCAGTCTAAACTCTGGAGGATTTGGAGCTGCTGGGGGCACAAGACAGGGGCTAAACTTGGCTAATTATAATCACATGTTCAGGGAAAACCCAACATAACCGTTTTCCAAATTCCCCTTCCAACTCTGAATAATAAACCTGCTGGATTTGTCTACTTGTTTCGCTGTGTGTCCTGTACTGTACTGAACATCCAAACATCGAAGTTTCAATTCAATTGAAATCTAAAACCAAAACCATCTTTACTCTCGATACAGTACCTAGAACGCCGCAAATGTTTTCAACTGCAAAACGGTTCACAAAGGAGAATCTCTCCACAAACCCACTCTTCATTAAGTTTTGTTTCATGAATCTTTACATGTTATTGTGGATGTTTGCAGTGCTGGAGAGAAGCATTTTCACATTTATGGAGTCCTGCAGCTTAGTGGTTAGAACACTCGCCTTGCAAGCGAGGGACCTGGTCTTGATTCCTGGCAGGGTGAAATGTTGGGCAAGTTTCCTTACTCTGTTTACCTAGCAGTAAATAGGAACCCAATCGTTTGTCGACTTGTAAATCGCTTTTCCGGGGGTAATAATTCCTTCAAAAAAATAACAATAATAAATTGCTCATTTCAATCCACAACTATTTGTGGGACACTGCTGTGTGCAGTAGGCTGCCATGTTTCATCCACAAAATATAGTTAATTCACTTTACAGTATAATCTGTGAAACTATTTGAAACGTCTCGAAGACGTCATAAGGCGCTATATCAAATGCAAGGATTATTATTATATCAAATGCAAAGATTATTATTATTAGCTTTCTTCTTGCCTCCAGTATTCAGCGATGATAAAAATGGCAGCTTTTGGGGATGAAGTGTCTGTTTATGTGTTTAGAACATTCTTTGTCCGTTTGTCACTTCCTTAAATGAGCGCAATATCCACTAATAGATTCACTCCACATTCACTCATTGTAAATGTACTTGTTTACACTGATTGCAATACTGCTCGAACAGATGACTCTATACAAAGCCTCACCGTGTCAAAATATACCAAAGACCCCTGCACAGCAAGTCATCCTGACATGTAATAAGCTTGTCAACTTGCTGCCATTTTAACTATCGATCTGTGAAAGCCTGGTTGGAGATGGACTGTTGCATTTCTTCTGATTAGAAAACTACCCTTCACCTCCACAATACATGTGAAGTTTGAAAACAGTAAGGATTTTGAAATAGAAGTTGACTTGGCTATTTTCAATCCAATCCCAAATCCTGAATAACAGTGAAGAAAGATCCTGCATTGGGCACAGATTGACAAATGGCTGCTCAGATACAGAAGCATGACAGCTGCAAAATAACTTGTGTTTGTATAAGAACACGTCCTGTGATCCACACTGTAATGACTTTCGTGTCTGATACGTTTGCAAGGAATGGAATGGAAGAAAACTAAATTCTTAGCGACAACACTCTGATCATTCTGATCGCACATGGATTGTAAGAAAAGATTCAACATTACCCAAAGATTTGACATTGATTTTTAAATTTTACTGAGAGGTTAAATTAAATGCGTCAACGGTAATCTCAGAACCATGTTATATCATTCAAGTACACAGAATCGGTTTCATATCAATACAGGATAGGCGTGCTCAAAGGTTGAAGTTAATTCCTGCTCCAGCTTGAAATTCAATTAAGAACAATCTCCAGACACAAAGACTGTTCTGTTCTCTGAAGCCATTAGTCACGATATGGACTATTCATTTATCCTGCAACACAGAAAATAAACACCACAATTTAACACCAACACAGCTGGTTCCAAGCTCAGCAAACCAATCCTGGCATTCCTATTCAGTAAATGTATCACGAAAAAATGGTTTGTGTAAAGAAACCACTGACACTGAAAAACTTGCTGCCAGTTGAGTTCCTTCAATTGGGCTCCACATTCCCATCTCACTAGGTTTCAGCCACAAGAGGTTCAACACACAAAATGGCCGAACATTGTCTGTGTGTGGAGGGGGGGCTGGTTCAGAAACCATACAGAGAGAATAACAGAGAGTTGTGCACTTTGGGACAGAAAATAGATGAACAAGAATTAGTTGAGAGCTGAAGCCAGATGTAAATAATGGAGAAAAATGAATGGCCTTTTGTTTCCTACAATTTCTGCTTCATCACAAGTGCCTTCAATCAGAGGAATCTCCAAAGGGCAGCAAAGAGACAATAATGTCTGTGTAGTTAGACAAGAAGCTTCACTGTCTCCGTACTGGCTTTATATGTCCTTGTGAAACAATTCATAAAAAACAAGTGCATCCCTAACACACGAGAATACCCGCTATAACAAGCCTTCAATGTAGTTGGAAAATTGCCACACATGTCACACTGGATTGCTCCAGTCATATTACTTTATGGGAAAGAGCTGGAGCAGGCTGGGAATGGACACTATAGATTGGCCTGGAGGTCAAGGTGGAACCTCTTGGACGATACTGATATCATCAGAACGGCAAAGCGTAAGAGGAAGAAGATATTAAAATGATATTAAAAGGATCTATACAAATTTTCAAGGCTGAGGTGGATAGGGGTTAAATGGCCTACTCCTGTTCCTATATATACATGAAGATTCCTTACTATATGAAAATAATTGGTCAAAGAAGGTTGTTTTTCTCTTTCTAGGAAAGAGTACGTGAAACAGAAGGAACTGCCTCTATATATATTTCCTCCTAACCTATCTATTACCATAAACATACCATCAAAGTATCTTGCAGTCCATTATTGAATTTTCACATTATAGTTTACCAGAAATACCTGTTGCAGCTTCACTTGCAACCAAAGAATCCAATATTGGATGTAGATTGACACACAGACAGACATTTTGTCTTTATCTATACTCAGCTGGGTGAACTCCTGTGGGAAGACTCTTGTCAAGTCGAGGGGGTTTACTGTGTGATCTGGCAGCTCCTCGAGTTATCGAAAAGCAAAATAACTGCCATACATCTGTTGCAGAATATATTAGTATAAATGTACCTCTTTAGAAGGGTCTGTGCCTTCCCCTGTGGCTACATTGTTGCCATGCATACCATATATTTTGGGGTTTAAAGCATTTTTTAAATAGAGCTCAGCAACGCCAGTGTCCCAGAAAAGAAATGGCCATGACACTCACACATGCAAGACTTTTCGATGAGGTACAAATCATGCCTCTACGTCAATTGGTTATTGGCGGATACACAGACAGACAAGACACATCGTCTTTATTAGTAGAGATAAAATTTGGCCTAATTTAAAAAATCTAAAAAATGAGCAATTACAAGTTAAAGAAACGTGAAGCTGTGGTTTACCATCACAATATTATGAGCACTTTCATTCATCCTTGAACTTTCCGCGAATATATGGGATACGGCCAACTATTAGTTTCCAGTCTGTAGCGAACAATAGAACCATGCCACCAACAGCTCCCCATGTTGCCACTGTTGGAATCCTGCAAACATAAAAAGGGAAATGATTTTATATAAAATGCAGAAAACTTGCATTAAAATATAAATTTAATCATGACACAATGCTTTATGCCCCATGATTTTACTTGCTTTGAACATAAGCAGACCCCATTTCCCTTTGGCCATATTGTCCCCATCTTTCTGGCACTCAACCCACCCTTGCTTCACAATTTAATTCTATACAACTGTGTTGATGGGTCTAGGCTGAAGGATTCTACCTATCTCCTCCCTAAGCATCATCTTAACACTTCACCACGACCAAGAGGGAAGATTAGTGCCGACTGTGGAGCTCTTCATTACCAGCACTGGCAGCATACGCAGGTTGGTGGCATGTTAGTGGGATGCACTGGCCTGGGGCATCAAACATTCCTCAACATTAGGGAGACAACAACAACAACAACAACAAGATTCCATTTATAAAGCGCCTTTCACGTCAGGAGGACGTCCCAAGGCGCTGAACAGATGGGCAGTGCTCATAAATTAAAGAATTTATAGACTTCCAAGAACTGGACAAATACATGAGAATATAGTTTAGGCTGGCATCCAAGACAGGCAGGATGTCATCTCTGTGTATGCAAATATACCGTACAACCTTGCTGGTCAACATTTTTTCTTTGAGGTAAAGGTACAACTAGATACTAGATTGTTCCTAGATAGCTCCTTTCTGTATTATTTATTAACATTAAAACAATTCGTTCATGTTAAATAGATCAGAGACTTTAGGTTCTTTAATATTTTGATGGTAAACCACAGCTTGAATTTGTGAAAAAAACGTGATTGTAATTACTCATTGTAAATCCATCACAAAGTGGAAATTTACCTGATGAAGTAATTCAGTAGTGTAGAAGGTAACAAAGCAGGATTCGTAATCGCATCAATTAAACAATGGCTACGACTGGACAAACGCTAACTCAAATACTTAACTGCTCAAGGTTTTGCTCCATCTTCTGCTACACAAATTAATTGGCTAGGTGAGCCAAAGTTCCACGTACTATTAAAGTAAAGATGAATTTACTAAGTAAACTACTGTGACTTTACACAGAAAAACTGTGGTAACAAAATCACAACTAGAAACAACTGAACCACATTACTAGCATACAAGTTGTAGAAATGAAAATTGACAAATGCTGTGGAGAAACACAAATGGAAATAAAAACTATTCCACAGGTTCAACACCAGAACAGTGGTATCATAAACCACATTCAACCCATTAAATTATTTTGTGTGTAAAGGGGGAGGAAGAGAGGAAATGTAATGTATAAAGACTCAGTCTCTCCCCGCTCCGCTAGTACAAAGCCAGTTCTTATCCACAAGAAAAAAATAGAAACTAGTTTAAAAGCAAGATCATACACTTGTGTTGCATACATACACAGTTGGAGCTCTGTAGTTTGGGTCCATATAAACCGGACCCCAACTTACAAGGAGACACAACCAATGCTTGGCATGCTCAACGCTGGAAGTGTACCTGCTCTATAGACAGACCCGTGCTATATTAGGGCACATTATACCCTTGTCTGACTGCAGTGTCTGTATTTTGTTGAGCAATATTGCAGTCATAATCGGAAAATAATGTCTCAATTATACCAGGTCAACAACACCTAAAGGAGAATGATACAAGCCAACATCAGCTGTGTTACTATCTCCTAATAGCTCGTATCATGGCCCGAGTACAACATCTAAACCCCAACCCAAATGCTAGGTCATTTTAAGACAAGTAAAAAGCTATCACTGCTATGAGCTTGTTACTACTAACTGTAAAAACTTCAGGCAGACCAGGAAGCCAAACACAAACTCTTAAAATTAAGTTTTGCATTGGCCTCATCTAAACAAGTAATGGGCTCGCAAAACCAAAGAAGCTTGCTGTTGTGACACGTCTCGTCCCCGCAAATAGAGTTACAGTCAATCCGCCTTACAGTATAATCCTCTGAAGCGCTGCTTCGAGACGCCTCGGCAACACGATAAGGCGCGACATCAAATGCAAAGATTATTATTATTATTATAAAGATTACCATTGCTATTAATTGCAAAGAAAGCACGTAGAAAGAAAGAAGCAGCCTGAACTACGAACCACCTTCCCCAAGTAAAAGTACAAGCGTCAAAAAGGAGATCGCAATAGCCTAGTTGAGCTACAAGCAGAGAATTTAGGGTCGAGCTGAGTTGCCTGGTGTGTGTGTGTGTGTGTGTGTGTGTGGGGGGGGGTCGCAAATACTTAAGTAAGAGAATCGTAGATAATTTCTGCAGAGAACCGGCTACTCTTGACCGCTCCGACCTTCACGCTGTGATGGCGAGAAAGTCTGGGATTGGATCGATAATTAAAACCTTTCACTTGTGTGTGTGTGTGTGTGTGTGTGTAGCAACAACAACAACAACAACGACAACACAGGGGAAAAAAAACAACAGTCGGAAAGCGAATGTACATTTTGACACTAAAACGCTGAACAAAAGAGGTTCCCGAACACTTGAGAGGATTACGAGGCCAAACCCAGAGCCGAACTGTCCCTCTGTCCCTGACCCCGAGACAGACACAGGGAGGGAGGGAGGGAGGGAGGGGCTCCGCCAACCTCTCCGGCCCCTGGAGGCCAACCGACCGGTCACTTCCTCTCATGTCGATACTCACAAACCCGCAGAGGTTCAACAATCTTTAATCGAAATAACCCCCCGCCCCCCCCCCTCCCTCTCTCCTGGACAAACACACAGTCACTTCACTGGGGAGATTCTTCCTCTCGGTCACCCCCCCCCCCCCCAAACCGGCCGGACTCAGGTCGCAGCACGAGCTCCGTTGACCAGGGGCGGGGAGGCGAGGCCCGCGGCCTATTAACAACCCCTCCCCCCGCCGCCGCCGTCACACACACACACACACATAGCAGCCACTAGGCCTCGCGAAGCCGCGGTGTAGAGTCTGAGCGCGGCCCGGGCGCCATCGACAGGCCTGAGGCCCAGGACAACCGTCAATGTCACCCGCCGCGGGGGGAGGGGGAGGCCGCGGGGGAGAAGCCGGGAGGGGGGTGAGGGGGGGAAAGCCGGGGGTGGGGTGTGGGGGGAGACCCCACTCCCGGTGTCACTCACCAGCTTTTTGTCAGTTGCGCCGTTTTGGGGCCGAGAACCTTAGACAACATAATGCTCGCGCTCTGCCGCCTCCCGCCAAAATGGCAGCCCCAGCGCCCCGCCCCTCGCCCCGCCCCCGGCCGCTCGCCCCGCCCCTCGCCCCGCCCCCGGCCGCTCGCCCCGCCCCTCGCGGGGAGGTACGCACTGACTGGTGGCCCGCGGGCCGCACCCCCAACACCCGCTGTTTACACCAGTTCTCAATAGAGAAAATAAACAAACAAACAGCCACTGATTGCCTGGTCTGTCACCCCCCACCCCACCCCGACCCCAATCCCCCCCACCCGAGCTGGGCTCGGGGCTCAGCTAAGTCGGTTACACAGCGAGACCCCGCCCCGGGCAAAGTAAATGCAAGTTGCTGTTGTTGTTGTTGTAAATGCGACGATAAATCCTCCGATATTGGCACACGACGAGATTTGGCGTTTAAACACTCCGTTCGCAAGAATAGTTCACAGCAGATTAACAGACGGACAGTGAAGATGCTCATCCCCTCCACGCTGTTCGAGCTCGTTTCACAGGATATACTATAGTGACTGCATTTGTAGCCAATCGTATATATACGTGTGTGTGTGTATATTAATATATATTACACATCCACACCACGGCATATTCCACCCCCTCCTTTGGCACACAGATCAGACGTGGTGAAAATGCTCTGGTTCCGAAGTTTCTGCAAATGGCCCATATCCCAACCACGGTTCAAGAACATTACCTCAAACTGTAGGAAGTTATCAAAAAATGTAAAGTACTGAACAGCAACAAAGCACAAATAGTTAAATGTATGCGTATTAAATCTTTTTTTTAAATTGAAACGCATGAAAAACTCATAATTCTGGAAATAAAGATGCCAATATATATTCCGGGAGGATATTTAATTTAACCTGGAGATTGGATCTCGGATTTGCATTACGCTCAATGACAATCAATGGCTACTTCTGAACAAGAACCACGTTGTGTAGTGGAGGCACTGGTCTGGCAGGAAGTATAAATTGCCAGCTAACGTTAAACGCGTAGTCTGGCTGACACCACCAGTGGGGTGAAATCCCACCTGGGTCTACAGTCACACTTATTAACATAGTGTTCTTTGAGCCCAGGTTTGGCATAGTTGGAATTTCTCCCCATGTAATTGGGCACCGAGCTTACTCAGAACTTTATCTACCCCCCCCGCCCACAAAAAGAACAAGTGGTAATTGAACTCAATGCATGCGCTACAATTAATAATCCTTGCATTTAATATAGTGCTTCACAGAATAGACTGTAAAGTAAATTGATATTAAAGTATATTTCTGGGCAAAACTCATCAGCTAATTGTGCACAGCAGCATCCCACAAACAGTAATGGTTTGAGTGACCAAATCATTATTTTTTTTCTTTTAAAAAGGGGATTAGCATCCGCTGAAAAGCAATCCGCCAATCAACTAACAACCAGGTTCCTACTTACTGCTGGTAAACAGAGGCGTGTGGATTAAGGAAATTTGCCCAGCATTTCACCTTGCCCGGCCAGAGAACCCAGGTCCTCTCGCTTGTGAGGCGAGCGCTCTAACCACTGAGCTGCAGGACTCCACGTTCCTCCCAATACACAAAGTTTCTGATCCACAGTGCGAAAAAGTTAAAGGAAACTTTTTTTTTTAAATTGAAGGTAAACCCTTTATTACAATGACAATGGGTATACAAGATTAAACGGACATTAAAAAGGAGGGGCATTCCCGTTATAAAAATGGCACATTTATTGCTACATTACTGTTATATACATGACAGTCCTCATTAGCTACTAAGACAAAAGGAAAAGATTGAAACTACAATTCTGAATACTCCAGCCAGCTGTTTTTGATGCTTGTACAAACAAATACAAAAAAAAACATGGAACTTGAGGCACTCAGCAACACAATCAGAAATCTAATTGTGCGACATTTAAGTACTGTATGGGCACTAGAAGAAGCCTTTACCTTAAATGTAGTAAAATAAACTTCTGGAATCAGACATTGAGTAAAAATCTACAAAAAGTAACATTCAGAATCCAAGACATTTTTTTTCATCAAGATTTATGGTATAAAAGGATTGCTGTTGTGAAAAATAAGCCAACTTTTTTTCCTTAAATTTCACTTTGTTGTAGGGTATACTTACTGCAAGTCTTTTTCTTAGCAAAAAAAAGCACTAGACAAAAAAGAGGCTTTTAATGAAATGTTAGGCACTGGTCATTTTTCATTCTGTTCACATTGCATCACAAGTACAAGAATGAAAAGGCCACATGTAATTCTTTTTTAAACTATTACATACATACTCAAAATGAGCCGAGAGATGTCACTGCACAATATTTAATGCAGTTCCAGAAATGTCAGGCATTTTTTTAACCCTAAAAAATGTCAAAAAAAAACTTTTTTGTTCTTTCAGTCCCAGTTTTTTTTGCCCATTTTTTCCCCACTTGTTCATGTCCTTTTTTTTTTCTCTTTTTTAAAAAATAAAAAAGTTTATGTCAAAAGCACTGCGTCTTCTGCTTGGCTGGTGAAAGTCCGTGAATGCGTTCTTAGTGGAAGACTGATTCCGGTGGGGGGTTTTGGGGGTGAGGGTGTGTTGGGTGGGGGGTGTACTTTGCATTGGGGTTGTTTCCACGACGCAGGCAGTTGGGCTGCTGCAGTGTATTCAGCTTGGCGTAATGCAAGCCACTGTCAGACAAGTTGCTCACATCCTCATTAGATTCCATAACCAATTCATATGGACTTTAAATGCTCAAACAGTACATTTTGCAGGAATCCTACAAAACATGGGTTTTGTTTATTTTTATTCCCACGTGGAATAAGTCCATGACAAACTAAAGGTCATACAATACCTAGAATCCACAACAATCTTGTGTTGCAATATGAAAAGTCTTCAAAGGACTTTAAAGATCTAAGTACACACTATGCCCAGCTACCTTAAAAAACTACAATGTAAAGTCTAATAATGCAAAAATATAGTTTTGCTCATTTTACATAAAATAACTCCCTACAAACGAATGAACTATCTTGGTGATGCACTCATGTGTTGGCCTTTCATAACCTGATCATAAAGGCAGGGCAGGTGGTTCATAGAATATTGTGTCCATTGGCCAACAATCCCTCTCCCAGTCAATCACTGGGGAGGTTACGGAGTGGTCATGCGTCAACTGAGTAAGACAAATATTGTTTTGCTGGAAATGCTGCAAAACCGAGGGTACCGGAAAGTTGTTTTTTTTGTTATATAAAAAAAAACAATAAGACCAGTTGCTTACAAACATAAGCAAGAAAAAGGACTTGAAATTTTGTTCCAAAACAACCTCATCACCTTGTAGGTTTGAATAAAACATACCGGGATTTAAAACAACCTTAGGCACTAGCTCCTTTTTCCGTTGTGTGGGGAAGTTTTTCTTCTTTGGGCAGTAGAAAAAAAAAACTTTGTTTTTTTTGCAGCATACAGATCCAGTACTTCAACGATATGTAGACTTTTCCCCCATTTTTAGACAGATACAGCAAATGCTCATTCCCACATTTGCGTTTCTGATCCAGAATGGATTCGTCAGTTTATCATTAGTTGTTTCTGGCAGAACAAGGTTTTCCTCTTCACAGAGGAGATGACAATGTGTCTTCCTTGCTCACCACCTTTAGTTCAACCAGACAAGACGGAGCTGGAAATAAAAAGTGTGGCTTGTTAAGAGAGCATTTTCACTATTGGACTCACTTGTGTGAGCACGTGCACGCTCATAGGCATTAATGTTACCAATCCTCAGCTAGAGGAGAAATGTTTTCTCCCCCAACTCATGCAGTGATAAGAAAATTAACCATCAACTTTCTCTTAAAAGTACTTTTCAATTCGTTCAAATATCCCTGAGTTGAGAAAGTTAAATAATAATCTTGTGCGAGGTGGCGAGCGGGGGCAAGGTGGGAGCGGCGGGGGCGAGGTGGCGAGCGAGGACGAGAGTGAGTGAATGTGCGAGCGCACTGGTGCAAGAGTGTGTGCAAGCGAACAAATCGCAATGACCCCGGAGCTCTTCTCACCCAGAGTCCCACCACAGACACCGACCTGAGGCAACAAACATTACGTTCTCTGCAGCAGCAGCAAATATGGGCCGATGAGGTGCGCGAACACACAAGGTGAAAATCAAAATGAATGCGAACGAATCAGTCTGCACTGACGTTACACGGGGGGAAGTTTCTATTGGAAGTCAGCCTCCTGCACTATTCAGCATAGCAGTGGATGAAACGTTACCTTCTACATGTGGCTCACGGCATTGTGATTATCCCCGAGAGCGGGGTGTGTAGGGGGAAGGGGCAGTGGCTGTTCTGCCACGACTGCAGACACCTTCTCTTCTTCCCTTCGTTTAAGGCAGGCAGCTTTAGGATTCAAGTTACGCTCTAGAGTTGAAAGGTAAAAAGTTAATCCTGCAGATTATCTAAGAATAATCAGCAACATCTAGATCATAACAGTAATAACATTCACTTTGTTCAGCCCATTCACAACATTTCAAACTCAAAAAATGGTTGGATGAGTGTAACATGTGCTAGCTATGAAAACTGCATCACTCCTACCAGTCAATCTTTCATTATATATAAAAACACACCAGCCATTGTAATTTGGAATAAAAGGCATAATTTCAATCGGTTTTTAAATCAGCAACAGAAGGGTAAATGTTTTACAGCACTATCCCCTGAACCTGTATGTTACTATAATGACTAAACATTCATTATTGTCAATATCTGCTCCGTATCCTGCCATCTCATCCTCTACTGACTGCTCCAGGTTTGTCTACAAGGAGCTGAACTGATTCCGCCCGCCTCCCCTGGATCGTTGGCAAAACCCAAACTAGTTCATGAAGGTTCTAAGGGGAAGGAATAAGGAATCTGCCAACTTTACCCGATTGGCCTACACATGACTCTCGGTCCACACCACCTGGTTTTGTGGTTATAGCTGGTTAAATTCCAGCAGCTATCCTCCTCCCAACGCACACTCTGGGGTCCCCATAAGCCATGTCTCTTGCCACCCTGCACCAAATATTCTCTGGAACCAGGCAAGTTTGGTTCGTTCTTCAAGGGAGAGGGTGCATGTTCCAGACACGCGGAAATTTCCATGTGTAAGTGGCGTATGTACATACGTGGTGAAACTCAGTCTGGTTTGGGTACTTTTAAGACCAGTGATGGGTTTCTGCATGTATCAGATACCCAGTTGCCTTTTTTTTTAAAAAAAGTGGGTCTCCCTGAAAGACCCAGCAACAAGCCATTCAGTTGCAAAAAACACTTGCTGCAATACAGAAGAGGGGAAAGAGAACCCAAATCATGCAATCTTAATTTGAAACTTGTTCAGGTAAAGAGGGAATGTTTTGGGGATTGGTGTACATGATGCATCAAAAAGACACAACCAAACATTCGTGCCCTCCCTTCGCCTTAAGAGTGTGCGCACCAACTCCGATTGCTTTGATAAATTTCCAAACTTATCGGTTGGTCAGTGCATCAGGAGGTGTGGCAATGAAATTTTTTTATCCAGCAGCTACATGTTCTGTAGCGAAATAGTCGATTAAAGTTAAGCATAATAATAAAAACCCTCAGAATAAACAAAGAAAGAGAGAAGGTTAGGTTAGCAGTTCCAATCGTCTAGAAGCTTGGAATGGCAGGAACAGTCAGCGTTTGCTCTCAGCACAAAGTTCTTTACTGTACCTCGCACTTGCTGTTCAAGGGTCACAATGACTTGGATGGCCTGCTGAAGGATGATCAGTTTGGTTTGAGATTTATCAGCTTTTAAGCGCATCTGACACACGTGGCCCAATTCTTTGAAAGCCTCATTAATGTCTCGGACCCGAACTCGCTCCCTGGCATTATTTGCCATTCGCCTCTCACGATCCTTCACCTCTTTTTCTTCAACTGTATTGCCATCATCAGTACTGCAGGGTTCACAGTGCCAACACGTGTTAGTTAGGACTTGCATTTTGTTTAATAAAAAAAGAGCGACTGTAAATCCTTCTGTAGATTTGATAGCATTAAAAACACAGGCCTATGTAATGTGCCTTAACGTAGTCTGGCCATATGGTGCTTAAACCACATCAGTGCACGTCAGACTTAGCACAGGAACGGAATCAGATCAGTATTTTCAAAATTGATGACTTTCCACGCCACCCTCCAAACCACCGCTCTGTCCGAGCGAAACACGATGATATATTGAATTGAATTTTCCCAACAAATTGTAAGTAAGAGCTGAGGAAATCAACAAAAGGATATACTGTCCTCTGATCTTTGAACCAAGAGACCTGTCACCCAGAGCAAACTGCTGAAAGAGCTGAAGACTATGGGAATTTGCAGGAGTTGTTGTGTAAGTACTGACAGGGACCCACCTCAGCCGCTGACTGCTAAATGCAGACACGCACTGGAACTACCGGTACTAAACTATCACGTCACTAACAACTGCTCAAACCCTTCCTGTGACAAGCTGGGCTTCTGTATATATTGAATTAATGCACTTTCTGCAAATTTGATCACCGTAACCAACATGACAGTATCTGATATGTTCCAATATCTCCTAAGTGCATTAAAACAAAAAAAGGGTCCTTCAATTAGCACACACCCAGGTCGTTCATTTCCAGAATTTTTTTTCGGGAGGTGGGGGTGACCAGGAAGTGTGGTCAAGACTGGGATCCATTTTAAAAAGAACACAGAGCTCCATGCTATGTTGGGAGCACAGTAAGGCAGGTATTCTGGAAGGATGAAATCATGTAGGCCGAAGGGCTTTCATCCGAACAAATCTTGTGACCTGGTGTTAAAATAGCGTCATGGACATCATTCGTAACACCACCGCCAAACACCAGCGCTATCCATTAGGTGTGAACCCACTCTGTTTTCCTTTCATTTGCAACTGTGGCCACTTTGGCTTATTCTCTTCACTACTCCTCTAGTTCTATCCTTCACGTTCACTCGTTAAGATTCCTTTTTAAAATATATTAAATCTCCCCCCCTGTGGCATCTTCTATTGACTACCTGAGCTACATTACTGACACTGCTCACAGCTCTGATGGCTTTTCAACCACTTAACACTGGTGTGCAAAGCAAGACCCAACTGAGATATAAGCTGCTCAATGCCTGAGTTAGATGGAAGAAACGTGCGAGGCTAGGCTTGGCCAGACAGCAATTGGATTTGGCCAAAGGTTTTGAGTCTCTGAACTCTAAATCCAAGTTGGATATAACCTTGGAACTAGCATAGTTAGCAGATAACTAAATATGAGAGACATCGGATCTGAGAATTGATTATATTTTACACCAATTTTGTTGGTTTAAACACTGCCGAACAGCAAGTACGAGGTCAGAATGGAGCCAGTGAGTGACCGTGGCTTGGGGCCATCCAAGCTAAGAACGAGAAAGGAGAAAACAACTGTTACGGAAGTCAGACAAAAAGAAACACAACTAAGAGCAAAAGCTGGCTGTTTGCAAACGCTTCCCAAACGCTCAGAGTCTGCACAGGAGTGTTAGAAGGCAGGCGTGTGCAAGACTCGTTTTCACAGCATGCGGTTTTGGATGGGGGAGGAGGAGGGGGTGGGCAGAGAGAGAAGAGCAGAGAAGCATTGCAAATAGAAGAGAAGGTGGAAAGAAAAATGTCTTCTACCCCGACATTCCAAGGCATCTCTAACCAAGTCCAACAGCAACTATAAAAGTCACAGTCAAGGTATCATTTTTTGGGGGAAAAAAGGCCAACTCCCGATTAATCCTTGGGATTAATCTTCAAAAGTATCGAGAGTTAAGAGTCCAAGAATGTGAGCCTAGGAAGTGTTCGTTTGGACACTTACCCTGAAGTTACATGGTCATTTTCCAAGGTTTTAAAAATTGTTCTAGAGAAGTGGTGGAAGTTTCAGTGCTGGATTTGAGCTGGGAGAACGGACTTTGTTTGTTTGATGTTCACATTAGTGCTGATAGTTACTGAGGCCTGAGCACAGCCATGTTAGGAATGCAGTATAATTCTCCAGAAGGCAATTACTCTTGTTGGGAATGCAGTCAGTGAGAGTTAACCCACTATGTTCTCAACTCAATCGCTACTCATTATTGTGGTGACGTGGGTTAAAATAGCTCCCGTGCTCTCAGATGCATAATAAAGGCCCTGGGATCAGCAGCTGCACTAAAGTAACATCTTTCACAAACTAGTTTTAATATTTACAAATCACCCCTCAATCTCCCCACCCCTCAAGGAGTTTTAATAGATAAATAGAAAAATAAATCAAACAAGAGCCCATAATTGTCGCACCACTTTCACCATTTGGGTCATTAGTAAAAGCACAAAGGTGTGAAAACAAAAATCACAAATCACATCTAATTTGCAATGAAATAAAAAAAACGCCAGGAAAAATGACATGCACTGCATACAAAGGCTAGAGCCAGACACAACAGGATTCCGTGTGTGGAGGACGGATAGGGAGGTCTAGCCTTCTTTAGGCATGTTTTATGCCAGATTATAGATAGCTCCACGCCAGCTGATATCACTCTATGACTAACTGACCTCTGACTTGTTGCTCCAAGTTGAGAATGACTGACACAGCTTGGTGTAGGATAAGCAGTTTTGTCTGTGGCTTGTCATTGTTAAGGTGGAGTTGACACATGCGTCCAAGTTCCTTGAAGGCCTCATTGATGTCACGCACGCGTAGGCGTTCACGAGCATTGTTAGCTACTCTCCTCTCCCGCTCTCTTTCTGCTTTTTGCTCTGGGGGCAGGTGTTCATCATCATCTTGACTAATAACCAAAATACAATAAGAACATCCCTCAAGTACAGAGTAACCAGGTGCAAGTCATCGTTGTAATCATGCACTGAAATGGCAAATGCATCAGCCACGTAGTCGCGTCACCGATATTCACGTGGTTAAGTGTTTGAGAAGCTGCTCGTTAAACAAGGCCGCAATATTTCTGCTCAAGTTAATAGGAACAGGAGTAGGCCATTCAGCCCCTCGAGCCTGTTCTATTTTGTTGTTGTTGTTTGAGTCTGTTTAACGGGCTTTCATTTCACTTTTCATCCTGAGGCAGATGTTTTCTATCTTTGAGACGAAGTAGTCCAGGAACTTTTCACACTTAGCACGAGATGTGACGCCAAGTGGAAGAATTACCCCCAAACACTCAACTCATGTCATGTTATAACCAGAAACACTACTACTACTAAAGAACTCCTCCCCCCACCCCCATATCAGTTGCTGCACAGATAAGTCAAGAGACCAATCCCACAGGCACACCCCCAACCCCCCCAAGAGAATAGATCTTAAATGACACTAATCACAGATGGCAATGTCTTACTGACGTTATCCAAACATTCCACAGAGATGAGACTCCCAGTGACCATCATCAGGGCTACATTTTATGTTCACTTTCCTGCACAGTGGAACCTTCTTGTTCTGAACAAACCAAACCATGAGTTTGTACAATTTCCCCCCCACCCCTACCCCCGGCTGTGACAGACCCAACCCGGAGCAGACATTACCTTGTTCTCGATGCCCGTGAAGACATTTTAGAGTCTTTCCTCTCGTCATCTGACCTATCTTCTGAACCTGAGGAATTCCGATTCTCGTCATCCTCCTTGTCCTCCCGCTTAATGTCAGACTGACTGACACTCGATCTCTGCAATCCGCTGCCCATGCCTAAACCACAACCCAAAAACATTCATGAGCAATAAACACATTTAGCTAGGCGTATTGTACAGTCATTTCCAAAGGGTGTTTTAACCCAAAAAGTATACCTGACCGACAGGCAATGAAAGTGTCGAAGAAGAAGTCAAACTCGATGGTCTCCCTAGAATTCTGAGTCCGGGCCAAATCCTCACACTGACTCCAAGCCCCACCTCTCTGAGCAGACCTTATAAACACGCAGGAGATTCAGAAATGCACTCGCGTCTTGGCAGCTGTACCTCCCTGAGAGAGGGGGCCAGGCAGGCGCATCACTGAAGACACAATGAAACCCTTCAGGCAGACAGACTTGCCACAGGACCCTAAGCTGGGCCGACTGGATGGGACAACGATCCTGCTCCCGTCACAAACTCCTGGGGATTCCAATGTTCAGCCGAACAATAAAATCAGCTTGAAAAAGACTTACGAAAGCTGCTCTAAGCGCATACTACACGTTCCAAGTACATGATCCGACAAAGCAAGGGATGAATTGTAGAGCTAAAGTCGAGGACATGAAAGGCTGAAATGTGCTGTGCCCTCTGTACTAACCACTGTAAGTGTCCTGTGGTCGACTCAGGTCTGACAGTGCGGTGGACTGTGACGGCAGCACGCGGTTAGACAGAATGCCGGGGCTGTTGCTTATTCCTGAGCCTTCTTCATGGTGAGGTCCAACCTGCAGCAACAAAATAAACTTTGGGACAATTGCTCATACACATTGTTCCCCGCGGTACCAGAAAAATGACACACACTCAGACGCGCTCTCTCTCACACTGGTGAGCTCTCTCACACCGGTGCGCGCTCTCTCACACCGGCGCGCGCTCTCTCACACCGGCGCTCTCTCTCAACAGTACCATCACAATGATACAACTGAGAGTTAGCAATAGCACCAATAACTCAACCCTTTACTACATCAGAGGTCAACTCAATCGCCGCTGGGCTGTTGGCTGGACAACCTTGTGCCACTACACTCCGCCCACACGTATTCTACCAGGCACGAGCGAGAACACACACACACACACACACACACACACACGCAGACACACACACACACACACCATTCCATAGTAACCAAGTTTACTGAATTCCGCTTTTCCCGTTTTTTAAAATTAGTTTCGGTTTGTCCGTCTGTCCTGTACTATATTTTTAAGGCGCCAGAGAGAGATTTACTCCACGTGGAAAAAGGTGCTTATAATTAAGAATGCGAAACAACAACAGCTATGTTGTACATTGCGAGCCATTGTGTGCAGCCGGCTGCGCCTCTCACCATTCCGTGCCTGTTAGTTGACAGCAGCACTGGTGGGGTGAATCCTGCACCGATGCCTGTGACCGGCCCGTTGTGGGTGGGCCCTATTAACACCTGCATGTCTCCGTGGGCCCCGGGTAGGGCGGGCACAGAGCCCACAGCGTGGCTACGCAGCACATGGATAGCGTCGTCCAACCGGTCTAGACGATCTTCCATCTTGTTTTGCTGGAATAAAACATCGGAGCGAATAATTTATCCTTAATTTCTAAATTGTTAATTGTTTTAATAAATAAGTTTCAGGTATTCTAAAACGCAGTCGACCCACTTTACACTGTATTCTGTGTATCCCTGGTCGGCTCGGCTCCTGGTCATTTTGAGCAAATTTTCAATTCTGACACCCTCCCCCATACAAAAAAAAATCACGCAACAGGTCACTTGCACTCTTTCCGCGATCGCTGCTTCGGTGAATTCTGAAACGAGTTAAGATTCGGTTCGCAAACAAAGCTCAGAAATAACCCCGGTGAGCCTTACCAGAGTGTGCAGCGTCCCTTCGTAATTCGGTGACATTGTGCCTTGGCCTCCGGACCGCGGCCACTGACCTGTAGCTGGGAAACGAGAGTAAGTCAGGCGTGCGAGAGCAATCAGGAGAGAACATCAGACAAGCGTAGGGAGAGGGGGGTGAACTGCAGGGAGGGAAAAAATGCCGGAAATCAGATGAGACGGCATCTTGCAGGAGCAAAGCCCGGGTTAGCCTGCTGTGTCCATGTCTCTGGCTCTTTTCTCTTCAGCCGTGCCTTCAGCTCCCCTCTCGACTCTCTACCCCCTCCTCGCTCCCTCCCTCCCTTCCCTCCCCTCACCCTGACCATTTCCCCCTTGCTTGGGTCCCGAGCCAACTGTCCAGCGCCTTGGGACGTCTTCCCGACGTGAAAGGCGCTCTATAAATGGAATCTTGTTGTCGTTGTTGTTGTTGTATCTGCACTGTGTCCGGGGTGGATGGTGTAGAGTGCCACACTCCACGGCAATGCACAGTCTGAGCAATAGATGGCGCAACAGTGCTACGGCTGCTGAACAGTCACAGAGCCACAATATTTACTTTCAGCCACAGATAAAACATTTAAACGGTTACCAAACCTCAGCATGACTTCAAATGGATGTCTGAATCTCGCAGAGGTGTGTGTGTGTGCGTGTGTAGAGGTGCTTATGTAGTTTGCGTGTAGTGTGTGGGTACGCGTAGTGTGTGTGTTTGCTATCCTTTTTCACACAAACAAATACCTGCAATTGCTTGTGGGGACCCAACCGGTGTAGATGGACTTGAATGAAAGTTACTGCTGGTATGATCTGGTGAATAAATCTGAAGGGAAAAAAACCCAAGAACCATTGTTATTATTAGACTGAAAACATTTTCTGATGCTGGCATGCCAATGTGACACGGAAAGCAATATTGAGCCAAATAGACTCTCTGGTGAAACACCCTATGTAACCACACGTTTAAAATAAAATTGTACAATAGTGCCACTCTCATGTTAATTAGAGTGTGTTAATTAAATCTTTAGTTTGTAAAAAGATGACATTCTGTGCACTTACCGAGGCTAGAGCTTTTCCCAGAGCATCACAGGTTTGGGGGCTGCCAGCTGAGCTCGCTCTGTTAGCTGCAAACAGTAGAAAGTAGATTAACAGGAAACCCACCAAGTAAACACACCACATCCTCACATAACAGCTACTGATAAACCACACCATTCGGTTGCCGGCAGTGGCTGCTATAACCCCCCTTACCTCATCTTCCCCCACACCTTGTCTCCCTCACTAACTCCCAAAATTGTACTGAAGTAGAAACGTTTAAAGAATAAAATAGAACAACGATAAATTGTCTTCGCAAATCTGCACTTCCAACCTTTGGATTTCACCCCCCACTACCCCTAATCCTGCAAGACCACACACACACACACAGAAACGTACCCATAATAGTTTCAGCCCCACTGATTGGCGGAGTGTGAGACGGAACCCCATATGTAGCTGAGCTCGGGTTGTTGGAACAGTGGAACCCGGACATGGAGGGCAGACTCCCATTCACCTCTGTGGGGGGGACAGGGTGCAGCGGGTAGTTCTATGAGAGGAAAAAACACACAGAAATGCCAGATACATGTTCACCAATTTACAACAGTTTACATTTAGTCACCTGTGAGACACGTATGAATGTTTCACACACAGCCGACTGGACCCCTGGGCTGTGTGTGGGGGTGGGTGGGGCGATAAGTGTGCGTGTGTATATGGTGGTTACTGGTCTGTGAGTTTCCCTTAGCTGAATGATGGGTGAGGGGTGATGAGATGTGGGGAGATGGTGGTGGTTGGGGGGCTCGGGGGGAGATCTGGGGGATTGAGGGGCTGGGGGGAGGATGATGGCGGTTGGTGGGATGGATGGATGGGTGAGGGGGGGGGTCGGAGTCGGAGGGGAAAGTCGTCCTCGTCGCAGGTTTATCTCTTTTTACAAAGAAAATTCTCCACCTTCCCCCCCCAAAAATGGTTGGAAACAAGGAGGTGCTTAGCATTAGCTTGGCCCACGGTGGAGGGAAAACCCCAGAGATTTGCCAGTAGTTTCTTTTTTGCTAAATTACAGCACACATTTTGGGCTAGGGTGATGTGCTGCTCGCTCTTGCTTTTACTTCAGATTCCAGATTCTGCACATCCAGTCCTGACGGGCAAACAAAATCTCATCGTTGCTTACAATAAATAGCAATACTTGTGTACGATACAACATTGGGGGGAACGCCTCGTAGCGCTTCACAGGATTCAGTGAAAGGGTGGCGAGTGTGTGTTGTTTGTTGGTTAGCGTAAACTTTTACACGACATCACTGGCTGAGAGCACACTACCCTATCCCCACATCCTTCATATACTTCTAGACTGTTCCCCAGGTATAAGGCGACATTTTCTGGAGTTTGAATAAAATGTAAAGCCATGTTGCAAGAAACTATTTTTTTAAAAAACCCACCCAAGGTCTGAAATCGTCAACTTCCTCAAAGGTCATCGTTGAAGATTAATGTGTTTTTTGAGTTTACTCATTTCACTCACCTATTCCGAGAAACTATAAATAGTTTAACACTGTGTATAGATCAGCAGCACTGGCCTGTGAACCAAGTATAACCCACGTTATTTGCATGAGGCACAAACATGACGAACAATTGTCACACAAATTACGCAAGTGTGACTGTATACGTCGGTGAATCTAACGGGTGAAATTTCTACCCGATAAACTTTTGCTCCATCAAGAACAACAACGTGTGTTATACAAAGGCCCCTTCACCCAGGATAGAGTTAAACCCTTGTAAATGTCAGGGATACAAGACTTTTTTTTTGCATTTGTAGCTGTTAACAAGACAGAGTGTAATTACCAGTCGTTCATGTGGGTGGAGATTACTGTACGGCCCGGGTTGGGACAAGTGAGATGAGGAATTTCCAATCAGCGCTGCGTACCCCGCCTGGCCCATCCCACCAGACGAGTTCCAAACATCGGGTCCGTTGTGAATACTGTCTGGAATGTAATGAAGAGATTTAACTTGGAGAGAACGAGAGAAACCCAGTTACTGACAATTACCTACATTCATGGCCAGATCCAAGCACAATATTACCGAAAGCCAGTGAGTCGCCTTGATGTACTCTTCACACAGAGTTGCACACGTTTCCGGGGGGGGAGTGGGGAGTTGGTCAGAAATCACAATTTAATATTCCCTCGTAACAGTTTGCTGGTGAAGCCATTCCCACCAGAGGTTCATTTATTTATTAGATGGTTTCATTTATTATTTATCTTATTTATCAGATGACCTTGCACCGAGTTGGGATGTCTGCTATTTACCTTGGATGTAGAAGGATCCGGGAAAGACAGAGGCTGATGGCTTGGAGGAAGTGTAACTGGCCGATTCTCTGCTGTACTCCTCGCTGGATGTGGAGGCGTAGACCTGCAGAACACGAGAGATGGAGAGCGTTACTCATGAAACAGTCCCTGACCTATACTGCACACGACACAGGCCAGTGGCTAAAGCTCGTTTAACATCTCCTTCAGTTCAGTACGTTTCCCCCCAGTCTAGATTGAGCTCAAAATTCCTAATTTGGGACCGGGTGGGGGGGGGGAGGTGAAAGCTTGGACCCGCAACCTTCTGACTTGGGATGTAGTGAAACACTTGCTTGGCAATGATTCCTACATTATACAGTGTGTAGAACATGGTGCGTAACATGCCATGAGTATAATAGGGAAGAAACAGGCAGGGAGTTGGGGGCTGCAGGTGCCACCAGCTCAGGAACCACAATCTTACCGATGACGGGAGGCCAGGAGGCACCTTTCGTACCTTTTTAGGCTGAGGTTCTACAAGAAAAAAAACAGGAAAGTTAAAATTAAAATAAACATGTAACACCCACCCCCCCAACCCCCCCACCATCTTTTCTGAAATGATGGAAAAGCAAATTGTGCCACTTTACCACCGTGCGTTCTGTAACGTTAACTGAAAGCCAGCGCTGTGCGGGCGGTTACCGAGATTGCTGGGCTCCTGTGCCGTACGGCGGCGAGGGTTTCCGGGGAAGGCATAGCCCTGAGAGCCCGTCTTCACCACCGTGGGAGACATGGCACCCGAGGGGGCAATTCCCATCTCAGAGTTCAGAAAACCGGCCTGGGACATAGAAACAAGTTTATAATAAAATACACAAACATTGACAAACTCAACCGGAGGAGGTATTTTTTTTAAAAAAACAATAAAAACTGCAGGTCGCTCACCTGATTCAAAGGCGGCATGGCAGCTTCTCTTCCAAACGCAGTGAAAGGAACTCTTTCAGAATTTTTTACTGCAGGAGAGAGAGCGAGAGAGAGAGAGATTAAGCATCGATGGTAAATGAAAAATAAAGGTCACTTCGCCAGTCAAACGTATCACAGGAATCCCTATTCTAGACGCAAAAAACAAAAAAACACGATGAGTTAATTTGTTGTAAAATTAGAAATTTAAAGCGGATTCATCCATCAAGTCGACATTCTCTCTCTCTCTGTGACTGAACTGTTCATCCAATCCCATTGCCCTACTCCCGTCTCCCTCAAGCCTCTCTCATAGACCCATCTGACTTGATGGGGCATTCCATGTCCTAACAACTCTAAGTGAAAAATAAGTTTCCTAAACTCTCCTTTCACTCTCCTGGTGACTATCTGATAACTACGCTCCCCGGTCACTGACTCCCCGATCAGTGAAAATTGTTTCTCTCCATTTATTTACCGTCAAGAACCCCCTCAATTTTGTCCAACTCGAGCAACAAAGGTGGCTCCAGAATCTTATACATCAGCCAATTGCTGAACAGTTGACTTTCAGCACATTTTTGCTGGCCTGAGAAATCCAAGAACTTAAATAAAATAAAGGTTGTGTTAGGGAGGACAGGGAGTGGAAAAACGGGCACTTTAGAGTTTATCCGTCTTATTATGGATATAAGAGGCCAGACCCACTCAGTCTCAGACACTATATATAAACTCAAACCCCAACGCAGGTCACACAATCTAAAATTAAATCGTACAAACCAGTCAAATATGCAAAATGCTGATCACAAGCATCCAATCTCTCCTCCATTTTGTTTTAAAAAAGGTAAAGAGAGAAATTTAAAACGGTTTAAAAAAATCGATATCATCTACAAACAAAATTTAAGCGTGGAAAAAAAAACGTTCTCTTTAAAAAGAACGCAAATTATATGTAAAATATATATTAAAAGAATCTCCACCTCTCCCGCCCCCCTGCCCCCGCGGCATAACAAATTAATCACTCGGGGCGCTGGGAGCAGGTGCAAAACAGGCACACAGCATCGCACTGTTTCTCTCAATCCACAGGGATTTTGCACATGGTTGCCCAGAAATTACTCCCTGCAATTCCTACAGGAGATTCTTGTGTGCGCACCCGCACACACACGCACGCACAGAATCATTCACACACTTTACATTGTTGCCTGCATTTTATCTGCCTCTGAACATCCGAATGACATATTTAAAACACAATAGAGAATAAATAAAGCCTCGTCTCTCCCGTCTGGAAAAGTGATGCAGATTTCGGCCAGGGAATAGCGACCGACAGATAGATTTCCTTCCCTTAATTCACATTATTCCCCAGTAAGGGATCCATTGCTCCCGATCGACACTCAGTGGCTTCACAGAGCTGTTGCTTCCATCACCATAGGAAGAACTCAAACCATAATTATAGGCTGTCTTCAGATGCTGCATTTGCCAAAAGACGGTTTCTCTGTCTTCATTTCCCCGCCCCCACACCTCGCCTTCTGACACTTTTATAAATAGTGACTTATTAGACAGTTATACCTCAGCCTTATCTGACTTATTCTCAATTATTTATTTCTTTTATCAACGCATTGTTTTAATTGCTGCAAAGCCATTTGCTTCATCAACATTCGCAGTCGTTACACTTGACACATGTCGGGAGGACGTCTCAAAGCGCTTCACAGAATGCAAAGTGCATTGTGGGGACACAAGATTCTGTTGTAGGAATTGCAGGAAGTCCTATGACGTGTAGTGACTGTTTTTCTTTGAAAAAAAACTAAGCCTTCGGCTCAGGCGAGATGATCACCTTTGTAAGTGCTGAGATGACCTCTGTGTGAAGGGCAATGGAAATGTAAACTTTTTTTGAGGATTCTACCCATTCTACCTTCCTAATGGTGCATCCAGGAATGGAGGCTACTGCAGTCTCAAGAGTCTACATTAATTATAAACAGCAGTAAAGCACCAAATAACTCCCTCTAGTCCATCATACTGTAACACAGCAATAGTTTACAGCAATGGGCCGCCCATTCACATGCTGGACATTACCCAGTACAACAACGGCATGTGAATGGACAGTGAACCAGATTCCAGGAGCTCAGTTATCAAAAGGCCACATCTGCACTCAGCAGCGACAGGTTTCAGGACAGTTAGAAAAGCAAGAACGAGTCTAGAGGATGAGAGTCAACGAGATTAAAAAAATGGCGACAGTAGGAAACAGGCCAGAATGTTAGCAGCAGAAGATGAGAGACACCGACGGGGCAGATTGGAAACAACTGGCAGACGTGGGGGGAAAAAAAACACGACAATTTCGACTGGATTTGCAAGAGATGAAATACTGAGGATATCAAAACACATCAGGGTCATGACTACTACGGTACCAACTTAGTGTCACATACAAAGCATTTACACTCTGCTCTCCACGTCCTCCGTCTGGGGTGAGGGAGTCAATCCAAATGGGAAATTACAACCATTACATCTCTGAATCCAAATGCAACACCTTCAGCCAAAGAACAACCCTTCCCCTGGACATTACACTGCACATTACACGAACAGGCTCAATGGGCTGAATGGCCTGGGCAAAAACTCAGCACAAAAATCAAGGCTTAACCCCCACACCCCACCCAACAGATTAAATATTTAAATTCACATTATTACAGAGCACAAACAATTCAGGAAACTGACTTGAAACTAATTTAAATTGCTACTGTTTTAAGAGTTGTATTATAAAGCCCAAATCAATTCTCAATGGGGTGGGGGGGATTTAGGTGGGGAGCAAAAAAACAGAATTGTCCATACAAAATACAATTAGGATTCGCCCACCACAGTCTCCACCCATTCAAAGCCCTTCCACCACCCACCCACCCACAAACAACCGCAAGAAGTTAGTTACTGAAAAGCTTTGAGTTTACTCTGTTGAAGGGTGGGTGGGGGAGAGAGTGGTGGTTTAGGGGGTTCAAAGATCATCCACTGGTTACTGACCAACAAGCCCCGAGTTTATGAACGAAGATGAAGACATGCCTTCGTGTGAGGGCAGCTCTCTGCTGGGGCCGTGGTCACCGTAATGAGCAGCTTCTCCATACACCTGAGAAAGAAACATTACAATCCTCAAAATCTCAAACTAAACAGATTCTCGTTGCAAAAAAACACAACTGTTTGAAGACGGCCACAGATTAGGGCCACATTGGTGGGTTTCCAAAGGGACCCCCACCCTCCAGGAACGTACAATCTCCCACCTCAAAAAACAAACCACGAGCAGCAGAAACCCTGTGCAATTCCTGTCAGAGGGAGGACAAGACCTGTTCGGGGAGGGAGGGAGCCTTGAGTGTGAGGGAGCCTAGTTCAAAGAACGTAGACCACCTACTGTAGTAGGTGGTGTTTCTGAGTCACTTCCTCACATTCTCCACCAACTCTGACACCAACACAAAGCATGAGAGGTTCTGCCCCCACACATCAGGGAAGCTCACAGCCAACATTCCAGCTCTCAGGATTCACAACGACTTGGCCCCGGTACCGGAGAAACGGAGCGGTTAAGGAGCCCTCCACGTGTCCACGCTAGTGAGCAGCAGCCAGACAGATCTGATAGGAAACGGGAATGTTGGGAGCTTCCCAGGACACAGCTGTGGGCAGCATGCCGACACTCTGGATTAATCCAGACGGGGTTTTCCTAACAGAAATCTTCCAGCCGGCCTTCAGCTGACTCACTGGTTAAATATAGCAGCCCACATTGTCCACAGGAAACAAACAGCGGGACGTCTACAACAATTTAGACCCTGTTTTTAACCACCAACACAATGAGATCTCTTCCGCCTATTACAACTATTGGAGAGAGGAAAAACAGGAAAAGCATTTTTCTTTTGCTAAATTGAAATGTGAAATAACGAGGATAGAAACTTGGAGGGCGGGTGGAGGGCAGGGGGTGGGGGGGGGGGGGTAGAGAAAGGGGAGACAAGAGGCAATGTTCAATGGGGGACAATTAGAAGATCCCCCCCCCCAAAAAAGTCTATTACAGTTTATCCCGTGACGTCCTCCTGCCATGAAAGGAGGCCTATCAAATGTAAGGAATATTATTGGGGGTGGGCCTCAACATTTGCAACAAGGCAACAGCTGGATGAGACGATCAGAGAGCCAGCTTGCAAGGCGGACAAAGAGTTAGCTTGAATTACAGGCCTGGCACAGGGCACTGTGTGTGCTTTAATTCCTGACTTACACGGTTCCGTCTTCTCTCACCTCACCAACAATAGAGACACAGACGTAGAAAAGATCCACTACATTACTGTGGGCATTTGTAACCCCCATCCAACCAACCCCACAAGGGGCAGGTAATAACACACTCTTACCCTGGGCTGGTCATACGTTGATGGGTTGTTGTTCTGTGTATTTGGTGCCCAAGGACCGGAAGCTATCCGTTCATCCAAACCTGGAATTCAAGAGAGGAGATTAATGAAGAGTTTATCTTAGAAACCAAAGCGCACACAAATACAATCATAGCTAGTTTGAAAAATTCAAAAAGAAAGCCTACCCCTCCTCAGATTACTACACTCATCAATATCTCGACAAGAACAGGATTAAGGAAAACAGTCATGCAGACAATCAAAATATTGGAAAGACAAATCCTGGGAACTCTGAAATAGCCTGCAGTTTGAGCGTCGACATCACGAGCAATAAACTCTGGGTCAGAGATGGTGTGGTCGAGGAGCTCGGTAGCTGACAGGACGCCTGCTCCTGAGGGTCCCCTCATTGACAAAGAGGAAACAGAAAGTACACGAGAGAGAGAGGGAGGGGAGAGGGAGAGGAGGAGAAAGAGAGAGGATAAAAAGAAAAAAAATGGAAGGGTCTCGTTGAAGATGATTCTATTCTGAACCAATAACAAAGTCTTTCATTTAAGTAACGCCCTTCATGTACAACATCGGAGCACTTGCAGGAGAAGCCAATAGACCTCCAGAATCAATCAGATTTTAATCAATCAGTGAAACACCAGAGCCACAATCACCGCCAACTCTACTCTCACGGTGCGCTTCCCCCACAGCGAGACTGGGCGCTCGTGCTAATTACATCAAACTTTTAAGTAGTGTTAAATTCACGGTAAGCTACCCTACCGCTAGGCACCAAGTCCCGCCCCACCCCCTTCTCGGCAGAGATGATCTAGCCTAACAGGGCGATTACCTACGGTTGGTAATCGGTGCCAGTGTCAGCGCGCAGCCACTATGGGGTATTGTGCAGAGCGAGGACTGTGTGTCAGCCTGGCTCACTTGCTCTCGCCACCAAGTGGAGTCCTGTAGCTCAGTGGTTAGAGCACTCGCTTTGCAAGTGAGAGACCTGAGTTCAATTCCAGGCAGAGGGCGAAACCTTGGGCAAGTTTCCTTACTCCACACAGAGCCTAATAATAATCCCTCCAAAAAACCCAAAACAATAATAAATTGGTCATTTTCACTCTACGACTGTTTGTGGGACATTGCTGTGCGCAATTGGCTGCCCCGTTCGCCCACAAATATACAGTCAATTCACTTTACAGTATATTCTGTGAAGCGCTTTGGGACGTCCTCCCGATGTGAAAAGCGCTATATCAAATGCAAGGATTATTATTATTAAGTCAGAGGGATGTGGGTTTAAGCACCGCTCACAATGTAATCGGGGGGGCCATGTGCTGCAGTGTTAGAGGTGCCATTCTTTGGATAAGATGTTAAATCAAGCTCCTGTCTGTGTCCTGGCCAACAATCCCCAGGTAAAACTGCTCATTCGTTTTTATGGCTATTTCGGGGATGATGTGAAAGTGGTAAAAACGCACAGAAGTATTTTGCAAAAAATGACAGCAGAGCCTGAGAACAAGTTAGTTAGTCGCCGGCTCTTGGCTGAAATTCCAAGTTTATTTTGAGCTTTAGAATCTCAGCCTTTCGTCACTCATTTAGCCGACCGTGGAAAATTACTCATTTATAAAGAAGGCTTCAGGAGAATTAGCTCATCAGTGAAATGGGGAACGGACTGATCAACACGCTGCAACACTGAAATAGTGCAAACCAGAGGCGTCCTGGCTCAGAGCTGGGGAATCGCGGCTGGCGGGCTCGCCTGGGCTAAGTTCAAGCGAAAGTTAAAGATCCCATGGTACTACTGTATTCGGAAAAGAGTTTCTCTCCCCCCCTCCCCCCCGTGTCCTGGCAAACAAGAGACTGATCATTCACTTCACACCTTTTTATAAATTCAATCGGTTGCTCTAACTTCACTGTGCGCACATTGGCTGCATTCGCCCACAAAATATCCAGTCACTACACCGGACAGCAATTACCCACAAAGCACTTTTGGGATGTTTCAGCATTGTAATCACTGAAGCAGATGGGTATTATAATAAAAATTGTTGAATTTGATATCATCACATCAGCAAGAGGTTTCAAAGTGCTTCACGGGATCCACTGTAAAGTGGAAGGACTATTTTGTGGGTGAATGTTATCAATTATAACCTGGGGTCAGGGTACTCACAAAAGGACTGATGACCTGAGCCAGGCACTGGGCTGAACGAAGGTGCAGAATTGCTCGGAAGGTTTAAAAAGGAGATAAACATTTAACTAGGAAAACAAATAGATACACTGCTTAATAAACAAGTTTATTACCAATAAGAACCAGCCTCTGCCTAATATTCTCCAGAATTAAGTAACCATCGGTGTATCCCCAGGGGGAAGGAGGAGAGAGAGATCGCAAGCGCATTCCACTCCAGACACAGAGTAAGTGGTGGATATGGAGCGCTGTCTGGTTTGGTTGCTCTTAAGTATGGTGATGGCTCCCACTAATGTCAGACATGCTATTGATTCCTCGGGCTCAGATTAATGCACAATATGAAAAGGCCAAGGAGTTTCTCTCCCAGTTGGTGTCCTGGCTGACAAACCCACAAATAAAAATACTTAAAAGAGAAAAAAAAAATTGGGCATTCACTTCACAATGGGGATGTCACTCTGTGCAAAATTTGCCATCCTGTTCACTTACAAAACACAGTCTCTACACTCGACAGTAAAAAAATCCCATGAAGTGATTTAAGACGTCCTTCCTGATGTTAAAGGCTCCCCGACAAAGAATGTGAGGACAATTATATTTTGTTATGATAACGGCAGCTTCTCACTCGCTTCGCTGTTGAAATGAACAAACTCCTCTTCCCAAAGATGATCACTGCACAACCACAAAGTTGCCGACAGAGGGTGTCGGTTTCCCTGGCATGAGACTCCCATTGCTCAGAGTTAAAAGCAGCAACAAACACGTCATGGTTGAGTCAACGCTTGGAGTTAAATAAAGCCGGCGCTTAGGGTATGGTTGGCATCCCAATAAGCGGGAGTGGAATGGCTGGATTTCCTGGTTAGTAATGAGACGGGGATGGGGGGGGTGTTCTGCAGTCAGTTACACACAAAAAATACTTTTTGTATTGAGCGTACAATCGAAACACACAATTTCTATTCTCAAAATACGCTTTCGATCACGGGATGAAATGTAACTAAGCTCTTGCAGTCGCCAAAGTTTTTTTATTGTTTTAAAAAAAGACAAGAACACAGCAGCCAAAGACGCGTCTTTTACGATTATGGCTCAATTACTTGGGCTCTCGTTTCAGAGTCGGAAAGTTGTGGGTTCAAGACCCACCCCCCCCCACACACACACAGACACACGCGGGGAACTTGGAGCTCACAAGCCAGGCTGGCGCTTCACACAGTGCTGGGAGAGCACTTCATTGTTGGATAAGAGAGTAAACCAAGGCCCCATCTGCGCCCTCTTCGGGGGAATGTTAAAGAGCCTGTGGTACTTTTCAACAAGAAAAGTGATGGGCTGGGGGGGGGGGGGGGTCCTAGAAGGATGAGATGGGCCGAAGGACCTTCATCATCTGAAAGAGTCTTGATCAGATGGTCATGGCCTCTCTCTGACTTTTTGAAAAATTTATAAGAAAACCATAAGTTGGAATCGCCAAACTGATTTAATGTAACATTGCCCGGATGCTGGTGGCTAACTTCCCGTTATTGTTTCAGCCACCAATAGCGCTGGTGCGCGAGCTGTCAAATTCTGATTATTATCTGCCGCAAATCGCTCAGACAGCCACCTTTTTGAAGTCTGTGATCGGGGACAGAGTTAAGAAATGTCTGGAGCAAAGGGCATTCTGTCTGTGGAGACGCACAAGACTCGTTGCTACATAAACAGGGACCAGAGACAGACAGAGAGAGAGAGAGAGAGAAAGACAGAGGGAGAGAGGGAGCTAGAGAGACAGACAGAGCGAGAGAACGAGCGCAGTTTGTCACAATGTAAAGCCCCCAAAAAGGAAAGCGAGAGGATGAGGAAATCAATCGTCAGGAGAATCCAAACAAGTGAGTTAAGTCATTGTTTCCTTTGGGCTGATCAGCAATTTGAAGACTGACTTCACATCTGGTCTACATTTCCAACTTGCTCCAGTCTGAAGCATGTGAGGTGAGGAAGCTTCAGTTATAAAGAGTCGTGAATGGGCAGAGAAATCAGCGCAAAGCTAACACAATAGGGGAGGGAAAGCAGTGTATTTTGTTTTAATAAAACGAAATTATTTTTGGCAACTTGATGACTCATTCAATGGTCACGAGAAATATTGAACCACTACATTGGTGCAGACAGACTGAATTCAAAACTTTATCTAAAGAAAATGGGGCAGTATAGTTGGGCCCCATTCTAATGGTGATACATATTCACGTGTGCATTTATAAATGATCATATTTAACTCCCACCAATCATACAGCACTGATTGTACGTACGCTCAACATCAATCACGGAGCACGCACTATAAACACTCAAACTAAAGAGTCACTGACACCAGGAGCCCCAGCGACCTGCTTTCCTGGCTTTCAGGCTGAATGAGCTAAGGTGGGGAAACCAACAGGTTTACTTTCACAAAGTGCCACTAACCACAGATTGGTAACCTGAGTCAGACATCAGAATAGGCGTGTCAGACAGCTGCTAGGATAGCGACCAAACCCCGGGGGGATCGCTGTGAGTCACCACCATTCAGGCAGCCTGACATGGCCTTTCCCAAAACAGTTCCTACCAGCTACAGTGGAGCCCTGTAGCTCAGTGGTTAGAGCACTCGCCACGCAAACGAGAGACCTGGATTCACTTCCCAGTCAGGGCGAAATGTTGGGTAAGTTTCCTTGCTCCACACTCATGCCTCTGTTTACCAACAGTAAGTAGGGACCCAGTCGTTAGTCGACAGTCTATTTTGTGAAGCGCTTTGAGAAGTCGAGAAGACACAAAAAGCGCTATATCAAACGCAAGTATTATTATTATTATCACCATTTCCTGCTCGATGTCACTGGTGCTGGTGGGAAGCGCATGTTGTGTACGCAGCAAGGCCTTTCCAGAAAGTAAGCGGCATTATCAGCGCACGGAGCTGGCACACGTTGGTGGGGGGGAGGGGGGGGGGGGTAGGTGTGT